GAGGGTGGGATGCAGCCCCTGTCGCCTGAGCCTGGGGGTGAGCGGGTGGCCCCTGGCAGTGACCGGCTCGGGTGTGGCGCTGGGGTCGTGTCCCAAAGGCGCTGACCCCCAGAACTGGGCTCACTTCAAAATCGGAACAGAAAGACTCTGCAATTTGGGGACAAAAGGCGGGTCCCCTCCGAATAGTCACAGTTGGGGGTCCTGGCCCCGGTTTGTCCCAGAGGCCGGGCAGGGCCTGCTGTGGCCGAGCGGTGGCCATGTCCCCCCGCACCTCTGGGTGTGTGGTCCTGGGGGCAGGACTGGCTGGGCCCAACACCCCCTGCCAGCCGCGCCACCTGGTGGATGTGGCTGACTGGGGGAGGCGGCCGACCCACCAGGCTCTCCCGGGCTCCTGGGCCCAGGGCCAGTGGGTGTGACCGGCCCCGGCTGCCGATGCTGAGCAGGCCGAGGCGGCGGCCTCAGTCCCCAGCAGAATCAGGTCTGACGTTCAAGTGTGTTGCTTCCTTCACGCGGCCACTGGGGTCTCACCGCGGCACTGGCCTTTCCCGGCGTCCATCTGCCTGGGCCACGGGGGCTGGCCGCCCTGGGCTCCAGGTGCCGCGGTGCCTGTCTGGCCCAGGCCCCGCCCCGTCCGCCTGCTGAGGGCCCAAACGTGCTTGGGCCGGTGGGCCAGGCCGGGCTGGGCTGCGGGGCAGCTGCTGTCGCGGGGCTCTGCCCCTGGGCCTGCCCCACCCCACGCTCACACTCCCGCTGCCCTGCACAGAGCAACTTCTCGCTGGCCATCCTGAACGTGGGGGCCCCGGCGGCTGGCATGAACGCGGCTGTGCGCTCGGCAGTGCGCACTGGCCTTTCCCAGGGCCACACGGTGTACGTGGTGCACGATGGCTTCGAGGGCCTGGCCCGGGGCCAGGTAGGTGGGTGTGGGTGCCCCTAGTGCTCCCCGCCAGGCATCGTCCTGGGAGGCACTGTTAGCTCCCACCTACCCCTCAAGTGCCACCCCCCGCAGGTGCAGGAGGTGGGCTGGCACGACGTGGCCGGCTGGCTGGGCCGCGGCGGCTCCCTGCTGGGCACCAAGAGGTGAGGCCCCCCCCTTGGGCGCCGGGCACAGGTGGGGGGATGCTGCGGGGACCCCGCCACCCCTCCCACCCATGGGCTGTGCACCCCAGAGTGTCCGGCCCGGCCTTGCCCCACTGGCCACGGAGTTGCTGACACCAGGGGCATGTGGCTGGTTGGGGTGGCCCCATCCGAGCAGACCCCACAGGCCGTGCTGCCCCCAGGACGCTGCCCAAGAGCCACCTGGAGAAGATTGCAGAGAACATTCGCACCCACAACATCCATGCCTTGCTGGTCATTGGCGGTTTTGAGGTGGGGCTGCTCGGCGAGCCCAGGCGGGTTGTGGGGGGCCGGGGCCCTTCCCCGGGGCCAGGCGTCCCTGTGGTCCTGTCCCTGGCCGCGGAGCCCCTGGGGGCGGCGGGGCAGGGCGGGGTGGGGGCGGCGGGCGTGGGATCGGGCCCTGAGCCGCACCTGCGCAGGCCTACGAGGGGGTGCTGCAGCTGGTGGAGGCCCGCGGGCGCTACGAGGAGCTCTGCATCGTCATGTGCGTCATCCCCGCCACCATCAGCAACAACGTGCCGGGCACCGACTTCAGCCTGGGCTGCGACACCGCCGTCAACGCCGCCATGGAGGTGAGTGCCGGCTGCGCTGGGGGGTGCGGGCACGGGCCGGTGGGCGAGACCCCAGAGGTGTGTGGGGGTGGCGGGGCCAAGCCCCCAAGACAGGGGCTGCGGTCAGGACAGGGCACGGCTCACATCCAGCCTGGCCGCCCTCTGCCTCTGGGAGGGCAGGGAGAGGCATGGCCCAGGGCTCGCTCAGGGAGCGGGGACCGTGGGCTCCAGCCAGGTAGACGGCGGGTGCAGGCCATGGCTCCGTGCAGGGACGTGGGCGCAGGGGATCTGGGGAAGCTGGGGCCACCCGGCGGGGGAGGGCTCCAGGCCCTGGTGCTGTCTGCCATGGCACAGCCCTGGGGTGGGGGCCGCCCTGGAGGGGTTGGGCTGGGTGGCCTCGCCAGTTCTCCATGCCTCTGGGCGCCCCTAGTGACCCCACACAACCAGCTTTCCCAGGGACTCAGCGGCTAGGTGGGCTTGGGTGCTGACGCTGGCCGGGGTGTGTGGCTGTTGGGAGCCTCTGTGCCGTCTGGGAGCAGGAAACACGACTGAACAAGGAGATGGGGGGGGTTGAGGGGGGAGGCCCCAGCCCCCCTGGCACCTGCCATCGTGGGCCTCCCCGGCCTGCCCCGGGCCCCACCCAACTGGCAGCCCGGTGGGCGGCGTGTCCTCACGTGGGGCGGTAGGTGCTTCTCCATCAGTGCTGCCCACTTGTGGGTTTTTTTTTTAAGATTTATTTATTTATGCATACAAGAGCTGGGGTACGGGCCAGAGGTGCGGCGGGGAGAGGACTCCCAGAGACAGAGTGGGGAGCAGAACAGGCAGGTCCACTGAAACCCACTGCTGAGGGGCCAGCGGGGAGACAGGCGGGGTCTGCTGCGCCCTGTGGGCAGCTCCCTGGCCGGGGATGGAACTCGTGCTGCAGGGGCTGGCGACAGCTTGATGGCTCCGTCTTTCACGCTGCGCCCCCAGGGAGGCCCCCATGCAGGTTTTTTACACATCATCCGTCCCCAGAGTTGCCCTTTTTCCCCGCCCGTCGGTGCTCTTTGTGTGCAGGACCTTGGTCGCGAGCCCCCCGCCTCCCTCCCCTCCGTCGTCTGGGCTTGGGCACTGGTGACCCACTCGCCCTGTTTCCATCGGGTCTTCCCGCTTCCTGGTGGGCGCCGTGCTGGAGGCCCCGTATTTGAAAGCGCCCCACGATGGGGCGGGTGGTTTGGGGTGGGGATGTGCAGACATTTCCCATGGTGGCGAGTGGCTGCGGCGTCCGGTGGGGTGGGGCCTGGCTTTGTGTCAGGCCGTCCGTCCCGGCCACGGCTGCGTGGACACGCCCAGCGCCCCCTGGCGACACGCCCTCTGGCCGCCGTGTGCTGAGCTGTGGGTGGGCGTGTGGCCCCATATACAGACGGGAACATCAAGGCTGGGCAACTCTGGCGTCCACCCTCTGGGTGTCCCGGGGGCGGCGGCGCCCCAGCTGAGGGCCCCACTCTGTGGTCCTGGGCCTCTGCCCGGGGACAGGGACCTCACCGTCCCCCCTCACCCCCCAACCTCGCAGAGCTGCGACCGCATCAAGCAGTCAGCCTCGGGGACCAAGCGCCGCGTGTTCATCGTGGAGACCATGGGCGGCTACTGCGGCTACCTGGCCACCGTGACTGGCATCGCCGTGGGCGCGGACGCCGCCTACGTCTTCGAGGACCCATTCAACATCCACGACCTGAAGGTGAGCCCACCGGCCTCCCACTGAGGCCAGCCGGGGCTCCCTGCCGTGGGACCGGTGCAGCCCCGTGCCCCCAGCGGTCCTGCCCTCCGTCCCCGTGCCCCCAGCCCGTCGCCCCAGCCCCATCTCCAGCCTCCTGCCAGCCGCGGGCCCGTGGCGCTCTCTCCTGGCCACGCCGGCCCTGCCTGTTGGTTAGTCTAGCGTGGTCCTTCCTGGGGGCTGAGTGCTGGCCGCTGCACCCCAACCTCTGGCTCCCCTGTGTGCCCCTGACCCCCGCCTGGGCCCCTCCCCCCAGGCCAACGTGGAGCACATGACAGTGAAGATGAAGACAGAGATCCAGAGGGGCCTGGTGCTGCGGTGAGGTGGCGGCGGGGGCCGGGTCGGGCGGGAGGCTTTCCTGGGAGCAGCCCCCTTCCCAGACGCGGCCTGGCCCCTGACGTGGGCCCCTCGCCCCCAGGAACGAGAAGTGCCACGAGCACTACACCACGGAGTTCCTGTACAACCTCTACTCCTCCGAGGGGAAGGGCGTCTTCGACTGCAGGACCAACGTGCTGGGCCACCTGCAGCAGGTGCGCGGCCCCCTCCGCCAGAGGCCACGCTGTGGGGTGCTCCTGCGCCACCCCGCCAAGCCCCTCATGGCCCCAGGAAGCGATATGGGGCGCCTGGCGGTGCTCTCCCCGGGCTCCCTGGGGTGGGACCCAGGCGGCCGCCCGGCCTCCGGAGGGGCTCTTAGGCCGGATTCGGAGAGGACCTGGGCGCGCAGGCAGAGGAGCCCGTGGAGATAGTGGGTGCCCGAGCCCCCGCCCCTGCCAGGAGGTCGCGTGAAGCCACCCAGGGCCTCGCTGGGGCTCCTGCCCGGGCCACGGTCTCAGCGCTGTGTTTCCAGGGCGGGGCCCCGACCCCCTTCGACCGGAACTACGGCACCAAGCTGGGGGTGAAGGCCATGCTCTGGGTGTCGGACAAGCTGCGGGCCGTCTACCGCAAGGGTGCGTGTGCGGTGGGGGCGGGGCCCCGGCGTGGGGGGCCACGGGCAGGGCTCAGCTCGGGTGTATCCACAGGGCGGGTGTTCGCCAACGCCCCCGACTCGGCCAGCGTGATCGGCCTGCGGAAGAAGGCGGTGGCCTTCAGCCCCGTCACCGAACTCAAGGAGGAGACCGACTTTGAGTGAGTCCAGGGGGCGGGGCAGGGGGTGTTGTGTGTGTGCCAGGCACGCCCTCTGCCCCGTGGGCGGCTGGCCCGGCGCCGTGGGGGTCGCTCAGCGCCCTGACCCCGCCGCCCGCGCAGGCACCGCATGCCCCGGGAGCAGTGGTGGCTGAACCTGCGGCTGATGCTGAAGATGCTGGCGCACTACCGCATCAGCATGGCCGAGTACGTGTCGGGGGGCCTGGAGCACGTGAGCCGCCGCTCCCTGAGCCTGGACACCGGCTTCTGAGCGCACCCGCCTGGCCAGCCCACGGGCATCTGCTGCTAGTTGGCCGGCCGTGGACCGCAGGGCCTCCCCTCCAGGACAGGGGACGTGGGCGTCCCTGTCCAGGCCACCTGCCACGCCGCCTTCTCGCCCAAGTGCCTCTGAGCCGCTCCCATGCGGCCCTCGCCCGGCAAGCCCCCGGGGGGGGGGGGTGGCCTGGCCGTGCCCGGGGGCTTGCGGTGCCCTGCTCCTGTGTGCACTGGCCGCCGCGGCTCAGCAGTTTGTTGTCCTTCCTAGAAATAAAACGACCCACTCTGGAATGAGAGTCTCTGGAAAGCCCGGCCCACGCAGCCCCCGGTGGCACACCCGGCCCGGGGCTGGGCAGGCACCTGTGTCCTCGGATCAGCACCGCCAGGCGTCCTGAGGGTGACAGGCCTGGCCTCCCGCTCACAGCAGGATTTCTGAACCTGGTTCTGGGTCCTGAGTCTGACCCAGGGTGCGCCCCGGCAGTGGGCACCCTGGGAGACGAGGGGGGGCGCATGGAGGGGGCAGGCAGCCAGAAACCTGCTCCCCACTCGGGCCTGGCTCTGGGACACGGGTGCTGCAGGGCAGGTGGGCAGGCAGGGTGGCTGCACCCGTGCCCCCATGCCTGGTGCCCCAGGAGAGCTCACACCCTGGGGGGTTCCTGTGGGGCTCAGCGTGGCAGGGACTGCTGCCGTGGCTGTGGGCTCACCTGGACCTGGGCACTGTGCGCCGGCAGGCCCAGGCCCAGGGGTGTGTGGCCGCTGGTGCCTCCGGGCTGGACAGGCGCAAACAGTGGCCTGGGCTCACGCAGGTGCAGAGGCCAGGCCAGGGACCTGGGCGCCCAGTGGGCTCTGCTGTGCCCTGGGGTGATGAGCTGGCGTTCACATGACCCACAAAGCAGAGGTGGTCTCCAGGCGGCACCCTGACCCTATACCCTGGATGGTACGGGGCTCCCAGATCCCCAAGCCTCCTTCCAGATGAGGTCAAGCTCTCCTGCACCCTTTTCTGAGAACAGGAAGGCCCAGGGCCCAGCTGCTCACCAGCTCCCTTCACGGGGGAGTCCAGAGGTGGCGAGTCCTGCCCCCCCATCCTCCCACGCCCCACCAGTGTCCACCCAACAGGGCAGCCAGGATAGGGCCACACGCCAGGTGCTGTTTACCCTGCACACGGCCCACGACAACTGGCTGGTCGCGTCGGACAGGCGCAGGGAGCTGGTGCTGGCCACAGGACCGGCCTGCAATCCTGATGGCCATCCCGAGGCTCAGGCGGCCCTGGGGGCCAGCACCCCTGTGGCCCTGGTCCCTCGGGCTTCCCCCCGCAGAGTCCGCGTCTCGCCTCCCTGGCCCTGGGAACCCGCGGCTCCCCGCCCTCGCCCCCGAGAATCACGGTTCTGAGATGCCCCGGCGGAGACCGGCTTCTGCTCCAATCTCCACCACCGTGAGCAGACCCCAGGGGCAGCACGCCTTTCTGGTCCCTTTGGAGACAGCCCGCAGCAGCCGCAGAACCACCTGGGCCCGGCAGGGCAGCCAGCTCTGGTCGGGCCGCGGGAGACTCCTGCTGCTCTGCTCCAACAGGGCGCCCCCTCCGCGCCCACCCCGACCAGAGGGGCCCTGGCTGCATAGTCCTGGGTGCGGAGACCAAAGGGAGGCAGGTCTGGGCGCTCAGGGTCCGGCTGGCACCCGCCTGGCAGCAGGGAGAGGGGTGTGGCCATGGCCTGGCATAGACTCCAGCGGGTTGGGACTCAGGCTGGACAGAGGCCCTCGGCTTGTCTGCAGGTGAAGGGGAGCTGCTGGCCAGAGCAGGGGCTGGCCCCCGGCGGCACCTGGGGGTGGGGCTGCACCTCGGCTGTACTGAGCCCTCGTCCTCCTGGGCTGCCCTGCCGCCGGGGCCGTGGACGCCAGCACACATCCTGCCAGCGCCTGCTTTGCCCAAAACCCTGCTTTTGGATCACTTGGGGGAGCTCTGGGGCCCGAGGTGTCTATTAGAGACCAGGGTCATGGGGTCCAGGCCAGGGTGGGTCCAGCAAGCTCTGACTTGGGGGGTGAGGGCACTGGGGCAGAAGGGGGGCTGTCGAGTAGGGTCTGAGGCAAGGTCCTTGGCTGAGTGCCGGGTCCCGGAGAGGGAGACCCCAAATCATCATGACCACTTGCTCTAAGGAGCAGGCTTTACTGAGTGTCCAGCGCCTGTGATCACCTCGGAAGGCCCCCCCACGCCCGGCCTCAGGGCGCTCTGGCCCGTGTGAAGCGGCCTCCGGGTGAGCGCGCCCACCAGGGCCTGGCGGCGGCAGTGTCTCTGATGCCCCCTCCGGGGCTGTCCAGCGCGTGGTTCTCGGCTCTCTCAACCCCAGGGCCCTCAGCTCCGGGGGCGGTGTCCACCCCAGGGAGGAGGGGCGGAGCGCCACTGGTGTGTTTATTAGGGGGCACGTGGCCAGGCCGGCCTGGGGGGCCCACGCGGGCTCTGGGCTGGGCGGCCCGAGCTGGCCGAGGCCTCCTGGGGACACCACCTTGGGGTGGGCTCGCCGGGGCGGATGGGCGCGGCTCATTCGGGTTCCTCCTGCAGCTCCCGCTCGGGCAGGCCCTGCAGGCGGCTGAGCACAGCCTGGTGCACGGCCCCCAGCGCCTCGGTGTCCAGCTCCCGCAGCAGCAGCAGGACGGCGGTCAGGACGTTGCTCTGTGGGCACAAGCACCGCGGGCCTTGCGTGCTAGCGCCCACGGCAGGAGGCCCGCGCCCCTCCACCGGGCCCTGTGGCTGGGCTCTGGGGCTCTCGCTCCCCACCTGGCTCCCCCCAGCTTGCCACGGCCGCTCACCCTGCTCGCGCTGCAGCTCGTGGCCGTCCTCTGTGAGAAGGGAGGCGGCTGGTCCCGGGAGGGGGGCTTCAGGCTGAGCTGCCCGGGGCCGCTGCTGACACGGGTGGGGCCTGGCCCGTCAGAGGGCCTGTGGCAGCCCCTGCTGCTCTGGTCCGCCCGGGGCTGGGGCGGCTGAGGCCGCGACGCACAAGGGGGCTGTGACTGCCCCGCGGAGGGGAGCCGGGGAGGACCGCGCTGGCTCCCTGGGAGCCTCACCTCATGGCCACCTCCCCACGGCCCCCGGGGGCTGCCCCCTCCGGCCCGAGCTGCTCTCGGACGTGAGGCCGTACTGGGCTGGGGGCTTAGAGCCACCCCGGCCGGCACCCCTGGACGATCCTCCCCCAGCCCGTCGCTGCTTCCCCGGGGGAGGCCCGTGGGGGCACCTTGCTTCCTCCTCGCTGAACGTCAGCGCGTCCCCTTGGGTCTCGGCCGTGTTCAGGGCGCTCAGGGCATACGCCAGCTCCGGGCCCTCTTTGCGGGGGGCCGTGACCTCCTCACCCTCCATCAGAGCCCGGGACAGCTCCTCCTCGGTCACAGCTTCGGGGAGGAGGGGGCACAGCATCACCGGGACTAGCCCCAAGCCTCACAGCGGCCGCCACGCAGCACTAGCGCCCTCCGCTTCGGAGGCATCTGTCCACCCAGCGCGCCCTGGGCACCCCCGCCCTGGCTGCTGGACATGGGGGCGGGACAGCCATGGCGGGGGGGCCCAGGCCGCAGCGTCTGCCGGAGCACCTGCTCCTAGGCCCCGTCGGAGAAACGCCCGACTCCAGGCACTCGCTCAGGCCCAACCCCAGAGGCCCACGCATCGCCGCCTCTGGTCTGGGGCCGGGCGGCGGGCACCTACCCCGGTTGTCCAGGCGCTGCAGCTGTGGCAGCGCACGCAGCACGGCCATGCGGTAGCGGTGCGGGTCGGCGCCGCAGCAGGGGTTCCCGGCCAGCCAGAGCACGCGCAGCCGGGGCAGGCCCTGCAGGTGCGCCAGCTCGGCCAGGCTGGGGATGCGGTTCCCGCGCACGTACAGCTCGCTCAGCCGCCGGCAGCCGCTCACGGGCTCCAGTGTGGACACGGCGTTGACGCTGCGGAGGGCACAGTCAGGGCTGCCGCCCCGCATCCGCAGGCAGGGGGCCCCCCGGGGGCTGAGCCCTTCCTCCGTGGAAGGGGGCTGCCACGCGGTGGTTTCCATGCGCCCTCCAGGGGCCCAGACAGCCTGGGGCCCAGACTGTGCCCGAGAGGCCCTGGCAAGCGTCCGAGGCTCCGCTGTGCAGACTGGCGGTGGGCACCGACCCTGGAGCAGGAGCAAACGCGGCCCCCAGGATCCTGACCATGTCGTGGGGGGCGGGGCTCAACCGAGAGGCTGGTGCTCCCCTCGCTGGTGCTCCCCTCGCTGCTCCTCCCGCACGCGGCGGGGAGGCGCTGCTCTTCCCGGGCGCAGTGGACGCTCACGGCCGTTCACCGCACTCTACCCCAGCAGCAGCGCGGCTGGGAAGCCGTGGGGGCCGGGAGGCCCAGGAGTGGGGGAGTGGCCAGAGCTGCCCCCTCTGCGTGGTTCCTGCTGTGTCCTCCCACCCTCATGATGAACTCCGACCCGAGGTGATAATTTTGGAGCGCCCAGACACGCTGGGGCTGCCTTCAGAGACCGGCCTCCAAGCCTGGGGGTCCTGTTGTGGCCTCCTAGACTCGACACAGTCCCGGGGAACTGACTCTCACTCAAGGTTCCCAGAGGGGCCCGCCAGGCCTGGACACCGGCACCCCCAGGTTCCGCCCTTCCCCCGGCTAGGCTGGCCAGAGCCCCCGCCGGACACGCAGCCGTAGCCTGTGGGCCCGTGGTCAGCGCATGGCAGGAGGCTCCAGGCCACTCCCGGCTCCGCGTTCCCTGCCACAGCTGCAGTCGAGGCATCCTAGGGTGCGGGCTCAACCCACTTCACTCAGCCTTCCTGGGCCGGGACACTGACCGTGGTGGGCGGTGGGCACTCAGGACCCAGGCTGTGCCTGGAGAGAGGGACTCGGCACCCCCCCCACCCCCGCAGGGGAGTCAGGCCCCCTGAGGGCAGGCCCAGGCAACTCAGCGACGAGGTACCTGAGGGTGATCACTTCCAGGCTGGGCATCTCCCGGCAGATGGAGATCTAGGAGGAAGAGCGCGTGAGGCAGGCACCAGCCGCTGCCAGCGTGCGCCCCCACCCCACCCCACCCCTGCACACCCAGCACCAGCGCAGTCCCCGGAGCAGCGGCTCGGCAGCGGGCTCAGCAAGGTGGCACCGGCTCCCTCACTCGGGGGCTGGCCGGGGGCATGGAGAGGCCCGGCTGGTCAGACTGCCGCCCGCCTGCGGTGAACTCTTCCTGCACCTGCTGCTTATTTGCTTTGGTTTTGAGGTTCTTTGGCTGCCAAATAAGCAACACCCCGCTAGCAGGAGGTGGGGCGCACCAGCCCTCTCACCCAGCAGCTCCACCCGGCATGCTCTGAGGAGGGTGAATCGCCGGGGCTGGTGGCTGGCACAACTCTGGGCGCTTGTTCCAGAACGGAGCTGGGCTCAGCCACTGCACTGCCCCAGTGCACGGGGTGCGCGGGGCGGGGGAGAAACAGGATCTGAGGAGCAGTGAGGAGCCCCCACCCTGAAAAAGCCCAGGAACTGCCAGAAGAGGCCTGCGAAGCAAAAGACTCCTGAAAGGAATCTCTGGGGGCGCCCCCCCCGTGCTCGGGACCATCTAAAGGAACTTCAACATGAACGTGGCGCCGCGGAGCACCTTCCGCTGCGGGTCCGCTGCGGCCGGGCTGGAGGGCGCGGAGGGGCTGTGGGTGTGACCACCTGCTGCGGGAGGAGGCGCCAACTCTGGGGAGCAGGGCCCCGGGGAGAAGACCAAGGTAACACTTACATCCGTGAGGCGGCTGCCCCTGGGGAGACAGAGGATTTCATTTTGTTAAACTTGAATAAAAACAAACATTCTAAAAATCCACGCGCGACGCCCCGACGTTCACGCGCCGCGACTTCGGCGGGGCCGGGAGCGCGTCTGCCCAGACACCGCCAGGCGCCAGCTGCCCCTCCCCGGCGGCCGTGCAGGCTGGAGACATGCTGGGACCCGGGCCGGGCCCCTGGGCTGCTTCCCCGGCGGCGGCGGCCGCACAAAGGGGCCTCTGGAAGAGGCCGGCTCAAGGGCCACGCTGGCGGCCCGAAGCGGGGGCTCGTCCTGCCCCAGAGAAGCAAAGGCCGGCAGCGGGGGGCACCGGGGGCCCCGCCAGACCAGGGCGGAGGCTCCGTCCAGCAGGCAGTGCTGCGGGCGGGTGCCCGCGCCCGGGCCGCCTCGGGCTCACCGGCTGGGGAGAACACCCCACGCCCGGGAGAACACCCCACGCCCGGAGAACACCCCATCCCGGGAGGACACCCCACGCCGGGAGGACACCCCACGCCCGGGAGAACACCCCACGCCCGGGAGAACACCCCACGCCGGGAGAACACCCCACGCTCGGGAGAACACCCCACGCCCGGGAGAACACCCCACGCCTGGAGAACACCCCACGCCCGGAGAACCCCCCATCCTGGGAGGACACCCCATGCCCGGAGGACACCCCACGCCCGGGAGAACACCCCCATCCCGGGAGGACACCCCACACCTGGAGAACACCCCATCCTGGGAGAACACCCCACGCCCGGAGAACACCTCACGCCCGGAGAACCCCCCCATCCCGGGAGGACACCCCACGCCCGGAGAACACCCCACGACCGGGAGGACACCCCACGCCCGGAGAACACCCCACGCCCGGGAGGACACCCCACGCCCGGAGAACACCCCATCCCGGGAGGACACCCCACGCCCGGAGAACCCCCACGCCCGGGAGGACACCCCACGCCCGGAGAACACCCCACGCCCGGGAGAACACCCCATCCCGGGAGAACACCCCACGCCCGGAGAACACCCCACGCCCGGGAGGACACCCCACGCCCGGAGAACACCCCACGCCTGGAGAACACCCCACGCCGGGAGAACACCCCACGCCCGGAGAACACCCCACGCCCGGAGAACACCCCATCCCGGGAGAACACCCCATCCCGGGAGAACACCCCACGCCCGGAGAACACCCCACGCCCGGAGAACCCCCCCATCCCGGGAGGACACCCCACGCCCGGAGAACCCCCACGCCCGGGAGGACACCCCACGCCCGGAGAACACCCCACGCCCGGAGAACACCCCATCCCGGGAGAACACCCCACGCCCGGAGAACACCCCACGCCCGGAGGACACCCCACGCCCGGAGGACACCCCACGCCTGGAGAACACCCCATCCCGGGAGAACACCCCACGCCCGGAGAACACCCCACGCCCGGGAGGACACCCCACGCCCGGAGAACACCCCACGCCTGGAGAACACCCCACGCCGGGAGAACACCCCACGCCCGGAGAACACCCCACGCCCGGAGAACACCCCATCCCGGGAGGACACCCCACGCCCGGAGAACACCCCATCCCGGGAGGACACCCCACGCCCGGAGAACCCCCCACGCCCGGGAGGACACCCCACGCCCGGAGAACACCCCACGCCCGGAGAACACCCCATCCCGGGAGAACACCCCACGCCCGGAGAACACCCCACGCCCGGAGGACACCCCACGCCCGGAGGACACCCCACGCCTGGAGAACACCCCATCCCGGGAGAACACCCCACGCCCGGAGAACACCCCACGCCCGGGAGGACACCCCACGCCCGGAGAACACCCCACGCCTGGAGAACACCCCACGCCGGGAGAACACCCCACGCCCGGAGAACACCCCACGCCCGGAGAACACCCCATCCCGGGAGGACACCCCACGCCCGGAGAACCCCCCACGCCCGGGAGGACACCCCACGCCCGGAGAACACCCCACGCCCGGAGAACACCCCATCCCGGGAGAACACCCCACGCCCGGAGAACACCCCACGCCCGGAGAACACCCCACCGGAGAACCCCACGCCCCCCACGCCCGGAGAACACCCCACGCCCGGAGAACCCCACGCCCGGAGGACACCCCACGCCCGGAGGACACCCCACGCCCGGGAGAACACCCCACGCCGGGAGGCCCCTCGCGCCGGCACCCCACGCGGCCCCACGCAGGAGTCCTGCCCGGGGGCCTCGGGGCGGGGCGGGGCGGGGCGGCGCCACCCCGCGGCCCGGCTGCTCTCCCCGGACGGCACCCGAGGGCGCCCCGAAGGGCCCCGCCCCGAGCCGGGAGCCGGGGACCCGCCAGGCGAGGCCGCCGTCTGGCCCGTGTCGGCCGCGCCGCCCGGGGCTCCCGGAGGCGCCGCCCGCGGGGTGAGGCCGGGCAGGGCCAGGAGCCCCCCGACCCCGCGGGCGCTCGCGGGCCCTCGCGGGGGGGGCGGCGGGGTCCCGTCCGCGCGGGCGACGCCGGCCCGGCTCACCAGCAGTTGAGCTTCCGCACGCTGCGCAGCTCCGCCGCCTTGGCCCGCGCCAGCACCATCTTCCGCGTCAGCCTCATGGCGGCGGCGCCGGGACCCGCGCCCGCCCGGCCGGGCCCTGACGCTCCGGGAGCCGCGGCGTCTCCAGGGGCGGGGCCACGTCGCCAGGGGCGGGGCCACGTCTCCGGGGCGGGTCCCGAGAGCCCATTGGCCACCGGCGAGGGGCGGGGCCGCCGGGGCTCCGCCCGCGCATTGGCTCCGGGCTGTGACGCGATTCGACCGCGACCGGGGGTCAGGGCCGGGCCGGGGGGCCCCCGCCGCGGCTCGCGAGCGCAGTCTCGGCCCCGCTTCGCCCCGAGCCGCCCGGGAGTCCCGGTCCCGTCGGCAGGATGGCGGCGCCGGGCGGCGGCTCGCGCGCCCTCTTCCCTGCTCGCCTCGCGCGGCACCGCGACTCCCGGCCTGCGCGGCGGCGGCGTGACTGCCGGGGGGGGCCGGGAGAGCGGGGCGCGCGCCGATCCTCGGCGGGACCTGCCCGGCGTCGCGCGGCCTCGGGCCCGCCCTGGGGCCCGCCCTCCCCCGCGCCGCGCGCCCCGCCCACGCCCCCGCGCCCCGGCCCCCCGCGCCCCGCCCTCCCCCGCGCCCCCAGCCGCGGACGCCGTGGGGGCCCCGACAGCCACCCGGGCCGAGGGAAGGGAGCCGCCCCGGCCCGGCCCGGCCCCCGCCCCTCGGGTCCGCGCCAACCCCCGGAGGCCCCACGAGGACGGGCGGCCACGCGGGGCTGAGCCGGGGCGCCCGCGGCGGCGGGGGGGCCCCGAGACGCGGGGCCTTTATGTCGCGGCCGCCGGAGGCTGCGCCCGCCGCAGACAAAACCCGCGGGGCCCCGGCTGGGCCGTGACGGGGACCCGGCGCCCCTGGCAGGGTCGTGGGGGCCACGCCGCGCCCCCGCACCGTGGGTTCCCGCGGTGCCCCGAGGGGCTGCTGCGAGGACGCCCCGGGAGATGCGGGAATTGGGGCGGCCGCCCCAGGAAATGTAAGCGCCTCTGCCCTCAGAGAGACGCCCACACGCGCGGGAAGATCGGTGGGGCCACCTGCGCCCACCCCAAAAGCTGAAGATCCGAGAGCGGCAGAAACCCCGGAGACCCAAACCGGGAGACGGAACCGGGCCCCTCCTGCGCTCGCAGATGTTTCTCGCCGGAGCCCCCATCCACACGCCCTGCCTTGAGCATTTTCACCCAGCGGCCCCGCTAGCATGAGCACCCACCCGGTCTGGCAAAGCCGGCCCCCACCCCCGCACCTGACAGGGGCCCCAAGCAGCCTGGGCCACCGAGCGTCCGGGACGCGGGTGACCCGCTGGCCAGAGCATTAGGAGTCGCAGGACCCTGGTGGCTCCTGGACCCCAGGGGCCGGGCACAGTGGGAGCCTGAGCCAGCACTGCCCGCATGGTGAGGGCCGTTGGGGCGCCCCGCCCGCTTGGTAAAGTCCCAACCCTAGGTCCTGCCGCCTGCCCGGTGGCTGCTGTGGCGGCAGCCCCTCCCGGCCTGGCCCAGGGCCGCCGGCGCCAGCTGACAGCACTGCCCTGTGGTTTGCTGCAGGGAGCGGCCGCCTGCACGGCCTGGCCAGCTGCGTGCCCTCAGGCTGAGAGTCTTCCCGGGAAGGAAGCACATTTCATAATTGCCCCGGGGTGGGGAGGGCTGGGGAGCGGCAGGGGTGTTGTCCAGGCTGCCTGGAACAACTCCTCTACCGAGGGGAGGGACCCGCGGGCCCCACACACGTTCCCTGGGAGCCTGGCTGGTGACCGCTGCCTCCCCGTCGGCCGCACGGGGGTCCCCATGCCAGGGCTCCTGGGCGGTGAGCTGGTGCTCCCTCCGGTGCCCTGGGCGGCAGCCTGAGCGCAGCTGGGGACATTTTTCCTGCCTCCTCGCCATTCACGGGGTGTAGACACCTCGGGGCTCCGGAGCATCCTGGGCTGACTTCAGAGGGGCCCCTGCAAGTCGTGGGCTCTGAGGGTGCAGGGCTGTCTCTGGGGGGCACCCAGCGGGCCCCGCTAGCATGAGCAGGCGCAGCCTGAGCAGTCTGCACTGGTCCGGGCTGGAGCGGCCCCAGCCCCTCCTTGTGCAGCGGCGTGTCTTGGAAAGCGGACCCGGTGCTCCCTGAGAGGGGCTCATGGCCCCCCACAGCTGCCGGGCGCCTCGGGGTGGCTGGCGAGGCTGGTTCCTCCCTAGTGAGGGCAGTGAGGGCCGGAGCCGCGGGAGGAGGGTGTCCTGCAGGAGTCTGGCTACCGGGCCAGCCCGAGACCGGGTGCTCTTCAGCTCCCTGGGCGTCCGTGGGGATTAGGGCCCAGGGCGGGTGGGGGAACGGCAGGGAGCCTTCTAGGGGTGAGAGCTTCTGCCAGGGTGGGTGAGCTTTCCAGGGGTCAGCTCCCTGTGCCCCGCCCCCCAGGCCAAGCCCCTGTGCCAAGGAGCCCCCTGGGACAGGTCCCCATCCCCCAGGCTCTGAGTTGACTGGCCCTTCCTGCTGGTCTCCTGCTGGACTTCCTGAGGAAGGCCCTAGTGTGGGGATCCTGGGGCCACCGGAGGATGTGGCTCTTGTTCCCAGGCCCCTGGGTCCCCTGCCCCGCCTCTGACACGCCCCCTTCCGCCCTGCGGTTGGGCTAAATAGGGGCCACTGGGTGAACAGGGGCCACCGGGCTGCTGGGGCACTGGCAGGCCCGGCCCTCGAGAGGAGACCTCAGGGAGTGGCCGGCTGGCGGGCGACCCTGGGGAGACCCCGCAGGTCACGTCCTGGGTCTGCCCCTGGGAGACACTGGCTCGTCCTTCACGCCCAGCAGCGCAGGACAGCAGGCCCGGTGGGGAGTGACTCAGGGGTCCTGCGGGCCGGAGTGCGGAGCGTCCTTTCCTCCCAGCCGGGGCAGCCGGTGCAGGTGCCGCGGGGCGGGAGGGAGGCGGGCCGGGCGAGCAGGTATGCAGGACTGTGGACAGCAACCCAGGCGGGGGCGCGGGCTGTCTGTGGGCCTGGGCTTGGCGCGGTGCTGGGCTCCAGGGCTTAGCACGCCCAGGGCTCCAGGGAGTGCGGGCTGCAAGGTCAGCTTGGGGGCCTGTAAACTTGGGGAGCAGCCCTGGTGCTGGGCATCCGGGATCCAGGGGCGCCATGGGGCCGCAGCCCGTGCGGGAGCGGGGTGACCTGCGAGGTCGGGGACCTGGAGGGTCTTGCGGTGCTCTGAGCCCTGTCGGGCCACTGCTGCCGCCCCGCGCCCGGCTCCTCAGCAGAGCGGGGCCGTGTTCAGCCCGGGAAGCGCCGGCGGGCAGAGGAGGAGCCGCGGGGGCAGCTGGTCCGCAAGAGGAAGGGGTCACGCTCAGCCAGCGGCCAGCCCGCCCCCGCCGCCAGGCCCTGCTCCTGTTCTGCGGGGAGCCCTGGGGCTGGGCAGGTGCCGCGGAGGAGCCTGGCCCTGAGCCCCAGGCCGGGGCCCACCTGACCGCAGGGCCCGGTGCTGCCGAAGGGCGCGCCCCGTGTCCGGTGCCCGGGCAGGACCTCCGGGCTCAGGTCTCAGCAGGAGACTCTTGCGGCGGGCGGGGGCCGGGGCTGGGGCGCCGCTTTCCTCTTTACGGGGCTTCTGGACGCTCCACCTCTCTCGAAAGCTCCCGGGGCTTTGTCTGGCCCTACTTGGCCTTATGGCCGCCTGCGGTCACCCCAAGGCGTGAGGCACCCCGGGGCGGCTCCTTCCCACGCCTCTCCCTGGCCGCGCGCTGTGGCCGCGCCTCAGGCCTGCGTGTTCCCCGTGCGGGGGCGGCTCACGCCAGGGGTGCCGACTATGATGCCCCTTGGGGTGCCGGGCCCAGCCCCCGGCCGCGTCCGCCTGCCCCGCAGGGCCCTGCCTCTGCGCCGAATGCCGGGCCTGGGTGCGTGGCTTTTGGCCCCACCGTCTGAGAGGGGCTCCCTGGCAGAGTGTCCTCCCGGCCGTGGCCCGGGGTGCGGCGAGGGTCCTCGAGCGCCGAGCGCCCTGGCGGGTGGAGAGGCTGGAGGAGGTGATCTGGGGAGAAGGCCCCAGGGACGGCGGGATGGGGTCTTCGTAAGGTCACTGCTGGTCCAGGCCCAGGCCGTGGGCAGAGGCGGCGGGCAGGCGGGGGTGGGCAGGGGCAGCAGCTGGCAGGCTGGGGCGGCGGTGGGCGGGGGCAGCAGCTGGGAGGCTGGCAGCAGGCAGGGCGGTGGCGGGCGGGGGCAGCAGCTGGTAGCAGGCTGGGGCGGCAAGGGCAGGGTGGGTAGGGGCAGCAGCTGGGAGGCTGGCAGTGGGTGGGGGCAGGGGCAGGGGCGGAGACTGGCGGGTGGTGTTGGGCAGACAGCAGACGGGGCAGACCCGCACGGGTCCCGCAGGGTGTGCGGATGCCAACGTGGACGAGAGCAGCCGGGCCGGCAGGGTGGCCCCGGCCGTTCCCACAGGCCCCCGTGGCAGGGCGGGGCTGCGCTGTCCAGGGGAGGGGCTGGGCCTCCCCTGAGGCCGTGGAACCCATCTGTGAGGGCGGCTGCTGACCTCCCCGCCCTCCCGCGGACGCGTGTGCTTCCAGCGCCCACCCGGAGCGCCTGCTCTGGCCCATGCAGCAGAGCTGTTGCCCCGCGCCCGCACCCGGCGCTGCCTCGGCCGACTTCATCTGAGGACCCCCTAAGCCAGGGGGACCGGGAGGTCCCGGCCCAGCCAGGGCCCCTCAGCTGCGCCCCGGCACCAGAGCACACGCCGGCTGACACCTGCGCCCCGGGCGTCGGGAAGACGTGGTGAGGGCCGCGGGCCGTGCAGGGCGGCTCTGCTCCCTCCTGGTGCGGCTCTGGGGCTCCCTGTCCCCACAGGGCTCTCTGCCTGGGACTGAGCCCCATCCTGGGATGCCCCCACCTTCACTCTGGTGGGGCAGCTGCCCTGCTGGGCACACTTCACACGGTGCCAACAGCCCTGGCACACTGGGTCACCAGGGGTCACGCTGGGTCAATAGGGGTCACGCTGGGTCAGAGGGTCACACTAGGTCACAGAGAGAGACGCTAGGTCACTGGGGGTCACACTGGTTCACAAAGGGTCACTCTAGGTCAGAGGGTCACAGAGGGTCACGCTGGGTTACAGAGGGTTAGAGGGTCACACTGGGTCACGGGGTCACAGAGGGTCAACCAGCCACCCAGGCCACATCTGGCTGTACCAGGGCTCACTGGGCCACACCTGGCTGCTGCGCACAGCGTGCGGGGATGCTGGGGGCCGAGTCACGATGGGGTGCTGGCAGCCGTGCCTCCCCTTGAAGCCTCCCGGGTGGCGGGACGGCCTGTGCCCAGCTGCTGCCTGATGGCCGGGTGGACGGCTGTGCGTCCTGACCAGAGTCTGCTCGCCACCGCGGAGCTGCTCTCGGGAGCATGGGGCTTCTCCCCAGGGCTCCCCTCCCTGCTGAGGCCTCCCGGAACCCCGCGTCCGGCCTGCAGCACGCACCTCCAGCCTCTGTGGGCTCTGCGCCCATGTCTGCGCCTGCGGGTGTCTGGCAGCAGCCCCACCGGCAACGCCTTGGCGGGCCCTGCCTTCACGGTGGGCCTGGGCGTGAGCCTGGCCCGGGGCACACCGGAGGCCAGGCCTGAGGCTTGCTGGAGACCTTCGCCAAGGCCTGGCCCCAAGTGCCGGGTGCTGAGCAGAACAACCGAGGAGGGAAGTCAGGGGCTGGTGGGAACCCCGTCCCGAGGGCACTGACTGCGGGAGGGGTGGGCTGTCCGCTTGGGACACTGCTGGAGTCCAGCGGAGGGATTTGCCAGCCCTCCTCGCCTGACCCGGCTGTGGGAATGGTTCCTCCCCGGCCCCACCGTTGTCCGGATGACCTGCTGTGTAGGGGACTGAGGGCAGGCTGGGCCCAGGAGGCCACGCCCCACCGAGGGCGCTGTGGGCGGTGCCTGGGGCGGCGGGCTCCCCGGGGGCCCCGAGTGTGGACCTGGGTCTCTCATGGCAGGTGAGAGGCCGCGTCTGGGTCAGGCTGGTGCTGGCCGGTCGCGTTTTGCTGGCTCGGCTCCAGGCTCCATGGGGATCGGCTCCCGGCCGTCGCTCCTCGGTGCTGGAGGCCACTCAGGGTGGAGGGAGGTGAGGTGGGGCTGCTCTTCCAAATGGCCCTGGGATGTGAGCCTGCATGGGTGACGCCATGGGGGGAGAGCACGGCCTGAGGTGTAGATGATGTCACAGGGCAACACTCGGGGTGGCATGGGCTGGCGTCGCTGGATGACATCGTGGAGGTGACATGGGGACAACATCACGGGGTGACATCACAGGGTGACGTCGCGGGTGACATCACAGGGTGCCGTCGCAGGCACGTCACCTGGGTCCTGCGGCCTGGGCTTGTGCACGCGTTTGCAGACCGCTGGGCCCAGGCCAGGGCTCCGCGTGCGGCCTCCGAGTGCTGCCTCACCGCCCCGTCTGTCCCCACAGCCGAGGCCCAGCCCTGTAGGCCTCACTCGGGAAGCTGAAGGCCAGGCCACCCCCAGGGAGGACGGCGCTGGAGCCCGGGGCCTGCGGGATGGAGCTCACCACCCTTCCGAGAGCTGGTTCCAGGCAGGAGGACGTGGGGGTGCTGCACAGGGTGGTGGCCAGTCTGCCCCCAGGCCTCCACCTCCGGCGCGGCGGCAGCTTCCCCTGCGAGAACGGGAGGCAGATGCAGCTCCCCAGGGAGTTGGAGAAGGTGGGACGGCGTCTCGGCTCGGGCATGGCTCTGCCGCCTAGGGGCACCCGGAGAGCGCTGAGGAGACTGGAGAGACGGGGAGTGGCCAGCTCTGCCCTCCCTGTGCCCACACCTCCAGTTCTGATCCTGATGGGGGTTGCTGGGCTCCTGGCACTGTCCCCCACTGTGCGGTGAACCCCACTGCACCCTTGTTCAGGTCCCGAGACCGTTCGTGGTACCCGGTCCCCTTGCGTGAGACTGGGGGACGGCAGGGGCAGCCTGCCTGTGCTACCTCCTTCCCGGGGCAGGGGTGTCACGCGCCCCCCAGTGCTCTGGGAACCTCAGGGGGTGTGATTCTGGGTCAGGTCACCCCGACCCTGCGGCAGTGCCCGGCAGGTGGTGGTGCCCGCGGGCCCTGACGATGGGTGGGGGTCTCAGGGTCTCAGGGCCTGACACCAGCACCCCTCACCCCCGCAGGACAACCTGAGAAGGTGGGTTTCTGAGAACATCAGGAAGAAGGTGTGCGTGTGCTTCATGGAGAGCACCAACAAGTCCGATGCGGGGTGAGTGCTGCTCCCTGGTCCCCGAGGCTGACGGTGTGGAGGGCGGCGGGTGTGGGGGACGGGCACCGGCTCGGCCCGGCTGGCTGCTGGGGAGGTGCCGTTTCCCTGGTGCAGAGACAGCTGCAAGCGGCGCCTCGAGGCGGTCACCCCACAGGGGGCTCTGCTGTGAACTCAGGTGCTTAGGCTGGTGTCACCCCTTCCAGGACACCCCATTTCACTCTACGGGTGCGCCATACCCAGGCCAGTCTGAGGACCAGGCCTCTCTGAGTCTCATGGCCCCCTCTAGAGCACCCCCCAGAGAGGCCACCAGCGCCACGTCCATGCAGCAGCGGCCACCCGCTGGCCATTGGGCATGCAGGGCTGCCTGGGGCTGGTCTGAGGACCGCTGTGGAGGGACCTGGCATCCTCTGCAGCCCTGGTGTGCTGGTCTCAGGTTCCTTGGAGGCCATCAGGGCGCTGACTGACGGGTGTTTCTCCTGAAGCCACACCCTGGCTGGCTCCGTGCCATCACCACGCCCACACCTGGGTCCAGCCTGCCTCTCCCTCCTCTGCCTGAGTCTCACTGGCTTCACCGGGGCCCGCCCAGGGAGGGGCCACGGGGCTGTGCCATGCACAGCTGAAAGCTGGCGTGGGGTCTGAGCCCCTGCCCCCAGGTCACCTGTGGCGCCGGACAGGCGGTCAGCCTCAAGCTCCTGTCTGCTGAGGGGCAGGGAGGAGGCGCGTCCTGGGCCTGGGCAGGGGGTCAGGGCAGAGACGCCCCTGCTGAGGTCGCTCCGGGCCCTGCGATGTGCTGGGTGACCTCGGTCTGGCTCCTCTGCAGATCGGACCCTCGTCTCATCGGGAGACCCAGGAGCGACCCCCCAGATGGGAGGGTCCCCATCTCTGTCCAGGAGCCTCCCAGCCCATAAGGCCGACATCCGAAATCCTTGTCCTTAATCAGCTTCAGCTCCCGCCGCGTGTGACAGGGGCCCGGGGCTCTGCGTCGGGCTGGCTTTCGTCACTTAAAATAGGGGCATGATCAGCCTCGGGGGCTGTGGGTTCAGCTCCCATCGGAACTGCTGGTTTGAAGGCATCCTGACCGTCCTGTGGAATCTCGTGTCCAGTTTGTGGGTGACCGGGGTGCCCTCCATTGAGCCCTGGCTACTTCTGTGAATTCTGAGCCCATGGCGCCTGTGGACAGGCTGGCGAGGGCCGGGGCTGAGTGGGGCCCCAACTCCCTTAGTGCTTCTTTCCTGCTCTGCACTGGTGCTCGGGATGTGCGTGCTGCTGGAGACGTGTGCGTGCGCCTCTCAGCGGAGCCCTCAGGTGTGCTGTGCGTGTAAGCGGGTATGTGCACAATCCACCTCCATGTTATGTAACACATGGCACGGAAACAGCACGGCCTGCTGGGCACGTTCCCTCGTTTGAGTGGCGGGTAGAGACCCTACCACCTTCCCTCACCGTGCGCAGCACGATCGAGGTGTTCCCTCCTCACGCGCCGGGCACCGTGTTGGATGGTGGTGTCGTTTGTGTGTCGTTCCAGAGGGAGCCAGGTCGGCCGCACCGTGATTGGACACTGCCCGTTGCTCTTTGGCGTTCACCATCTCACCTGTTTAGAGCCTGACACCCCCCCCCCCGCCCCCAGCCCTTCTCGCAGGGCGGCAGAGGGCGCCTCAGGCTTCTCTTGCCTGCGAACGCCTGTGTCCCTTCCCGCGCCAGGGATATTTGCTCTGGGTACGGAATCCAGGTTGGTAGTTTCGTCTTTCAGCGTTTGAGAAAGGCTGCGCCCCTCCTTTCCGGCTCCTGACGAGGAGCTCCTCGTTTGCGGTGTTTCGCGGGTGCCGTCTCCGGCCTGCTGCTTGCGAGGGTTTCTCGCTGTCTTCAGGCCTTAGAGTCTGGCTGTTCCGCGGCCCGACACTGCCTCCTGCGTGTGTCCCGCGTGTCGGTCACTCAGTTCTCACCCTCTGTGCACTGAGGTCTTTTTCCCAAGCATGGGGAATGTTGGCCATTCTCTGTTTTTCTTTTGTAATAGTTTTTTCGAGTTCACTTTTGAATTGTTTATTTCCGCTAGAAAATGGAAAATTGATTCATGTCGGTGGGCCTGAGAGCCTGCCAACTCTCTTCCCTGTCACGTCTCGCAGCTTTTTCTGGGAACGTCCTTAGGAATGTCTACACCTAATCGCTTTGTCACTGGTGGATAAAGGAAGTTCTGATTCTTCTTCTCTTGTCCTTGTGTCTTTTATTCCTCCTTCCCTCCCTCCTTTCCCTTCTGGTACGATGCTGACTGGCAGTGGCGGGCGGGCTGCCTGGCCTTGTCCCGTCTTAGGGTTAGGGTGAAAGCAGCGAACACCTGGTCTGAGGTGAGCGGCAGGACTTTCATAGATGCCCTTAAAAAAAAATCAGGTTTAAACCTACTCACCTATTCTCAGTTTGTTGGGGTTGTTATTAGGGACGAGTGTGGTTGCTGGTAAATCAGGTCATGTCTCCAGCCTGACAGAGGCTCCTGGTCTCCTTTATTCTGCGAAGATGACACGTCCCATGCGCTGCTTTATTCGTGTCAGCCCAGCTGTGTGGCAGGTCGTCACTGTCACACGCTCTTCAGCCTTGCCTCTGCTTCTCGTCCTGGGCTCTGGTGGCAGCGACGCCCCGTCCGTGTTCCCCACACCGGGCCCCCGAGGCTCTGTTCTTTCGTGGATCACTCAGTCCGTTTTCTGTCTCTGGGCCATTGTGAGGGGTCCCTCGAGAGGGTCTTCTCTGTGTCGCCTCCACTCTGCTGCCTGCTTATCTACCGAGTCTCTGAAATTGTGGTCTTTGCATTTTCAGTGGCAAAGCTTCCACTGGCCACGGCTCTCTCTGTACATTTTTCAGTGTTTCAAGCGTGTCTGTAGTTGCTGCGAAAGCGTCTGGCGTGAGGGCGGCTCCACGGGCCTGTCGGGGGCCCTCGCCCACGTCTGTGGAGCAAGTGCTCTCGTCTATCCTCGCCCTGCCCGAGAGCTCCTGGCTCCTGGTGTGACTGGCGATTTGCCATTGAAACGCGGCTATTTCAGATCTCGTGTTATGAGCCCTGCGCCTCGTGTTCCAGCCCCTGTGCCGTGTCTGTGGGGACGGGAGCCCCTCATTATTGCCCCGGGGGTGGAGGTCAGGGCCGCTCCGCCTCAGGAACCCTCGTGGGGCGCCCTGGCCGGGCAGGGGTGTGTTCCTGGGGTGGGGGTGGAAGCCCCGCTCCTGTGACCGTGGACCCCTGCAGGGAGGTGGTGTGTGCCTGCGGCTACACACGCGAGCAGCACCTGGAGGAGGCCACCCGGCCCCAGGCCGCCCAGGACAAAAAGTGGGACCGGAGGTCGCATGTCCGGGAGATGCCCACGGATGCCTTTGGGGACATCGTCTTCAAGGGTCTGGGCCACAAGTCGGCAAAGGTGGGTGTCCTCCACTTGCTCTCACTGTGGAAGGGGCTGGGGACCCATGGGACCTCCTGGGGAGGCGGGGGGCAGGCTGCCCGGTGTAGGGCCTCTGGGATTAGGGGGACAGTAGATGTGCCCCCACTCCCCACACGGCAGGGTGGGCTGCCCGTTTGGGCGTGCTGCTTTGTGGGGCCGGGAGGGAGTGGGCAGCCCCCGGACACTCAGGGCCCACTGAGGAGTGGTGCACGGGAGGGCCAGCTTGGGGCCGGCTGCCAGGGAGCCCACCCGCGCCGGCGCCCCCCGCCGGCCGCGCGTTCACACCAGTCCACCTGTTGGGGGCAGCGAGGGCAGCGTCAGGCCCAGAGTGGGAGGCCGATGCCCGCCGACACGGGCAGGTGGTGGGCCACGGCCTTGCTGCGAGGTCGGGAGAGGACAGGGTGTCGAGGGGCTCCCCAGACACGGGCGGGGCGCGTGATGTGGATGTGGGGGAGGGCTCCTCTGTGGCCCCCCCAGGCCCCCCTTCCCTCCTGGCTCTCAGCCCTGGTCCTGCGGGCACGGCCGCCTTTACTCACCGGGTCTGGCCCGCCTGGGCGTCCCCCGGCCACCGGGCTCGCTCCGGGCCGGCACAGGCCACCGCTGACACCCTCCCCTCCCCGCGTCCAGAAGTACATCCGCGCCGCCTGGGACACGCCGCCCCGCCTGCTCTACGAGCTCATGACCCAGCGCTGGGGCCTGAAGGAGCCCAACCTCCTCATCTCGGTGGCCGGCGGGGCCAAGAACTTCCACATGAAGCCCAGACTGAAGAGTGTCTTCCAAAGAGGCCTGGTCAAGGTGGCCCAGACCACAGGTAGTGTCCGCGCGGGGCGGCGCCCAGGCTCGGGCCGTGCAGGAGGGCGGGAGCAGGGAGCCGGGCCGCCTCAGGCCCATCTCGCTGAACGCCAAGCCCAGAGGCGCCTGCACACAGGGGCCCACCCTGGGAGGGCAGAGGTAGGAGGTAGGACCTGGGTCTCCCGGGCCAGGCTGGGGTCTCACGCGTCTGCTTTTTCTGGGTGGCCGAGGACAGGGCACCCAGACCCCACTACTCTCTGCTCCTCCCAGGGGCCTGGATCATCACCGGGGGGTCCCACGTGGGCGTGATGAAGCAGGTGGGGGAGGCCGTGCGTGCCTCCAGCATGAGCTGCAGCGAGGGAGACGTGGTCACCATCGGCGTGGCCACCTGGGGCTCCATCCACGGCCGGGAGAGCCTGGTCCACCCCGAGGTGAGTGCGCGGCGCCAGGCGGTCCTCACTAGGCGCCGCGCGCACAGACCCGGGGCAGCAGGCGGGAGGGTCGACATGGCCAGGACGCAGGCGACGTGCTCAGGGCCGGCCAGGCTGTGGCCACGGCTGCCTGGGCTGCCCTCCTCCCTCGACCTCGGGCCTGTGGGCAGTAGCGGCTCAGTGAAGGCTGGCCCTAGCCTGAGTCAGGCCGTGTGACCCCAGGGCCAGGCCCTTGACCCCGGAGCCATAGGCAGAGGCCCCTGCAGCCCGCCCCGGGGCTCCCCCTCCCGGAAACCCCCCCAGAGCCAGCTCCGTGTCTGGTGCCCAGTTGCCTAAATACAGACACCGAGTGGGGAACGGCCCCCCTCCCCGTGGCTTGTAGGGGCCCAGCAGGTGTGTCCAGCTTGCCCACGGTCAGGAGAGCTCGGGGAACACACTGGCCCAGGCCCCGGGCCCAGGATCCTCAGGGGGGAGGCCCCTGGGTGCCGCCCCTCGCTGCTCACTGGGTCCCGCTCAAGCCCCGTTCCGTGGGTGACGACCTCGGCGGGGAGCATCCGTCGTGCAGGCGAAGGTCTGAGCTGACCCAGGGTCAGCTCACCTGCGCAGACGCTCCCGAGACCGGGGTTCCCGCAGGCTGGGGTGCGGTGACGTCTGGGTGTGACCCCCACTGCCGTGTTCAGGACGGGCGATCCCCGCGTCCACCCCGCAGGGCAGCTTCCCCGCAGAGTACACGGTGGACGAGGAGGGCCAGGGCGACCTGACCTGCCTGGACAGCAACCACTCCCACTTCATCCTGGTGGACGACGGGACCCACGGCCAGTACTGGGCGGAGATTGAGCTGCGGACGAGTCTGGAGAAGTTCATCTCGGAGTGGACCAACAAGAGAGGCGGTGGGCAGCGCATACCCTCGGGGTGTCGGGGGCGACAACGGGGCTCCGGGTGGAGGACCGGGAGGGCCGCGCTGGGTCCGCCCATGCCCTGCCCCGGCTGTGCGCCAGCCCCAGCCTCTCAGGTGGGGGCAGGTGAGAATGGGCGACGCTGCTGGCCGGGGCGGGCTTGAGAACGCTGCCCCCCCGTGGGTGTTGGGGTGCGTGTGGGGCCGGCCAGGCCACGTGGCCCTTGGAGGGAGCCTGCTGCTGGCAGCGTTTGTGGTGTCTCCTCAGCTCCCCGGGCTGCTGGGCAGGGAGGGCAGAGTGGATGCCACTGGGGCTTCACCCGCATGCGGCCCAGGCTGACACCCCGTGTCAGGGCTGCAGAGGAGAGCGGCTGTGGCCGGCATGGCCTATAGGTAGAGAAGGGCCAGGCCTGGGCGTGGCTGGAGCCAGCCTCACCCCTGCCAGTGGGAGCAGGGGCTGCGCTGCGGGGAGGGGCGCTGCCCTGGCCCTGGCATCGGGAGCTGCCACCTCTGACTCCTCAAGAGCCCTGAGGAGCTGCCCTGGGGTCAGGCTGGGCCTGGGCAGGGACGGGTCCCGGGTGGAGGGGTGAGCCCCGCTCCCTAAGTCGGCTCTGGGCTTTGTCCTAGTGGTGGACATCAAGATCCCCATCGTGTGTGTGGTGCTGGAGGGGGGCACCGGCACCCTAAAAGTGAGTACTGGCCGGGCAGGGGGGCGTGTCTGCCGCGGGGGATACCGCACCCGCCCGTCCCCAGCACCCAGGGCCCTGCTCAGAGCGGGCTGCACCAGGGAGGCTGTGCCGGGTGGGGGCCGCTCAGGAGGGGCGGGGACTCTCAGGAGGAAGAGCCGTGGCCCTGGGTGGTGACGGGCTGATGTCTTCTGGGGCCGGGCGGCTGGGGGGCGTCCCGGGGGCTGTCCCAGGAGGGTTCTCAGGGTCCAGGCCCCAGGTTCCACCCGCCAAGGCCACAGCTGAACGCATCAGGCCTTCCACGCGGGGACCGCGGGCCTGGGCCAGCGGGATTCCCGCCGCGGGATCGCGTGGGGATGTCACAGCCTCAGAGCTGGGGCACGAGAGTGGACGCTTCACTTACAGGCCCGGAAACACCCCCCACTTCAGCAAGCGCAGCTCCCCCCAGAGCGGGTCTCCCGGGGGCGCGCCCCACGGTCTGCATGTGCGGGGTTCCTTGTGGGCCCCCCGACGGCACCCGGGCCGCATCTCCCGCCCGCAGCAGGCACCACTCGCCCTGCAGCCTCCTGGCCGGCCCCAGCCCCTCCTAGCACCCGGCTTGCGGGGTCTGTGGGCCTCCCCTGGCGCCCCGGTCTCGCCCGGCCTGACGGGGGAGCAGCGCACCCTCGCCCCGGAGCAGCGCTGGAGGCCTGGGGGCCTTGCTCCCGGGTGCCAAGGGCGTGGCCTTTGGGTCGCCCAGCAGTGGACCAAGGAGCCGGAGCCCAGGCTGGGCGCGGGGGCCGGGTGTGGGCGCGCGGCTCACTCGCCTGTGTTGCAGACCATCTACGACGCCATCACCAGGGGCACCCCCTGCGTGGTCATGGAGGGCTCGGGCCGCGTGGCCGACGTCATTGCCCAGGTGGCCGGCCTGCCTGTCTCGGGCATCACCATCGGCCTGGTCCAGCAGAAGCTGGGCGCGCTCCTCCCGGAGGTGTTCGCGAAAGTCACCGAGCCCGAGCTTATGGAGTGGACCAAGAAGGTGAGTCCGTTGTACCCCCAGGCGAGCCCACGGCCTGGGGGTGGGAGGGAGACAGACACTCACGCGGGACCCTGGGGCTGGCCGGGGGCGCCTTGGGGTCACGGGGCAGTGCCCAGAGGGCCCGCAGCTGCCTGGGCCTTCAGGTCCGGGCTGTTCTGGGGGGAGCCTGGGGGTCGGCGGGCAGCTCAACTCCTCCCGGAGCGTCTCCGCTCGGCCGTGGGTGCCGCGTGGTGGAACCTATACTCTGGAGCCTGCTCCCTGGGCTGCAAGCGGGGCCCCTCCCGTGCTTCCCTCCACTGTTGTCTCCAGGGGGGTTCCCCGCTTTGGCCCAGTGGGTCAGCGCTGTGGGTGGGGACGGGACGGGCAGGCTCCTGCAGGGCTCCGGCTGGCGGACTGCCGGGCGCACGGGGCTGGTGGGGCCGCGTGTCCTCGTCGCGTGGCCTGGTCGTGGCGCCAGCTCGGGCGGGGGACCGTGAAAACCGGGCCTGCACCGGCCCAGGCAGCGTGGGGATGGGGCAGCGTGGGTGCGGGGCCTTGTGGCTGGGCAGGGTAGGGGCCGTGGACTCACCATGAGAGCCAGTCCTGCGGGCTGGGCCCAGGGGCCGGGCTGTGGTGTGTGCACAGGTGGGCCCCGGCTGGGCGGCAGCCCCATGGGCTGTGGCTGCTGGGGGGAGAGACAGTTGCACAGCTGGGCGGGCAGGGGCCGAGCCCAGGCTGAGCTGCAGCACCGTCCCCCCTTGCGACCACGGCGGGCGCCCCGTGCCTGGCCCCTCAGCGTCCTCGTCCTGGCCGCCGGTGGGAGCGAGGTGTGGCTGTGGCGGGCGGGCGGGCGGCCGGGGTGCAGGGCCTGCCCCTGGGGAACGCTCTGTGTGCAGATCCAGGACATCGTGAGGAGGCGGCAGCTGCTGACCATCTTCCGGGAGGGCAGGGACGGCCAGCAGGACGTGGACGTGGCCATCCTGCAGGCCTTGCTGAAAGGTGATCTGGGCAGAGCGGGGGCAGGGAGAGAACACGGGGACGGGGGCGGGGGGTTCGCAACCCCGGTGTGGAGGCGCCAGGACCCCACACCCTCGGACACGGGGGCGGCCATCCAGGCCTCGTCTGTGCCCATGCGAGGAGAGAGCCGCACTCCGGGGGGGGCCACGTGTGCCGGGGGCCGCATGCCGGAGGCCAGGGTGGGCAGGGACCCTCAGTGGAGACCCCAGATGCGGGTGGGCGGAGGAGGCCGTGCCGCACATGCTCCCCACGCGCCCCCCAGTTTCCCGCAGCCACGACCGCCCTGGCCATGAGAACTGGCTGCACCAGCTCCAGCTGGCGGTGGCCTGGAACCGCGTGGACATCGCCCGCAGCGAGATCTTCACGGACGAGTGGCAGCGGAAGGTGAGGCCGCTGCTCTGGAGGGCCCGGGTGGCCCCGGCCCGGGGGCGGCCCCCACAGTGCCCACGCCTTGCTGGGCCACCGGCCGCCTCCCGGAGGCCTGACCCGGCGCCGCCCTCAGCCCTCAGAGCTGCACCCCGTCATGATGGCCGCCCTCATCGCCAACAAGCCTGAGTTCGTGCAGCTCTTCCTGGAGAACGGGGTGCAGCTGACGGAGCTCGTCACCCGGGACAAGCTGCTCACCCTGTACCGGAAGCTGGACCCCGCCTGCCTCTTCCACCGCAAGCTGGAGAGGGTGCAGCATGACCCCGAATCCCTGGACCACGTGTCGCGGGTGCTGCAGGAGCTGCTGGGGGACTCCGTGCCGCCGCTGTACGGGCCCAGAGACCATACGGAGCCCAAGGTGAGCGCCGGCCCGGTCTGTGGCACTGCTGGCTCCCGGGCCCAAGCAGCACCCACGGGTAGGACAGCAGGGGCCCCGCCTCTGTGGTGAGGGCAGCCCGTCGGCCCCCGAGGCTGTCCTGGGCGGGTGGACAGGTCTCCTCCCCCGCCCGCCAGGGCCCCGGGCTCCTGGGGCAGGTCACCCCACCCGGGGCTCCAGAGGCAGCGCCCTCTTTTCTGCCGCACGGATAGGGCGAGAACCCCCAGCCTTCAGGCTCTGGTGCCTTTTCGTAGCAGCCCCTCCCGCGTGTCTGTGTCCTCTGACGCTGCTGCGAGCGGGGCCTGGACGCCCCGCGCCACCCGCCCCACCTGCCTGCCCTCCGCGGCCGGGCGCAGCTCCGCCTCCGCTCTGGACGTGGCCTCGGTGCTTCTGGCCGAGGGCCTGCGCGAGTCTGTGGGGTTCTGCTGCCTCCCCACCAGCTGTGAGACCCCGTGGAGCCCCTCGCTCCCCCCATTCACGCGAGCGAGCTGCAAGCCCGTCGGTCTCCAGAGGCCATCGGGCGGCCCTTCCGCGCAGTCACTGGATGGCTCCGGCCTCGCTCCGGGGCCTCTGTTCGGGGACCTGCTGGTCTAAGAGGCACTTGCTCTTGCTGGCTTCTTGCCAGAGAGTCTCCGCTTCTCTCAGGGGCTCAGGGCAGCCGCTGCCCAGGGGCGCTGGGCCCACCTCCAAGAGGACGGGAGCCGGTGTGCCCATGCGGTCCTCGTCGCCCACGTCCTCTCCAGGGCGCTGCCAGGATGGCCTGGCTCGGGCGCTCCGCGGAGCCCTGAGTCTGTGATCTAAGGGGGGGCAGATTTCCTGAGCGCCGAGGCTGCAGGACTTTCCTGACATGAGCTCAGCGGGGACTGGCCGGAGTGTCCGAGGCTGTCCCTGCCGGGCGGGCGCGGGGCTCCGGCCGCGCTGGGAGGCGCGGGGCCGGGTCAGGCTGCTCCCCGGGTCCCGAGCCCTCGGCGCCAGGCCTTGGGACGCCGGCTGGCCAGGCGCCGACCACCCGGCTCCTCCGATGCAGGGCCCGTGCCCGTGCTGCCCCCAGAAGGGCGCCCCCAGCCAGGACGCCTTCACCGCAGACCCGGTCCGGGACCTTCTCCTTTGGGCCGTTGTCCAGAACCGCCGGGAGCTGGCGGAGATCGTCTGGGGTCAGGTAACCGGGTCCGCTGCTGTGGGTGGGAGGACGCGCCCAGGGTCAGGCTCTGGTGGAGCAGGGCTGAGGCGGGGCGGGGCCTGCGCTGGGGGCGGGGCCTGCTCTGGGGGCGGGGCCTGCTCTGGGGGGGGCGGGGCCTGCTCTGGGGGCGGGGCCTGCTCTGGGGGCGGGGCGCTGCTCCCCTCTGAGCCAGCAGGTACAGGGTCAATTCCTCTGCGGCCACGTGGGCTCTGCTGACCCGCCCAGGCGCTCGCCCTGTTCCTGGAGCCCTCCCCGGCCCAGGGCAGGCCCCACCGGGCATCCCGACAGGGTCTGCTGCTGAGGGCAGGGGCGGCGCTGCCCTGCGTGCCCAGGTCCCAGGTGCGGGTAGTGGCTCGAGGGGCGCCTGAGCCGGGCTGGGGCTGGCCTGGGCTGGGAACCTTCCCCCCTGTGGGTCCCTCCGCGCCCGCATGGGCCAGAGGCAAGGAAGCCCGGGCCAGCCCCGCGGCCCTGCCAGGCAGGACAGGGAAGGGGCCGCCAGCCGGCAGGCTGCCCGGCCAGTGCGGGCGCTGGGCCCCAGCAAGGGCTCCTGGCTCTGGGGCGGCCGGGCCACCCGGTGCTCACCGTGGCTGTGCCGGCCGGGGCTGCGTGTGACCACTGGGCAGAGCGTCTGGGCTCTCCCGACCGCGTCATCCGGCTCCTCACTGCGGCCTCCGGTCCTCAGAGCCGGGACTGCATCGCCGCGGCCTTGGCCTGCACCAAGATCCTGAAGGCGCTGGCCAAGGAGGAGCACCCGGACTCACAGGAGATGCAGGCGCTGGCCGGCGAGTACGAGGACAAGGCCATCGGTGAGCTGGCGCCCGCGGTCCCCGGTCTGGTCCCCACGCTTGGCCTCGGCCCGCCAGGCTGCACCCTCGGGGCGGGACACCCCAAGCCGGCCCCAGCACAGCCAGACAGGCCCCTCCTCCGCAGGGGTGTTCACTGAGTGCCACCGGAAGGACGAGGACAGGGCGTGGAAGCTGCTCACCCGCCCGTCGGAGGCCTGGGGCAAGACCACCTGCCGGCAGCTGGCCCTGGAGGCCGATGACAAGAAGTTCGCATCTCATGTGGGCGTCCAGGTGACCCTCGTCATGCCCGGGGTTGCGGTGCTGCTGGGGCCCGGGCAAGGCTCGAGGGGCCGCAGACAGGCGGCAGCCCCCGCTCCTGCGGGGAGCGGCTGGTGGGTGCAGGCAGAGGACGCAGGAGCCTTCCTCTTGGGTGTCTCTCTGGGGCCCCACGGGTCCCCCAGGTGCCCCAGGATCCAAATGCCACCCTACTTGGCCTGGGGGGGGGAAGGTGGGGAGGCAGCTCCTGGGTGCTGGGTCCTGAGCACCTCACTGCCCACGCGGTCTGGCCCCCGGCCCCCGTGGCACACCCTGCGCTGCCCCATGGGGGTTACAGGGTCTGGCCGCTGGGGGCAGGAGGTGGGTCCTGAGGCCAGAAGCCCGATCTGAGCCCCACTTCGGGCCCCTGCCCCCACTCCCTGGCCACCGCACACCTGCCGCACGGCCTGTGCACCCCTCCCTTGGCAGGACCACCACCCACCCCCAGGGACCAGGGGCCGGTGCCCACCGGCCTGACCCTCTGCTCTGCCCGCAGGCCTTCCTGACCAGCGTGTGGCAGGGCCAGCTCTCTGTGGACAACGGGCTGTGGTAGGTGCTGCTGTGCATGGTGGTCTTCCCGCTGCTCTTCACCGACTTCGTGGCCTTCAGGTCCCGCGGGGTGCGGGGGGCGCGGGCTGGGCAGGACTCCATCCCCAGGGCCTGGGTGAGGGGTCTCCAGTCCTCAGTGCTGCACCCCAGTGCTTGAGATGCCATGGGCAGGAGCAGGGCAGAGCGCCCCGTGCAGGGTCCAATGCCAAGGCCTGTAGGGCCCACCTGCCTTCCCCTGCCTGTCTCCCCACCAGCACTCCCAACCTGCCCTCACACTCACCTGCCCTCCCCACCTGCCCTCACACTCACCTGCCTTCACACTCACCTGCCCTCACACTCACCTGCCCTCCCCACCTGCCCTCACACTCACCTGCCCTCCCCACCTGCCCTCACACTCACCTGCCCTCACACTCACCTGCCCTCCCCACCTGCCCTACACTCACCTGCCCTCACACTCACCTGCCCTCACACTCACCTGCCTTCACACTCACCTGCCCTCCCCACCTGCCCTCACACTCACCTGCCATCACACTCACCTGCCCTCCTCCCCCACCTGCAGTGGTGTCTCATCGCAGTCTAGGGAAACCGGTACCAAAAGCCTCTTTTGTGCCCCAATTCGAGGGGCCACCTGGATGCCCCTCCCCGAGGCAGCGTGGGGGCCGCTGCGCAGAGGCCCATCGTCTGGGAGGCCCCTGGGGTAGTCGGGGCGTCGGGGCGGGGCAGGGCAGGGCGGCATGGCCCCTCACGGCAGGTGTGTCCCGCAGGGAGCCGAGGTCGAGGCCTGCGCGTGGCCTGCGGCGCCTGTGCGCCTTCTTGGCGGCGCCGGTGGGGGTCTTCTGCCTGAACGTGCTGTCCTACTGCGCCTTCCTCGGCCTCTTCGCCTACGTGCTGATGGCGGACTTCCAGCGCCTGCCCTCGTGCTGCGAGATCATCGTCTACGTGTGGATCGTCTCGCTGGCGTGCGAGGAGCTGCGGCAGGTGCCGGCCCTCCCCGCCCCGGGGGTGGGGGGCGGGATCCCGGGGAGGTCACCCCACTGCTCTGCCCCTCCCCTGCCCCGCGGGCAGCACGTTTTCCTGGAAACCTGTCTGGGTCCCCTACTCCCCTCACGGGCAGTGCCCTGTGTGGGGGTCCCCTGGGTTGGAGCGCCTCCGGGGGTGCCCACCAGCGCCATCTCCCCTCCCCTGCTCAGGGGCGCGGGCCGTGGGGCGCAGGGGTATTGCTGGGGCCGGTCCGCGTCTGGCGGGCCTCTCCACCACCCTGGAGCCCAGGCCCCCCCGAATCCCTCCAGACCGCTGAGCCCCCCAGGCCCAGGAGATCAGAGACTTGTTGGGGGTGGGTCCCTCCCAGGGTTCAGGGCTCAGTTAATCTCACGGTGTGTCCTTGCTGCACCCCCTTGTGGCAAATGTGACCCTTTGGGGCTGGACTTGGGGTTCAGGGCCCACAGGGGTTGCTGCTGGGAGCAGGGTTGTCCCCCTGGCTGCCCGGCCCCTGTCTCCCCTCCCTTCAGGGCCTGCAGCAGCCAGACCCCCAACAAGGGGGCGGCCCCCGTGCCAAGGCTGCCAGCTCATGGCTCTGCCTGTGCGCGGGGTGGGCAGGGGCCGGTACCTGCAGGGGTGTGCGGGCGGGCCAGCTGGTGCTCCGCAGCCACCGGTACCTCCCGCCTCCTCTTGGGGCTCCCGTGGGAACAGCTGGGCTCCCCTGGGACCAACAGTTCCAACAGGCAGGGGCTGGGCAGGGCTGGGGGACCCCGGGCCACTGGGAGGTCCCACCTTCGTGCTGGCCACAGACAGGCGCTTCTCGCAGCTCCTCTGCAACCCCCACTGGAGCGGGCCGGCGAGGATGGCGCGCCGGTACTTCAGCGACTCCTGGAACCAGCTGGACGTCGCTGCCATTGTGCTGTTCATGGCGGGGCTGGTCTGCAGGTGGGCGCCGGGCCGCCACTCCACGGGGACGCCCTCCCGTCCCCAGAGGCCGGGTGGCGGGGACAGCTGGCTGTGCCCGTGAGCCCCAGCACCTCTGAAACGCGCCCGTCCTTTGGGCGGGCACACGCTGGCCGAGACCGTCTGTCCTGGACCCGAGGAGCGAGGAGGGGCTCCCCCAGCTCCCGTCCCTCCTGCCCTGGGGCCGGCCTTGTGTCTGCTCTGCCAGGAACCCCTTGTTCTCCGAGCGAGAGGCGCTGGCCCCCCTCCTGGCACTGCGGGCCTGCGGGGCTGGGCTCTGGCCTGCGGAGAGCGCTCCTGGAGGGCCGCAGCGCTCGGCTGTTACGACAGGGCCCAGGGGCTGCCGCAGCTCTGCCTCGGGGTCCCCCTGGGTGGGACGCGGCAGCAGGGGCAGCCTGAGCAACCCCCTCTGCCCGGCAGGCTCACCCCGGGGAGGCTGTACCCCGGCCGCGTCATCCTCTCCCTGGACTTCATCATGTTTTGCCTCCGGTTCATGCACATTTTTACCGTCAGCAAGACTCTCGGGCCCAAGATCATCATGTTGAAGCAGATGGTGAGAGAACGAGCTGGGTGCCGGCTGCGAGCGAGTCCCTCCCGGATGCCGCAGTCCGTGTCCAGGTCCCTGCCCCACCCCGACTCCCAGCGCTGGCAAAGCCATCTGGGTCTTTGCCTGTATGTCACCTCCTCCAGGCAGCCTTCCCTGATCTCCACCTCTCATTCCTCATCCCTGTTACAGCTCCTGGTGTCCCTCTCCTTGGGTGGCGGTCATGGCCGACCCCGGCCACATCTCCGGGGTGTCCAGCACCCCTTAGGTTGTGAGGCGATCACAGCTACCCGCCTCGAGCTCCGGGGTTCCCTGGTGTGGGTGTCGGGGTCTCCCTCCACAGCAGGGGCGCGGGCTGGGCGGGGAGGCCCCGAGACAGCTGCTGCCCTGTCCCTGCAGACGAAGGACGTCTTCTTCTTCCTCTTACTGCTGGCTGTGTGGGTCGTGTCCTTCGGGGTGGCCAACCAGGCCATCCTCATCCACAACGAGCGTCGGGTGGACTGGATCTTCCGGGGGGCCATCTACCAGTCCTACCTCGCCATCTTTGGGCAGATCCCCGACTACATCGACGGTAACGGCTGCCTGACAGCTGCGGGGGTGGGGGGGGGCCATTCAGCTCCTGCCGCCTCCGGTGGGGGGGTCTCCCGCCGCCTCACACTGTAGGGGGAGCTTCCGGAGTCAGGGGTGTCGGCCGGAAGGGGGGTTGGCTGACAGCACCTCCCTGATAAAGGTCACCCCAAGCGGGAGGGTCTTCGGGCGGTGAGTGCTTCTTTAAAAACGCGTTTGATCGAAGCCACGTTGGGTGGCGACGTCCGGTGTTTGGGGTGCACTCGACCCGCACCCGGACTGCGCGGCTTGTGTGCGTGGTGATTGTCTCCGAGTCGCTTCCACCCGCCGCCCTCCGGCCGAGCCCCCTCCTGCCAGCCGCCTTCCTCTCTGGGCCGTGCGTGCACTGGCTTCACTTCACCCTCCGCGCAGCGGCGAACCCACCGGCGTCGTCTGTCTCTGACTCACTTCCCTGAGCCTCGTCACCTCACGTCCAGCCAGTAGACGGCAGGACCCACCTTTTTCTCAGCTGAGTAGTGCTCCGCGGCACGATGGGCCTCCTGCCTGGTCACGCCTCAGGGGACGCAGCTTCCCCGCAGCTGTGCCTCAGCGAGTGTGCCAGGCAGAGGCCGAGAGTCAGCGTTTCCGCAGCCTCCGGATGAACACCAGACTCGGGCTAGCCGAGCCCCATCATGAGGGAGCCCCGCCCCGCCCCGCACAGAGGCCGCGTGGATGCGCGTGCCCGCGCCGAGCCCAGGGGTGCCCTCTCCCGCTCCCTCACCGCGTTGTCTCTCGCCTGCGGAGACAGCCTCTCTCCGGGTGTGCGGCGGCCTCCCCTGCGGCTTTGATTTGCTCTTCCCGGCGCGGAGCGGGGGCGCGTGTTTCGGAGCCGCTGGTTAGCGCGCGCTCGCTGTGGAAAAATTGAAAAAATCCAAGTCTAGAGAAGCACGCGCGCCCCGACGCGGCCCAGAGTTCGCCGCCGCTGCAGCCTGGCGAGTGTCCTTGGCGCTAATGCACAGGCCCGGGGCGCGGGGTGCGCGCTGGGGCGCGTCGGTGAGCTGCGGGCGTCCGGTGTGGCCACCGCTCACCGTGGGCGACCCCCTGCCTCGCCAAAGCGCTGCTTCTCTTTCTGAAGCCTCTTCCCCGCCTGAGCTGCGCAGGGCCGGGGCGCGTCTCAGCTGTCGTGGCGCCCACCGTCCCCCTGGAGCAGCGTCGCGGGGCCCGGCGGGGCCTGGCGGGGAAGCTGAGGCGGGCGGGCCGCAGCGTGGGGCTGGAACGGAGCCGCCCTTGGCGGAGGGTGCTGGGCAGGACGGGTGTCTCTCTCGGGCCTTCTCTGGGGCCCCCGGCTCGGGGCGCCTGGTGATTTGTTGGGGCGCCCTCGTGCCAGGAGTGAACTTCAGCCTGGACCACTGCAGCCCCAACGGCACGGACCCCTACAAGCCCAAGTGCCCCGAGAGCGATGCTGCCCGGCAGGAGCCCGCGTTCCCCGAGTGGCTGACGGTCACCCTGCTCTGCGTCTACCTGCTCTTCACCAACATCCTGCTGCTCAACCTCCTCATCGCCATGTTCAAGTGAGTGGCACCGGCGCCCCCTTCCCGGGAGGCCACGGGGCGCCGCCCAGCAGGCCCGGGACGCGGGCGGGTCTGTCCGGCTGGCACCTGCGTCCCCCTCTGCGGGTCACGGCTGCCGCGTCTGTCCAGGGCGTGCCTGGTGCCGTGTCTTGGGGAGCCGAGGGCTGGGCTCCCCCGCGTCCTGCTCTCCCCCACCCCGGGGTCGGGCCGTGGGGGCGCTGGCTCTGCTGGAGGGGCCCGGGGCTCGCACACTGCAGGGAGCGGCTCTCCGGCGCCGGGGCTCCCGGCCGGCAGAGGGGCCGCTGTTAGCAGGTGGTGTGTGGGAAGGAGTCAGGTCCTGGGGCGGAGGCTCCTGCGGGCGCGTCCCTGTGCGGTCAGGGAGCCGCTGCCCAGGCGAGGCTGGCGGACGCGTCCCTGTGGGCGGGCGGGCGCCGGGGGCCGCCGTGGGGAGGCCCGTGCGGTTCTCACCGCGGAAGGCGCCACAGCGGCGGGCACCCTCCAGCGTGACCTGCCGGCCCCGCCGCCCCCTCCGCCCGGGGACAGCCCCCTCTGCCCTGGCATCAGCGGAGCCGCCGCGCTGTCCCCTGCGGGCGACCGTTCCTGACGCTGCTGGACCCAGGGCCGGGCCACAGGGGCCGGCAGGGCAGCTGCAGCCCCTCGTCTCAGACCCCACCCGAGGGGCCGCCGGGGCTGCGGCGGGAGCCGGCCTGTAAACCTGGGCGTGCGGCGCCAGGACACTGCCGGGAGCGCCCCTGTCTGGCGGGCCGCGGGCCGTTGGGCCTCCACTGAGGGTGTCTCCCCTCCTGTCTGGGGGGCCAGCTCGGCCGCGTCTCCGCACCTGCGCTCGCTGCGGCCCCCCACCGGCCGGGGCCCGCGGGGCGCTGTCTTAACGGTGGTGCCTCTTGTCCCCCAGCTACACCTTCCAGCAGGTGCAGGACAACACGGACCAGTTCTGGAAGTTCCAGCGCCACAGCCTGATAGAGGAGTACCGCAGGAGGCCCCTCTTGCCTCCGCCCCTCATCCTGCTCAGCCACCTGTGCCTCGTTGGCCAGTGGATTGTCCAGAGGACCCCTTGCAGGGGGTACCAGCCGCTCAGTAAGCCGCCCCGCCGGCCCGCGCTGGCCTTCCCCGGGTGCAGGGGGCCCGCGGCTCGAGGGCGACCCCCGACATCCTGGAAGGTCGGCGGGCACGGATGCCGCTTGGGCCTGAAACCCCAGTTCCCACGGCAGGCGGGCGGCTCCGCCCGGGGCCCAGACGCCTCCTGGCCAGGCCTGCGCGTGGGTCGGGGCCCTGCGGCCGCCTCGGGTTCAGGTGCCTCTGCCCCCCACCCCCAGATACCGCGCTGGAGAAGGACGAGGAGGCCGTGAAGGCCGAGGAAGCCAAGAAGGCCGAGGAGGACGAGGAGGCCGAGCTTCTGGATTGGGAGGCGTGCGAGAAGGACCACTACCTGCAGCAGCAGCAGCAGCAGGGGTCGGAGCAAAAGATCCAAGACATGAGCCATAAGTATGCGCCAAGGCGGGGCCCCTGGGCGCCCGGGGCTCCCTTGCTGCAGTGCAGGCACCAGCGCGTGCCCACCTGAGGGCGGCCCGGTGCCGGCTCACCTGGGGGGGACGCCTGCGCGTGGTCCTGCAGTTCCGCCGCCCGATGGCCCCAGGGAGGCAGCCCAGTGGGCGGAGGGGCGGGTCACGGGCAGGTGGGAGCCTGTGGGCGGCTGCTGGAGGAGCGGTGAGCTGTGCGCGGGCCTGGCGCGCTCAGCCCAGCTTCCCCACCGGCCTCCTGCCCTGCTGCTTTCCGGGTGCCGGTCACCCCCTGTGATGGGCCTGGCCGGGCTCAGCTGTGCCCTCTCTCAGGGTGGACGCCGTGGTGGACCTGCTGGAGATGGACTGTCTAAAGCAGTTGGGCTCCCTGGAGCAGAGACTGGCCTCCTTGGAGGAGCAGGTGGGCCCAGGCCCTTCTGGGGGGCAGGATCTCAGGGCCCGGCCACCACAGCCCTGGGCCTGCCATCAGCAGCTGCTGGCTCCGCGCCCTTAGGCCGAGGCGGGCAGCTCCGAGGGCCTGGACCCGAGTCTTCACGGAGGCCGGCTGGGCTCGGTTGCGGGAGCGCTACAGAGGGGTGTGATGGGCATGAGTGTGGCTGTCCCCCACCCGCCCGGCCACCCGGCCATGCGTCCCCACCCGTGCACTGGGCACCTGTGCAGGCACCAGCCTAGCCTGCATTTCTTGCACAACTCCCCCGACCCGGCCTAGGACTGGTGTCTGGAACCGGAGGGTGAGCGCGCATTTCACCCTCAGGAGCCCCAGCCCCTGGGCACAGGCGCACGAGTCCATGGGCGGCGGCTGCTGGCGCTCTGGAGGGAGCTGGACTGGAGCCTGCAGGCCCTCTGGCTGCCTGCGCCCCTCTTGCTGAGAGGAGCAGGGAGCTCTGCTCCGGTGTCCCCGGCCTCTGCGCCGGGGTCCCCTCTAGCCCAGGCTCTCCGTGGCTGTCAAGAGTGTGGCCTCCTCCAGCTGCGCCGTGCTTGGGGGGGGGGGTGTGACCCTTGCACTGGGGTGGCCACCGTCAGCTGGCCCCTGGCTGGGGCAACTGCAGCTTGGGATCTGCTGGTCACCTTCTCTCCTGGCCTTGGCGCCTTCCCCTGAATGGGCGCAGCTGCTCCAAGCTGCCTTCTCCCGGCCCGTTAGTCACAGCTGTCCCCTGTGCCCTGTGCTGAGGCCGTTTGGCTTCCGGGAGGCCTAAGGACCACAGGGCACCTGGCGGGGTGAGGTGTGAGGCCTCACGCTCTCCTTGGACTCGGATTTGTCTCTCCAGGGCCCTTGCTGTTTCCATGGGCTCAGGTGTCCAGCCTCAGAGGTCACTGTCTCCCCCTAGTGATGCTGGCCGTCAGCAGCCTTGACCCTGGGAAGCAGGATGAGCCCCCCAGCGCCCTGGCCATTGGCCGGCGGCCCGGGGAGCAGGTGGCTGAGCAACAGGAATGCAGGGGCCGGTGCTGACAGTCCCCTTGGGGACATGCGTGCCTTCCAGGTGGCCAGAGTGCTGCACTGCGTGGCCAGTACCCGGAGGGAAGCCAGCTTGAGCAGGGAGCGCGCCCCCCACCTAGGTGAGTGGGCGGCTGTGCCAGCCACTGCATTCCTCCAGCCTGCTTTGCTCCTGGGGGAGCGAGAGAGGGCAGCTTCCAGGCAGGGGTCTGGCTGTGCCTAGAGGTGGGCTGTGGGCACGAGCCCGGCTTGACCAGACTGGACCTTCCAAGGGGGAGTCCTGGCCCATGGACCTGGTCCTCTTGGGCATCGTGCTGCCAGGGGGCAGCTCGGAGTCCAAGCCATGTCAAGTGGGCGAGAGAACACAAGTCTGTCCCCTGTACTTAGCCAGCCGGAATCGGGCCCGGGGGGGCTCTGGGGGTCACTGTCAGGCCTGTGGGGCCCGTGGGCTGGCAACAGCCAGAGTTGCAGGAGGCAGCACCACCCAGTCTTTGTCCTGCCAGTATCTGGGCCAGGGCCAGGGTTCCGCTCAGTGCTGGGGTTGGAGCTGGTCGGGAGGGGAGGCAGCCCACTTTGGGGCAGAGGACCATGGGGGACATTCCCGCCCTGGGGTCCAGTCCCAGAGCCTGCTCTGGCTCTGCACGTGGCTCCACACGGCTGTTTCCAGCACCCCAGGAAGCTGAGGAAGAGAAGGACCCTGAGCTGGAAGGCAGGCTGACGGCGGGGGACCCGGATGACACCCACCACGTGTACGCCCGGGACCTCCGCTACCCCAGCTCGCGCATCGAGCGCTTCCCCGTGCCCAACGAGAAGGTGCCTTGGGAGGTGAGTGCTGCCCGCGCACTGCCCCAGGCAGGGCCCACGTTCTGGGCCGGGGCGGGGTCCTGGCCCGTCTGATGCCACGCAGGTGACAGCACTGCAGAGGTGAGGCAGGTGGGGGCGGGAGAGTGGATAGCGGTGTTGGATGCCTTCCACCCCCGCAGTTTCCTGGCCCTTCCAGAACATTCCAGGGTGTGGGTCTATTGCCTTCTCAGTCCCTGCCAGTGGGACTCCTCTCCTCCAGAGTCCAGCTGACGCCCCTGCCCCGTCTTGGGGAGACCCCTAGACCTCCAGTCTGTCGCCAGCCCCCCGGCAGTTCCCTGGGTGTGGCCAGCTCTGGTCCGCCTGGCGCCCTCCCACACGGGCTCTGGGGGCATCTTGGGTGCCTCGGCTGTGGGTGCCCGAGCAGTCACTGGGCAGGGCTGAGGGGAACCACCTCTCCCGCAGACAGAGTTCCCCATCTACAACCCGCGTGACTACTCGGGCGAGAGGGAGGACGCGGTGGACCCCTCGGGAAGGTGCGTGCCCCTGCGGCCCTGGGCTTCCTCACAGCCGGGGGGAGGGGGTGTCTGGGTGGGAGGCCCCAGAGCGACCCCGGGAACTCCTCGGGCAAGGGTCTGCCCCTGCCGGCAGGGCCTGTGCTCCCAAGGGGCCTGGGGAGAGGCGCGGGGGGGGCCCCCCCTCGGCCCACAGCCCGTGAGGGCCGGCCCGGGCCAGCTGGGGCTCGGCGGGTCACTGTCCCTGTTCTCTCCTGGGCTGCGTCCTGCCGCCTGGCCGCGGCGCCCGGGAACCTCTGTCCGGGATCAGCTGCGACATTGTGGACGCCCCGTGGCCCGCCCAGGAGCCTCCGAGGCGCAGGACGGGCGCCCGCTGTGAGTGCTGCCCCGGCACACCCCGGGGCCTGGCCCCTGCCCCTCGGCCTGGCCGCAGCCGGCTCCTCTCTCTCCCGGGGCGCCTCTGACTCGACAGCCTGGAGGCGGCTCCCAGCACGGGCAGGCCCAGGGCGCGGAGGGCCAGGCTGCCCCCCCCCCAGGGTCCATGGGCAGGGGGCGGGGCTTGTCAGCTCTATGCAAATGAGGGCTTCAGTAGCGCAGTTCTGATTGGTGGGACGTGTGCCAAGAGGTGATTGGTGGAATTTCAACCCTGGGCGTGGCTTGCGGCTGAGATTCCCTCCCCCCACGCAGCTGCACCGCCCCACAAGCTGGGGGTATGAGGGGGCGCCTGGACAGTCTGCGCAGCCCCTCACGCCTGGGCCTGGACACGGCAGCACACCCCCCGGGCCCTGCGGTGCTGAGCCCCTGGTCGTCACCCAGACCTGGAGGGCTCCGTGCTCGTTTTCTTATTTTATTCCTCAGGGTTTGGGGCACTTTAGGGGACGGTGGGGTCAGCGTCTGTCCTCTGGGGACGGTGCCCCAGAGCGGTGCCCTCTTGTCTGTGGCTACAGCCGGCGGGCCTCTGGGTCCTGGGCTGCCCGGCGCTGCCCCCTTGCCGGCTGAGGCGCGGGACCTTCAGGTGTGGTGGGTGTGAACGGCTTCGGCCGGCAGGTGGGGCCCCCTGACTTCTAGCTGTCCGCAGTGGGCAGCATTTTGCTCCCAAGGAGACCCCTTTTTAGCCAACCCCAAGGTAACCTGACGCTCCCGCCCCACCCTGAGGAGGCCCCCAAAGATTTGCTGGGAGCAGGTCTTGGTCAGTGATGAGGATTCAGCCTCTGACTCGATGGGTGTTGGGGGTCATCTGAGTCTCCCCCACTTCCTGTGGAGGCCAGTTGCCTGGGCTCTGGGGACCCTGGGCCAGGGCAGGTGCAGGGGTGGGCATGCTGCCCACTGACCACTCAGTGCCCCCCGGCCCCTCTGGCTCTCGGGCAGCAGATGAGCAGACCCCTCCTGCCTGCAGGAACCCCAAGGGCCGCACGGGGCTGCAAGGACGCGGAAGCCTGCGCTGCTTTGGACCCAACCACACGCTGCAGCCCGTGATCACCCGGTGAGCACGCTGCCTCCGGCCCACAGCACCCTGCGTCCTCGACAGCCCCCGGCCCAGCCCCGCAGGCTCGAGCACACAGCTTGAACTTGGTGCTGGGGCAGCCTCAGGGCAGGGTCTGGTACACGTGGGTGCACCCCAGGACACAGGCAGAAACATGCTTGTCCCTTGGACAAGCCCAGGCTGCCCCCTCTGCCCTGGGGCTGCCCAGCAGGTCCCCCGTGGCGTGAGCCTGGAGGAGGAACAAGGGCGGGGCGCACCCGCCAGAGACGAGCGAAACACAGCTGCGTCCCTGCCGACAGGCACGTTCTAGGAGATGCACCGTGTGCAAGCGTCGCGCAGACCCCCAGGCGACGGGCTGCACGCCAGGGCTGCGAGCGGGGGTCACGCACACGCGTGGCCATGTGACCCGTTGTCCTGGGCCCGCCGCCACCCGTGCTGCCTTTGGCTCGCGGAGGAGGGGGCATCCGACAGCCCCAGCCCAGCCAGCTCCAGCGGGGGCTCCCCCGTGTCACAGGAGGGGGGCACCCTGACGTCACGGGGGTGGCCCCTCTGCCGGTGGAGAGGCTTTTCCCGGGCAGGGTCTCAGGAAGGGGTCCACCCTGTTGGCAGCTGGCAGCGGAGCCAGGACGGTGCCATCTGCAGGAAGAACGGCAGGATGGTGCTGGAGGTGCTGGTGATGCCGCGCGTGGACTGGGAGCTCTGTGCCCTGCCCGGGGTAAGCCCGCTCTGGTCCCTCTCTGGTCCGGGCCGCCCCCCACCACCTGCTGCCTGGCCCCCGCCCGCCGTCGGCCTGGGCTCTCTGCCCTCCCGGATGCGCAGGATGGAGGCCAGGACCTTCCCTGCCAGAGGGCAGCTCCCGCCTCAGGTGGCTGCTGCGGACCGAGGTCCCGACGCGCTGGAACTGACCACAAACCTCGGGCGTCCCGGCCCACGCTCAGGGGCTGTGCAGCTCCTGTGCAGCGAGCGTCGCCGGGGCACCCCTACCCTCGCCGGGGCCTCAGGCCCAAAGGACGGGCGTTGCCCGCCCTGCCCCTCGGCTCGGGCGGATGGTTGCAGGGCGCAGGCCTCTGGGGGCCCCAGAGGCCGTGTGGGCACACACAGAACTGGAGTGTGGAAGGTGCCGGATTTTCTGGTCTGAGGAGCCAGACTGCTGAGGTGTAGCTCCCGGTCAGCCGCCCTCTGCGCCCACCTCGTGTCTGGGGGGGCCGTGGTGAGCCCGGCCTTGGTGAGCCGAGTCTGGGACGCACCGTCAGGGATCTTCTCTAGGCCTGTGTATCCAGCTCAGCGAGGGCCTCTGGGGCCAGTGGCTGCCCTCCCATGGCTGCGCGGCTGTGCGGCTCCTCGGCCCAGGCTCTGAGGCCCGGGGCAGCCGTAACCTGCCGCTCCTGCTGAGGGTGTGGGGTGCGGCCGCCTCCCTGGGTACTTGGGTCTCCCCATGGAAGACACTGGTACAGCCTGACGTGGCGCCCAACACAGGGGTCTTCAAGCGGATCCCTGCCAGCCATGGCCGGCCACTGGGGTGCCGGATGAGTACCCGGGCGCTGCTGTCGCAGCTGGCATGGGGCGGGGGACCACGGGCAGATGGGGGGAGTGCCGGGACAGCAAACAGGGTCCCATGGATGGCCAGGGGTGGCGACCCTGGCGCCGGGTGTGTGTCCTGGGGCAGGTGGCCACAGGTGTGACCGGAGCCAGGGCCTGAGCAAGAGACAGGGACAGAGGACGTGACCAGGCGCAGATCACAGCCCGGCGGCGGGTGGCGTGTGTGCTGCTGGCTCCCTGACCGAGCCGAGGGGGCCCGCGGCCTGCGCTCAGGCTGGCCTCAGCTCGCACGCGCCCAGCTCTGCCTGATGTGGGCACTGGCTCTGGAACGTGCCCTTCTGGCGAGGCAGCCGGGCTGCTGGACTCTGCGCCTGCGGGTCCCGGGGGTGGCTGGCTGCCTGGGCCTGGCCAGTGGCCAGCAGAGATGGGTCCCCAGAGGGCCACTCTGTCTGCCTCCCTCTGCTCAGGGCTCCCGGGAGCCAGGGGAGACGCTGCCCCGGAAGCTGAAGCAGGTCCTCCCGAGTGAGTTCTGGACGACCTTCGAGACCCTGCTGGCGCAGGGCACCAAGGTGGGCGGCCCCTTGCTCTCTGCCTCTCCCGCGGCCTGAGCCCCCGTGTGCTGGGTGTGCTAGGGTTTGCCGGGTGTGCTGGGGTCTGCTGGGGTGGGCTCGGCGCTGGGGACCGTGGGAGTGAGTGCAGTGCTCTAACTCCCCGTGGGGTGGGGCTCCCCCTTGCAGCCAGGGCGCCCTGCCTGCTCCCTCCCGCGGCTGCGTGGCGCCGTGGCAGGCTCATGCGAGCAGCGGGTGTGACCAGGTCATGCGGCCCGTGTCCGTGTCCGGATGAGTCCAGGGAGAAGGCAGTGGCCGTGTCCCTGGTGCCGGCCCCGGGGGGCACACGCCTCGACTTTCCTTGCTTTGTGAAGTTGTTGCTTACGGGGGTGAAAGGCAAACATGAAACGAACCGCTTTGCAGAGCAGTTCGTGGCCGTGGCGCTTTCACGGGCTGCGAGCACCACCCCGTCTAGTTCCAGAACTTTCCATCCCTGAGCCGACACAGCTCCTCCCTGGCCCATGGGCCCCCCTGGGTCTTTGTCACCGGGCTGCTCTGGGCACCTCTGGCATCTGCCTCTGGCCGGGCCTCAGCGGTCCAGCCCTTCCAAGACCCACCAGGCTCTGCTCTCCGTTTCCCAGATGCCAGGCCGGGAGGCGGTAGTGAGGCCACGGAGCGCGGCCGGATGGGCAGGAGAGGCCGGCCCGGGGCCCGGGGCTCGGGCTTGCTGGATGGCCACGCTCAGAGGGCCCCAGGGCGGGACGGTGCAGGGAGACGTGAGGGCCTTCCCCCGGAGCAAAGCTGGGGCGGCGCCCAGGGGCCCCCGGAGAGCCGGCTCACCCTGCGCTGTCCCCAGGTGTACGAAGGGTACGTGGATGACCCTCGGAACACGGACAACGCCTGGCTGGAGACGGTGGCCGTGAGCATCCACTTCCCAGACGAGAGCGACGCGACCCTGCGAGCGCTGAGTGCTGTACGTGCCTGTCAGGCGCCCGGGAGAGGGAGCCCCGGGGCCCGACCCATTTCCGGCTGGGGCCAGAGCTGACGGGGGCTCCTGAGGCTTCCTGGGTCAGAGACTTGCACCAGAGGGCAGGGGTCGCCAGGGCCCCCTCTGGGTGAACGGAGTGGACGGCACCTGGGGACTGGTGGGGAGGGTCGGCCCAGCGCCCTGTGGGGGTTCTGTCTCCTGCACCTCCCTGACCCAGAGCCATGCCCCACGCTCCCCTGAGAGCCGGCAGGCCCCCCGCTCACATCCCGGGCTTTGAAGGTGCTTTCGGCTCTTTCCTGCTCCTGTGTCTTGCCCCGTCCGCGGGAGGTGACCCGAGCAGCTGGCCCAGACCGCTGGCCAGGCCCAGAGGGGCCCCAGCACCATCCCCAGTCCCGCAGCCCGAGGTTCGGGTGTCCGGCAGGGCCGGGCGGGCGCTCAGGTGCTCCTCCCTCCACAGCACCTGCAGCGCGAGGACGCAGCGACATCCCTCAAGTGGCAGGTGGTGGACGGGCGCTTCCCGCTGTACGCCGGCCACAGTGCCCTCCTGCAGAAGGCCGCCGCCCTGCTCCAGGCTCACTACTGACGGGACGGCCAGAGCGGGGGCCTTGAACAGCTACACACCCAGTGGCCTGGGCCTGGCCCCTTGGCGTGGTTTGGGACCAGACACCCCTCAGCCAGCTCAGGGCCTGCGGGATTTGCCTGGGGGGTGGGCGGGTACTGGCTTGGTCTTGGGCACGCTTCAGGGCAGGGATGGACACTGGCCCCACCAGTCTTCACTGCCTTCCAGGCTGGTGGAGGCCAGTCAAGGGGCTGGGTCATTGGCCTGGTGTCCACACCCCCAGTCCATGCCACTGTGACCAGCACGTGCAGCTCAGGGATGTGCTTCCTGGAGAATTGGGTCCCCATGCCTCCTCTTGGGCCCAGCCCCTCCAGAGTGCCCCCACAGACTGTGCCTGGCTGGGGGCATCGTGGGGTGCTGAATCTCCACCCCTCAGTGGGCAGGAGGCCAGTGCTGCATCCCCAAGATGTGGGGTCCCTGCCTGTGCTTGTCCCAGGGGCCCCTGCCTGTGAGCCCTGGGCAGAGCGGGTGGTGGGCGTGGACCTTGGGGGCACCTGGTCTAGTGTCAGACTCACAAGCGGTCAGCATCAGGAGCCCTGAGGACCGCCAGTCCCTGACTTTCAGCCCACTCCCCACAGCCCGGTGCTCCCGAGCGGTTACCAGCATGCGGGGTTGGGGGCTGTGTCCGAGCACCTGCCCTCTCCAGGCCCCACCAAGCTGCCCATGGCCCCAGCGTCCCTGTGGGTGGCGTCCCCCGCGCTTGCCTGCAGGCCCTCAGGTCCAAACCCATGGTCTCCCCCTGACACCCGCCCCCGCTCCTTTGCTTTCTGGGCCCCTGAGGACTCGCCCTACCCACGGCTGCTGGGCCGCCGGGCCTGGGCAGTCCTTCTAGGGTCCCGGACACAGCCTGACGAACACTCGGGCAGTGCCAAATAAAGGCCCCTCAGAGTGGGCAGGACACAGCGGCGTGTCACTGGCCGTCCTTCCCAGGAGAGCCTCGGTGATGGGCCCCGGGCAGGCTGAGCTCCTGTGGCCTGCTTGAGTGGCTGTGACTGCCCCCGGGCCGGGCCAGACTCCTCACCGTGTGGTGACCTGTCCACAGCCGTGGCTGGACAGGCAGGCTGTCTCGGGGGCCCCCCTCCTGCTTGCAGACTCTTGTGCTCACTGGCCTGCCCCAGGGGAGCCGGATGCCCTCGTTCTCCTGTTTGAGGACACTGGTCCTGCCCCACCGGGCCTCCTGGCACCTCATCTACCCCCATGTCCTCCTGGCCCTCTCCAGACAGTCCCGCAGGAGGTGGGGCTCCCGGGCGGGCCCTTGGGGAGGGACACGACACGAAGCCCTCAGACACACGTGCACACGCACACAGACACCCACACAGGTCCGCCCAGAGACAGGTACACGTGTGCACACACGCACATGTACGGCAGACAGGCGCACACAGACGTGCACACAGACACAGACATGCCGACTCAGGGACATGCGCAGGCACGTGCACACCAAGCAGAGGAGCCGGGGACACGCCCCCGAGTGGGGCCGGACCGGCCACTGCTGCCCACGCCGGGAGGGACGCGTGGCCAGAGCCTAGGCCTGACTGCGGGGTGGGGGCGGGCGGGCGGTTCTCAGGCCGCGGCAGGGATGGGCGAGTGGGGCTGGGGGGCTGGGGCCGCTCCAGGGCCGCGGGGAAGCCCTGAGCCGGCGAGGCCTGAGTGCGAGGAAGCAGGGAGGCCGGGGGCGAGGGCGGGCGGTGTGGACAGAGCGGCGGGGCAGTGAGACGCGGCGGCGGAGCTCGTGCTGGGGGAGAGGCGGCACGCGTCTCTGGTTTTCTCTCAGGTTCCGTGTCATCCAAAGCACAGGCGGCGGCCGGCTGACCCCGGAGTCAGTGGCCCGGGGCGAGGCGGGCCGGAGCAGACCTGGCCTGGGCGCGCTCGAGTGGGGGGCGGCACGGGCCCAGGAGGCGACGGCAGCCTCGGGTGCCCACAGCGACCGACACCGCGACCCCCAGACATCTGCACACTCGATGAGAGGCCGGGGTGTCGGCCCCCCGGGGACCACGGAACTCTCAGAAGTCAGGGACTCGAGAAGCAAAAGGAAAGTAGGGCAGAATGTGGATGCTGCAGTGCACAGATGGAGGCTGCTCTGTGTGTTCCTGCGTGTGTACCTGTGTGTGCCTGTGTGTGCCTGTGTGAACCTGTTTGTGTGTGTACCTGTGTGTATGGGTATTTACACGTAAGTGTGCAGCACACATGATGCTCAGCCCCCATCCCCGTCACTGGCCTCTTCTGGAATGTTCAGTAAACAGAATGTGCTGTGAGTGCCTGGCCTGTCTCACTCCCACATGTAGATTTAACCACATTAATCTGTTTCATTAAAATATTAAAAATTATAATTTGGAGGTTCTGTCTTGGCATGTCTTCAGTTTAGCGTATAATTCATGCCAGCAGCTTCACGGCTCATATTATTTTAGTCTGTTTAAAAGAAAATTTGCTATTTAAAGCAGAAATAATATTGTGGTGAGGGATTAATGCGTATGTGGGAGCTTCTGAGCCTCCCTCTGGGGTGGGCAGGGTTCCCACACCACATGGGTCTGAGACCGGGGAGAAGCCACACTGCAGTGGAGTCACCCGGCAGTCAGCCAGGGGAGGAGATGGACTCACGAGCAAGCTCAGCCCCGAGGAAGCAGGAGACATGGGAAAGGGACTGAGCAGAGGGACCTTCGAAGAGGGAGCAGGAGGGGACAGGCGGCCGACCACAGGCCGTCATGCCACAGGGGGTTACCGGAGCCAGGAGTCCCCTTGCTGTGCCCCAGTCTCACCTCCTGAGGTTTGACCAGGGCTCCCACCTGGTCCTTGGGCTACTCTGATCCCACCTGCCGTTAGCTTTTCTTGATCTGTTGTTCTTGATCTTCTCCAAACTGGGACAGAGACTCAATCCAGTCTTTTCTTTTGGCATCTTTTTGAAGTGGGCTCATGGTTCACTTTATGTCTTTCAGCTTGGGTGTGTGAGCTTTGTCCTCATGGCCAGAACGAGATTATGCACTTCTGGCAAGTTATGACTGTCCTGGTCCTGCATGTCAGGGCTATATGATGTCCATCTGGCTAATTGCTGGTGATATTAACTGAGCTTACACAGCTAAGGTGGTTTCTGCTGGGTTTCTCCCCTGGGAAGTCATTCTTTTATTCTCTGTGTTACAAAATTTATAGAGAAAGATACTCTGATGCGATGGAAATCCTAAGCATAAAGACATACGAAGTTAAAAGGAATGGAAGAAGATATCTCATGTTAATCTCATCAAAAGAGAGCTGGAGGGGCTCTATTAATGTCAGACAGAGTTCAAGGCAAATGCTCTGGGGATTGATAAGAGGGTTGCTTCACAATGGAAAGGCAGCTGGCTAATCCAGGGGACACTCATCTGAATCAAATTGCATGAAACAAAAACAGATGGAGAGGCAGAACAGTCTACAGTAACAGCCAGCTCCGCAACACCCTCTCTGGGTAACTAACAGTGCAAGTAACTGAATGTTGGTGATGAGGTGGAGCACTGGAGCCAGGCAGTGGCAGAGGTGACTTCAGCACTTATAGAACATTCACAGGATGACACACAGACTCACAGAACTATGATGCAGACTATCTGGGGTCATGAAATGAGTTGATAAATTTCTAAAAATCCAGAACATATGGTGTATGTTCTCTGACAACAATGGATTTAAAGGAATAATTTTCATAAAGGTCTTTGGAAAATCCCCAAATAACTGGAAATTAAATAATATATTGTTCTAAAACCATAGGCCATAAAAGAAGTCAGAAAGTATTTCAAACTTAATGACCGTGAAAAGACAGCAGTAGAATTTCTGGGGTGCAGCAACAGCAGGACTCAGAGGGAAATTTATAGCCCTCGAAATTTATCTGTATTAGAGGATTGGTGGTCCCTAATTAGTGAGGACAGCTTCTATCCTAGGAAACCAAAAAGAGAAATTAAAATCAATGTACGCTAAAGATCAGAATGGAAATTGATGGTGGGGGTGGGGAGTGGAGTGGGTGGTGGGGAGGAGCAAGCAAAACACTAGACAAATCAATGAAACAAAAAACCTGTTCTTTGAATATCAATAAAATGGATAAATTTAAAAAAAATTATTTTGAATGAGTGAAAAAAAAAACCCAAAACCTTCCATCCTGACTGATGAGTAAAAGTGACAAGTCACAAGCTACCAATGTCAGGAAGAGAAAGGAAGATCATTTTTCACTCTCTATTGACATAATAATAATGGGAGATTACGAACAGCTTTATGCTGATAAATGTGACTTGAATGAAATGGACAATTCCTTGAGAAGTTCAAGCGACCATTACTTAGGCAAGGAAAAGAAAAACTTCAACAGTTGTATAGCCACCGAATAATTAACAACATACTGGAAGGAAAATACGTCATGGCCAAGTGGGGTTTCTCCCAAGAACATAAGGTGATTTAATGCTTGAAAATGTAGCGATATAATCTACCACATTTGAAAAAGATTCAGCACAAAACATTTGCTGACAGTGACTCTCCGCAAACAGGTAATAGAAGCACACTCCCTACACATGCCTGGGGGCAACAGTGTTCTTAATGTTGGAAGACTGAATGCCTCGCCCAGGGTCAGGAAGAGTAAGGCCATTTGCTCTCACTCATATTCAGAAACTGAAATAGAAATACCATTTACAATAACATAAAGTATACCTACAAATCTGAGAAAGATTGCAAGATCTATGAACAGAAAATCATAAAACATGGGGAAAAACTACGAATTGATGAGAAGGTATACCATGTTCATGGATGTTAATATGTTTAGCTTTTCAAAATGATCTAAAAATTCAATGCCATTCGAAACAAAATCCCCATTGGCTTTTTTGGGGGGGTAGAAATTGACACATTGGTTCTAAAATTCGTGGGGAAACACAAAGCATCTGGGATGACCAAAGAACTTCATGAGAGACAAAATTTGGAAATTTAGGAAATGACCTGATTTCAGATCACTATAAAGCTACAACAATGTAGACAGCTTGGGATATTGGCCTTAAAATGGGAAGGTAATCCAGCTGAACATGGAAACCTATACACATGGACTGCGGATTTTCAACAGAGGTACAAAGGCGGCTCGGTAAAGAAAGGAGAGGTTTGTTAACAAACAATCCTGGAAAATTGGATATCCAAAGACACAAAAAATGAACTTTGACCAAAACTTAACTTGGATAAAATTAAAATGGATAGTAGACCCAGATGCAAAACCTGACCTGTAAAATTCCTGCGAAGAGTCTTTACGCATGATCCTAAAAGTATGTGCAAAGAAGTTGCAAGGTGGCATGAAAACAACCTGGAAAGATTTGAACAACACATTCCCCCAAAGAAGACAGATGGTGGCAAACAAACAGAAAAGGTGCTCAACACCTTTGCCACCTGGGACATACAAATGAAACCACGATGAGAGCACGCCTGCCAGAATGCCTGAAAAGACTGGCCACCCCACGTGCTGCGAGGAGGTGCAGCAAGCACTGCTGGGGAGTGTGAAACCCTACAACCACTGTAACCCAGACATGTCACCGCTGGGTATTCACCCAAGGGAAATAAGACCATTTGTGCAGACGAAGACGGACACACACACACACACACACACACACACACACGGACACACACCAAACGCCCTCGCGCAGGTGGGGGATCTGCAGTCTGGAGCACCCACTGGGCAGACCCTGCTCAGGAGAGATGAGGAGCAACGACTGGCCCTGGAGAGCAGAGATGACCGAGGGAAGGAAGCTGGAGGAAAACACACAGACCCAAGATCCCATCCACACACGCGACAGCAACGCAAGCCAATCCACAGCCACCGCGCAGGCCTGCTGGGGGCTTCCGGGGGCCAGCGCCACGCTGACCGCAGGCGCAGGTGCGGCCAGGTGCGGCCAGTGCGGCCAGGTGCGGCCAGTGCGGCCAGGTGCGGCCAGTGCGGCCAGGTGCGGGTGCACGTGTGTGCACGAGGTGAAGGCGGGGCTTCCTGCGTGTCCTTCCCGGCGCAGCGATGCTGCCGTCCGTCACAGCTCCCGAGGGCAGGCGCCGCCCACCGGCCCTTGTCAGGCCCTTGACAGTCGGCCCCGCCCACGCCGCCCAGGCCCCGCCCCGCCCACGCCCAGGCCCCGCCCCGGACCCGCCCCGCCCACGCCGCCCAGGCCCCGCCCAGGCCCTGCCCGCCCACGCCGCCCAGGCCCCGCCCAGGCCCTGCCCCGCGGCAGCCCCTTCTGCAGCAGCCCCCCGCAGCAACCCCCGCCCGCAGCAGCCCCCCGCAGCAGCCCCCCCCGCAGTAGCCCCCCCGCATCAGACCCCCCACGGCAGGCCCCCCGCAGCGGCCCCGCCCCCGCAGCAGCCCCCCCGCAGCAACCCCCCCGCAGTAGCCCCCCTGCAGCAGCCCCCCCCGCAGCAGCCCCGCCCCCGCAGCAGACCCCCCCGCAGCAGATCCCCCCCAGTAACCCCCCGCAGCAGACCCCCGCAGTAGCCCCCCCGCAGCAGACCCACCCCCGCGGCAGCCCCCCCCGGCAGCCCCCCAGCAGCCCCGCCCCCGCAGCAGCGCCCGGGGCAGCCCCCCCCGCAGCAGCCCCCCCGCAGCTGCCCCCCCCCCCGCAGCAGCCCCGCCCCGCGGCTGCCGGCCGAGCGCGAGTGTCCGAGGCCGGGGCGGCGCCGGTCCCAGCCGCTGGCAGAGCCGCCTGGGCGCGCCGCGCAGGTAGGACCCCCCGCCGGGAGCGCCCGCCTCCGCCCGCGCCGGCCGACCCCGACCCCCGACACCCCCCTCCCCCACCCCTCCCCCGCCGCCGGCCTCCGCGCCCGCCCCCCCGCCCCCCTGCAGGGCCCGGCCCGGAGCGGCGCCAAGCTGGGTGTCGAGGCCGCGAAGCTCCCAACCAGCCCCCCACCCCCCCTGCTGCCCGCGCGCTGGCCGGGGGTGCGCGGGGCGCTGCGGGGCGCCGCCCTGGCTCCTTGGGGTGGCTTTGGGGCTCTCCCAGAATAAGGTATGGGGACCCCGGCCGGGTGCTTTCATGTGCCCACGACACCCCAAAAGTGCAAGTGCGCCTGGCTTCCCGGCTGGACCGCGGTGGCCGGTGCTGATGCGCCTCCTCGTTTCTTCCAGAACAAAAGGAAACACCGCGTCCCCGACCGGCAGGGAGCTGCGGCCAGTCGGGTGGCCCTCGGGCTGCCCGGCCCTGGGCGGAGGGTCGGCCGCGCCCCTGAGCAGAGCAGCGAGCCCGCCCCGCGCGGGCAGGATGGGCCCCCCGGGCCCCCCCGGCGGGTCCTGCCTCCTCCTCCTCTTCTGTCTGCCTTTGGGCGCGTCCTGCCCGCAGGGCTGCCAGTGCCCCGACCACTCAGGGGCCGTGGCCGTCCACTGCAGCTCCCGGGGCCTTCAGGAGGTGCCCAGGGACATCCCCGCCGACGCCGTGCTCCTGAAGCTGGATGCCAACAGGATCGCCCGCATCCCCAACGGCGCCTTCCAGCACCTGGGCCAGCTGCGGGAGCTGGACCTGTCGCAGAACGCCATCGAGTCCATCGGCCCTGCCGCCTTCGCGGGCCTGGCCGGGGGGCTGCGGCTGCTGGACCTGTCCCACAATCGCATCCGGCGGATCCCCAAGGACGCCCTGGGCAAGCTGAGTGCCAAGATCCGCCTGTCCCACAACCCGCTGCACTGCGAGTGTGCCCTGCAGGAGGCCCTGTGGGAGCTGAGGCTGGACCCGGACTCGGTGGACGAGATCGCCTGCCACACCGCGGTGCAGGAGGAGTACGTGGGCAAGCCGCTGATCCAGGCCCTGGACGCGGGCGTCAGCTTCTGCAGCGTCCTCCACAGGACCACCGACGTGGCCATGCTGGTCACCATGTTCGGCTGGTTCGCCATGGTCATCACCTACGTAGTGTGCTACGTGCGCCAGAACCGGGAGGACGCCAGGAAGCACCTGGAGTACCTGAGGTCGCTGCCCAGCGCCCCTCTGACCGTGGACCCCACCAGCCCTGCGCCCTAGAGCGCCGGCACCCCTCCCCAGCTCGCTCCCCAGCTTGCTGGCCGCTTAAGCCTGTGCTGTCCCCAAAAGCCCTGCCCAGCTGCAGGCCCGGTGCCCCCAGGCTGGCGCTGCACCACCAGACCTGCGGGGCCAGGAGAGGGACGCCTGGGGGACGGAGGGCTGCCCAGGGCCTGCCCGGAAGCGGCCCTGCTGGACTTAAGCAGGCGCCCTGAGGGGGTCCGTGTCCCTCGGCTCCGCATGGCTCGCGTGGCTGCCGGGCTGGGGATGGAGAGGTGGCCCCGGTGGGGCCGTGAGCGGGGTCCTCTGCGGAGGCTGGGGGAGCACTTTGCCTGCTGAAGGCGCAGGATGCCCCCATGGGCCCGACTCGCCTTGATTCCTGAGCGCGTTGGCCACAGGCCTCTCTCTAGAGCCAGGAGTGGACGCCAGGGTTCCGGGAGCGAGTGGACGGCGCCTCAGACTAACCTTTGAACACGAGCTGTTGTTAAACGTGTGACAAGCGTGGTTCGGACCACACCAGCCCGGAGGGGGGCAGCCCGGCCCAGAAGAGCGAGGGAACCTGGCAAAGGGGGGGTGCGGGGGACAGGGGGCAAGGTCAGCGCCGAACTGACCCTCCCGCTCTGCTCCCCACTCCTGAGCCCCGCTTGCCAGAGGCCCAGCCTCCAAGTGGCTGCTGTGCCTCCTCCTGCACCCCAGGGCTCCTCCCGGATGGGGCGGGGGGTGGGGGCAGCAGCCGGCAGGAAGCCTCCCTCTCCCCCAGCCCGCGCCCCTCCCCTCCCCTGCCCTCCCCTCCCCTCCCTCCCCTCCTGTCCACCTCCTTCTCTCTCCTGTCCCCCACTCCGCCTCTCCCCCCCTTTTCACCTTTGCTGCCGGGAATCTCGGCCCGGCTCGGGTCGCCTCACGACCTGCTCCCTGCTCGGGGGCTTGTTACTGAAGCTGCCGCCACCAAAACAGCGGGACTGCCCGTCCTCGGGTTTTGTCTTCCACGCTCTCCGTGTGAGTGTATTTTGAGCCGCTTCGGATGGCTTTGGGTACTTGACGCCCCGCCGCCGGGTCTGCTCGCGGCTCAGCGGCCCAGCGCAGGGCCTCGCGCGGGGAGCGGCGACGTGGGCTGTCGCCGAGGGCGTCCGTGCGTGCAGTGGGACCTGCAGGAGTTGGATGTCCCGGCCGTGGGGCCTGCAGCCGCCCCGGACCCGCGAGGCTCGGGCGAGACCCTGGGCTCCCAGGGCCGGTGCGACGGCCCCACGGCCCCTGCCCGCCCGCCTGCCCGCCCACCCGCGGCCTGCAGAAAGGGCTCCACACCCTGGCGCCCGGCGGCCCCCCGTAGCCCCGCACATGAGGAGCCGGTGGCGGGGCTCAGAGGCCGCCGGTGACCGGCTCTGCTGGCCGTGGCAGGGCGGCCCGGGCGGCCAGTCACTTTCCCCAGCGGGCCGGAGCCAGCAGCAGCCTCAGCGCAGCGCTCCCTGCACATGGGGGCGACTCGGTCCCTCCCCGCCCACCCGGGCCACACGAGGAGCTGGCCCCTGGGGTTTGCGGGTCTGTGAACCTGGGTCAGGGGACGAGAGTGGACAGAGGCCCGAGGAGGGGGTCGGGTCCAGCCAGCGGCCTGTGACCTGCAGGGGGACCTCGGGCCTGTCCTTGCTGCGAAGCTTTTCCTTTGCTCTCCTGCCAGCCTCGGCCCAGAGCCCGGCCCTGCCTGACCAGCTCCCAGGGCTCTAGGGAGTGGCCCCTTCACCCTGCCCTTTGCTGCCCGCCCTGCGGGCTCCAGTCTTCCCTCAGTGCCGCCGGAGGCTCCCGAGCTGCCCCTGCTGGGGAGGGGGGCGGTGAGGACCCCAGCAGAGGGCTGGAGACCCCAGGAGAGGCCAGCTCCAGCCAAGGGCGACCACTGGGCCGGGTCTGGCCCACCCCGCCTGCCCGGGCACTGCTGGCCTGCGGGAGCTCACCCCAGCCCAGTCTCCTCTCCCCTGCCTCCGGCCCCTTGACTTGTGGGGTCTGGGGTGAGCGGCGAGACCCGAGGGGGTGGGGCTGCCCTGAGTCCCGCCCTCCAGGCAGGGCCCTGAGGGCCGCAGTGCAGGCCGCTCACCCGTCCTCTGCCCTTGTGCTGGCCAGGCGGGGCCTGGGGTCCCGGGCTCCGCGCTGGGGGAGAGCCCTGGCTGTCCCCGGCAGACGGCGCCGGCCTCTCTTCCCCCATGGGTTGTGGTTGGGGTCTTGGCTGTAGGGAGGCCTCAGAGGCAGTCTCAAGTCTGGGGCGGACTCGCAGGACGTCCACCTCCCCCGGGGCCTGCCGCCCCCTGCCTGGCCTGAGCCCAGCTTCTCCGGGGACTCCCGTCCTGGCCGTCAGAGCCCTGCCCTGGCCTTGCCCTCCAGAGGGGAAGCCCCGAGCTCCCAGCCTTCCCCCGGCTCTGCGCTATGGGGCCCCCACCCTCCGTCCTGGCTGCTCCCTCAGGTGGTCAGGCAGTGGGGGAGAGGCCCGAGAGCCGCTGGCCCGAGCAGATGGCTGGCGTCCCCGCGGGCGGGCTCTCCGAGACAGAGCCCTGGGGAGCCCCGGCCGGCTGGGCCTGGCTGGCGTGACGCGGTGGACCCCAGGCCGGCGCAGCGAGCCCACAGCCGCCCGAGCTGGGGCGGCCTCCGAGCCGGGCGGCCACCGCGGGCTCCAACAGGGACAGCGCGGTCTCGGGCGGGCGGCGCCGCCACCCCTGCTCACGGGCGTCTCCGCGTCATCCCCGCGGCTGGTGCGGGGAAATTTCTGTTTCCAGACTCGGACTGGAGCTCCTAAGGCCCGGGGAGGGGACGGAGCGGGAGGCGGCCTGCTCGGGACGGAGCTGGGCGGAAGCGCCTTGACAGGGGCCTGGAAGTCCTCACGCGGGAGCGGCCCTGCGTGCTGTCAAACGGGCGCCGGGGGCTGAGGGACGCCGGCGTGAGTGGCCGAGCAGAGCCTGGCCCAGCCCCAGCGCGCCCAGCCCGGAGCCGCCGGCCTGTCTGCCTCTGTAGCCGGGGCAACGGCGCGGCCAGGGAGGGCGGGTGCGGGGCGGCTGACGCAGGCCTGGGGACAGGCGCGGCTGACGCAGGCCCCTGCTGTGCAGAGGGGAGGGGCGCGGTGTCAGGCCCCGTCCCTGGGGCTGCCTTTCGCCGGGGCCCACGCTCTGGGAGAGGCGGGAGCGGGGCCCGTGGGGGAAACTGAGGCGCAGAACGGTGAGCCGGCAGGCCCAAGGCGGCGCAGCTGAGACTGCCGGCTGCGGCGTGACCGGCCTCGGGCAGCTGTGGACAGCGAGGCCCAGGCGCTGATGGAGGAGAGGGTGGGAGTCTGGGGAGGACCGTTCGCCTTTACTTCAAGTGGGGCAGCTGCATTCGCCCGGCTTGTAACTGGGGGCCCCAGAGCAGGGGGGCCTGAGTCCCGCAGCTCCCCACCCACCGCTGTGGCAACGAGGCGCTGCTTTCTCCTTCTCCTTTTATAAGGAGACAAAAAAAAGCCAGACCCGAGTCTCTGATGGCCTCAGAGGCCCTTCTCGCCCGGCGGCCCGCACCCCTGCCCCACCACACACTCAGACTCTTGGGGGTCACCACCAGCCGGAAGCATCTCTGGGCAGCTGTGGCCTCCGTGCCAGACCCCCTGGGATTGTCACTCGTGGGCACGTCCAGAATGGGCCCCTGCACAGCCTAGGGCCTGCCCTCCGTCTGCGCCGGGAGCTGGTGCTGGCCTCCCCAGGGCCCTCGGCACCCCACCGGGGCCCTCTCAGCTGGGACCCCTGGGTGTCCACTCCGGACATCGACTCGGGAGATAGAGCGGGCCCTGCGTCTCCCTGCCGCTGAGGTCCCAGGTGGGTGGAGCGGCCAGGCGGGTCCCCAGGCCCTCAGGTGCTTGAGCGAAAGCTCAGCTGCTGACCCTGCCGGGCGCGGCCTCAGCATCGGCCTGTGTGGATGTCACGGTGCTGCCGCCAGGTTGGGGCCTTCCCACCAGCGACTTGCACTGCGGTGAGAGGAGCTGACCTGACCTGTGAGCGCCCTGCCCCCAGCACTGGAGAGGGGCCCTGGTCCTCAAGCAGCCGGGGCACAAGGGTTGCCCCTGGGAGGGGCCTGGACCCCGGGTCATCCCTTGGTGGTGTTGGGGCGTCCTGATCAGGGCTCAGCCTGCTCCCCACCCTGGGTCTCCTCCTCAGCCTGGTCCCGCCCATGGCTGCGGGGCCTCCTGGCTCTGGGTCTGCGGGTGCCCTTCCCACCAGACGGGCGTCTGGCCTGAGCCCAGAGGCGCCCTTGCCGCACCTGTGCGGTGCTCGGCCTTAGGTCCGTCTAAGACGCGCAGCTTTGAGGGAGCCTTGAACGCCCTGGGCGCCGGCCTCTCGGCTCACAGCCTCCGCTCGTCTCTCTAGAACGTGTCCCCGGTTAGGAAAATTCCCTTCTAGAAGCTTTTTATTTCCAGCGTCCGTCACTGGCTTCTCTCGGAGATGCTGACCGGGTGGAGCTGCTTCCCTGGGGAGGTCGGGCCCTGTCCCCTTGCTCCGCGCTCGGTGGCCCCTCCTGGCTTGGGAAGGGTGGGGAGGCCGCAGGGCTGCAGCCGGGCTCCAGCTGGCCCCACCCCGGAGCCGGGAGCTGCTGCACAGGCTCCCTGGGGCGCTTGGCCAGTGCTGTCCAGCAGGCACTGCTGGCGGAGACTCGGGTCTCTGAGGCCCAGAGATGCCCGCAAGCACGCGACGAGCCTGCCCGCCCGGGGGGCCCTGGGGACAAGCCGCAGAGCTCCCCCTTCCTTCTGCATCCCAATTCTGCTCTGATGTTTGCTTCTCCAAAGCAGGGTGAGCCCACCCCAGGCTGCTGCCAGAACCCAGGGATCCCCCAGAACCTGCCCTCCCCGCCGCCACGCCCTGGCCTGAGGCTGGCTATGGGGGCACCCACATACGTGTACCCCGACTCTGGGCTGGACTCGGAGTTATGGGCTCCACACGCATCCCCCTCCTGGGCGGCCCACCTGGTGCCCAACTGGGCAGAGCCACTGCCCTGGCCATGTGAACCTGGGCAGAACCTGGGGTTCCAGACACGCAGAGAGCATAGAAGCCAGGGGACGCCCCCACCCTGGCCTCTCCCACAGGTACCTCCCAACACAGCCCCCTGGAGTAGCCTTGGCCCCAGGCCTGTGGGGGCCATGGCTCCCTCCCCTCTGCCCCATCCCGGGAGGTGGCACCTCAGACTCTGGCAGCCCAGCCACCAAGGAGGCAGGAGACCCCCAGAGGAGGAATCCAAGTTGGGGACCCCACTGGGGAAGCCTCCAGATCCACCTGCTCACCCACCAGCCCACGCACCCCCGACTCCCACTGACCCAAGGGCCTCCCATGGGCGGGACCTCGAGGTTGCAGCAGGACAGGGCATTTGGTCCCTGCCCCACCCCGTGCACTTATGGGTAAACTGAGGCTGGAGGAAGTATCCCCGTGAAGGTGACCCTGCGGGGGGCCCATGGCTGTGGCCGCCACATCCGGGCGTCAGTCCCCAAGGCACGCAGAGGCCATGAGCGTGGTCAGCACATCATAAATATATTTGTGTATCGACAGAAGACAATAAATAGGCGTGTGGAGTCCTGGAGCAGCACAGGCGTGGACGCGTGGACGCAGCCCAGGCCAGGGAGCCACTGCCCGCCGCTCCTGGTCAACCTTCCCTCAAATCGAAGTCCCTGCCGGCCCAGCCCCGGCCTTTGCAGAGCTGTGGCCTCCAGCCTGGACACCGGCCGGCACAGCCGCGATGGTGACGGGGCTGGGGCGATGTCCTCGGACGCTGGATGGCGGCTCCCCGGGCATGTGTCCCCACTGGCCAGGGCCGAGGACATGGACGGCGGCCCTGGAATCCCCCCACACCCCCGGCTCGCTGCCCCGCCCAGGGCAGGGCTTCCTGAGCAGAGTCTGGGTGCAGCGAGGGGTTCCATCTGTCACCCCATCTTCAGCCTCAGGACCCGGGAGCGAGGCTCCTTGGCGCTGGAGTAGACGAGGTAGTAGCCGGCCGCGGTGCGGAAGGCCTCCCAGTCCCGGCAGCCGAAGGTCGGGAGGCTGTGCGCGGCCACGAAGCCCTCGTAGCCCTGCCACCTGCGGGGAGAGGCAGCTCAGGGGCCGTGCCGGGCTGTGGGGCCTACAGGGGCTGTGAGGCACCCACCCTCCAGCAGGTGTGGGGAGCGGGACTAGGAGGGGACTTCGCAGACTATAAAGAGGGAAACTGAGGCAGGGAAGGGTGATGGGCCCATGTCCACCCCCCACCGCCCAGCCCTGAGGCCCCTGGGGCCACCCCGGAGGGTGGGGTGGTGATGCATCGGGCAGATGGGGATGGGGGAGCGAGCCGCCAGGAGGCTGATCTGGCGGGAGCCCCCCGTGCCCCACCGCCCCATCAGCATCGCTGCTCTGCCCTCAAAGGAGCCTGTCCAAAGGCAGCTCCACGTCCAGAGGCAGGTCCACGTCCAGGGGGGCCCAAGCGGGCACTGGCCACTGCACAGGGACTCCAGTTTCCACCCTTTCCAGACAGGCCAGGGTGACGCCTGCCCGCAGGGGGCTGGGGCCCTCGGGCAGCAGCGCGGTGGCCTGAAGAGCGGCAGGCAGGGGTGTCCCCCGGGGAGCAGCCCTGACGTGCGGGTTCTCGGTTTGCTCTTTTTCTGGAAGTTCCTGTTTATAATCTTTTCCCATTTCTCAAAACTAAGCCATCATCTGCTCTGCTCCGTGGGGTGTCCCCCCCGTCCCGCGTGCGGCAGCGACTGGCCCGGCTGCGAGCAGGCCCCTGTCCACACCGGCTCGGACTGGGCGGGCAGCGGCCGCGGGGCCTCCTCGAGGTCGTGTGGGTCCTCTCGGCTTTGCTGCTCAGTACCTGCTGCTGCCTTTTTACATGTCGAATTGGGACCCCGCGGAGCTCATCTTTATACAGCCCCCGAGGCCGGGGGAGGACCTCGCTCTCGTGCAGACGACACCGCCGGGGTGATCTTACGAGCGAGGCCCCGTCCTCGCGGGTGAGCTGGCCCCTGCGGCGGCCGCACCCCCGGCTCTGGCCGCAGCCTGTTCTGTTCGCTGACATGTTGGTTTGTTCTGGCAAACTCCGAGCGGCTTGGCCGGCGCCAGGGCCTCTCCCACTGTTCGTTTTCAAAATTTGCTTGGTCGTCTTTGGAACTTTATTTTCCACGTGAGTTTGTGAGAGCAAGCGAGTGATTTCCCGGTGAGCTCTCGACAGCCAGAGCCCACTCGAGGCGAGACAGACCTGACCAGACCACCTGCTGGGGGGCCGGGCAGCTCGTTCAGGAGACGTTATTGACAGGGAAGCGCCCAGGAGGTCCAGGTCCCCCTCGAAGCTGGACCAGGAGAGCCGGACACTCCCGCTCTCCGGCCACTCAGACCCCAGAAGTCTCCGCAAAGCTCTGCCCCATCAGACTAGCGAAGGGGACCCCCCGGAAAAGAAGCAGTTTCCTGTCCCAGCTGGACGCGAGGCACCCAGGTCAGCCGTTCAGCCGACGGCCAAGCAGAGCAGGGGCCCCATGGGGCCCCCGGGTCAGCCACCGCTAGCAGGGCCACGCCTGGCACCGAGGAAGCGCCAGGGCTGTGGGACCTGGTCATGCCCTCCCTGAGCTGTGGGCGGGCGCCACCCCGCATGCTCTGGGACACCCAGGGGAGCCCAGAAAACAGCAAAGCAGACAGGACACCTGGGTAGAGAGGCCTATTCCCAGACTGGCCGAGGCAGTGCCACCCCTAGACGCCTGAGCCCCACAAGACTCCTTCAGACAAACTACTTGTGGGGTGCGTGGGGGGCGCTCCGGGGGTGTGGGGGTGCCTAGACACACGACTGGCCGTCAGGACGAGCCCAGAGGAGAAGCCTCGTCTGCGCTGCTGCAGCCCCACCAGGCCTCCGACGGGAAGGCCACACCCGTGTGAGGAGGGGCTGCCTCTCGAGGGGGGAGGTCCGCGGAGAGCCCGTGCCGTGGAGCAGGCGTCAGGCCACCGGTCCCTCACACCACACTTGCCGGCGTCCCGGGCTGGACCCGGCGCCCAGCACCTGCCACGTGTCCGCTGGCCCGAGGGTCGCCCCAGGAGGCCGCGCCCTCCAGCCCCTTACCTGTAGATAACACTGTTCACGGAGAAGGAGCTCCCGTTGAAGGAGTTGGCGACCACCAGGAAGTAGTCGTCCCCCACCGAGAAGAACTCCCAGTCCAGCGCGCTGTGGGGACAGGTGAGCGGTGAGGACAGGAACGGGGCGCTGGCCTCAGTCCCGGAACCAGGCTGGGCGCCCCAAAACCCACAGAGGGGCGGGGTCTGAGGGGAGCGGTTCCTGTCACCCGTGAGCCGGTCTGGTCCAGGGAGATCAAGTTATTTGTTTGCTTTTTAAAATTAAAAAAATAGTCGTGACATGCGTCCACCATAGATGCAGCCCCTCCCCCAGTCGGGGCCGCGTGACCCTGCGCCCCGCCCCTGCGTCGCTGACCCCAAGCCTGCGTTTCCCTCTGAACCACGTCGCTTGGTCGGGTGGGAGTGGCCGGTGTCCCTCCACAGAGGGAGGCTTAGTGTGTCTGGACACGCCACCGCGGGGCTATCGGGAGGCCTAGGAGCTCCGGGCAGGAGGGCCAGCTGTGGGCCGGGGCCACTGCTCCGGGGACCAGGGGCCGGGCGGGGCCGTGCCCGGGTGATGCAAAAGATCCCCTGTGACTGGCGACGGCCACGTGTCTCTGAGCCCAATAAAGCCCACGGGGTTATAACCAACGTCTTCGCAGGAGCGAAATCAGACGCCAGCGCGGGTGCGCAGGGCCCGGGGAAGTTGGCGACGGCCGGGGAGATGCCGGCCACACGACCCCCACACCAGGGTCCCCTGCTCGCCCCGGCCCACGGCGCCGCCGCCTCCAGGAAGGCTGCCGGGCTGCCCAGCCGCACGCCCTCAGCCGGCACCTGCAGGTGGGGATCTCCTGGAACTTGACGAAGCTCTGTGCGCTGACGTTCAGCTCGTAAATGACGGAGTTGATGACGTAGGAGTCGTTCCGCACCTGCCTCTCCACGTCGTAACTGTGGCTGTTGGCGACGGCCAGGAAGACCCTCTCTCCGATGTGGAAGACCTCCCAGTCTGCAGCACCAAAGGTCTAGGACGGAACGAGGGCGCATAGCAGGTGGACAGAGGCCCTCGGGCCCCAGGCGGCCACTGATCAGCCCCTGGCTGAGCAGCCCCGCCCCCGCACAACCCCTGGCTTTGTTCACTTTCCCAGGCTCCCCTTTGAAGGGCGCTCACACTTCCCAGGGGACCAGCCGCAGGGTGCTTCCAAGCCTTCTGCACGTCCCCGTTGCCGGGCCGTGCTGCCCACCCCACAAAGTCCAGCTCTGGCATGTGTGTCGCGCCTCCTAGTGGCCAGCTTGGCCACCACGTGTGTCCCCTGGGTGTCCCTTCCTGTGCAAGGTCAGAACAGTCTGGTCAGTCATGGGAGCCCAACCCTGCGAAGTGCCCTTCAGATCAACCAGGAGCAGAAGCTGGGCCACCCCAGCAAGGGCGGGCATCACAAGGAGTGACCGGGCACACCTGAGGGGCCGAGGACCGATGTGTGACAAGGGGCCCCGGATGCTGCTCAGTGGCCACCTTGATAAATTGGAACCACGGCCGGGATCTAGGGCTTGTCTCAATCTCAAGACCAAGTCGTCAAGCAGCTGAGGAGCGCCTGGGGGCAGACTCACAACCCCGACCCTGCACGTTTTCTAGCTTCACCCACCCTTTCCGCGTTGTCCTGCTCCCCTCACACTGAGGCTGTGATTATTCAGTCAATTAAAAGGCCAGGGTCTTGCTCCTCAGCAGCATCCTGCAACCTGCTCCACGACGCCTGTTTGTCAGTGCGCGTTGTCAGCCCAACAGGACGGCACCTCCTCCAGGGAGCCCTCCCGGCTCCTCTAGCCCTAGCTCAGAACTCCAGAGCCACATCTCGGTACTTCTCATGTGTCTCACAACTCCCCTTCCCCGGCATAGGGTCCTGCCTGGGCCCTGCTGGCAGCCCCACCTCGGGGTTCCTTGGCGTCAATCACTCGTCGCCCTCAGGGTGGTTGTGCTGGGACTTCCAGGTTGGGCCTTTACCATATGCAGCGTCTGCAGCTTGAACTACAGAGCTGGAGCACTGTGGGCACTGCTGGGCGCTGTGGGGCCCAGCAGGAGAAGTCGCTGGCCGGCGCCTCAGGGATAGTGGTGGGGCGTGTGGGAAAGGGCCAGAGACATCAGACCCAGGCCTGGGGTCCAAGCCCTGCAGAGCGGGGTGGGGCGGACGTGAAGATGTCCTCCTCGGGGGACCAAGCAGGGCAGGAGTGCCCATCGGAGGCCACGCGGGGAGCAGGGAGAGGCTGGGGCTCCCCTGGCAGAGGCTGGGGTCTCAACGCGGGGTCAGCAGGAAGGACTGGCACTGCCCGTTCCATGGGCTGGCAGCGACCCGGGGTTCCGGCTGTAACGGGGGGAGACAGTGCAGACGCCCCTCCTGCTGGTGACGAGCTCGCGCTCTGGGTGAACAGGCTAAACGCACGCGCGGGGCTCTGGACGGTGTCTCCTGCGGCAGCGGCAAGGGTGCGGCCTGAAGGCAGCCTGTGCGGTGCGGCCTGGGAGGGGAGGCAGCAGCTGTCAGACGGGGAGTCCCGGGTCAGAGCTGGGGTCTCCAGAGTATCCAGAAATGCATGGGGGAATTCCTAGCAGAGAGGGGGCCCCCAGCATCCCCACGTCAACCTCTCTCGAGGTCTTGTCTGACCCTGAGGCACACGTAGGCAGGCGAGATTCCCGGGACCCTCGACAACGGCGGCTGGGGACGTCCCCGAGGTTACACAGCTGGACAGGCAGGCAGGTGAGCCCTGCGGATGCCGACGGACGCCGCGTGGACACTGGTGTGAGCAGACGAGGACTGTGCAGTGACCACGGTGAGCGCCTGTGGGGACCCGCGCGGGGCGGGGGCGGGCGCCCTGGGAAACAAGCCGACGCAAGGCCCGACCCTGAGGGTGGGCGCCCGTGTCCATAACCCGCGGGGGGCGTCTCAGACAACCCGGAGCCGCTGGTGAGCCGGGAGGCAGGTCCGCAGATGTGATGGACCGGACACCTCGGGGAGGAGGCCGGGGCGGGGGCGCCCTGGAGCGCAGCGCGGGGCCTCACACGCCAGCAGGTGGGGTCACGGGGGGTGGGGGGGGGACAGAGATAGGCGGAAAGCGCAGCTGCGTGAGTGATGGCGCCTCTCCGAGCTGGACTAAACACCGGTCGGATCCACGCGGATCAGACTCAAAGCAGGACCCGAGCAGAGCCGCGCGCGACGCTCATGCCAGAGCCGCGGGGAGGCCGGTGCCGGAACGGGGCGGGGCGGGCGGGGAGGCCGCTGGGGCCCGGGTGCTCAGTAGGGAGCTCGGTGTCCCCAGGACAGCTCGGTGTCCCACGGCGCGCAGCCGGGAGCTGGGCTCTGTCACCGCGGAGGCGACTTTCAAAAAGCGCAGGTGACGCCCACTTGCAGAGACGCCCAAGCTGCGGGCCCGTGGGCGCGGCACAGGCGGCACCAGGGTGGGCGGCGCAGGGGCGAGGGCGCGGGGACGGAGTCGCGGCCGACGGGAGGCGTCGTGGAAGGGACCGTCGCCCGCAGGGGCTCGGCGGGGCCTCAGGAGAGCGGGGCGCGGGGGCAGACACTGGGCACACAGCGCCTCACAGGAGACCCGGTCAGCGGTCACCGAGAGCGGCCGTGGGCAGAGGCCCCGGGAGGTGGGAGCGGGGAGCAGGCACTGCACCCCGACGGTGCTGGTGGGAGGCTGGGCCCAGCCGGGCTGAGGCCGCGCTGTTGGGGGGGGCACAGAGAGCTCCAGGCCCTGCCTGCTGCGTGTGTCCAGCTCCTCATGGACACTTGGGCGTGGGCGGCAGCTGCTGGACCCGCGTGTCCCTCTCCTCACTCCCCAGGGCCCCTCCGGTGAGGGGGACGTGGGGCGCTGGGCAGGGCAGGTCCCTGGGAGCCTCACGCTTCCCGCTGCCTGGGTCAGAGCTGGGCGCCTTCCTAAGGGGGAGAATGTGACCTCGGCGCTCAGGTCAGTGCCTGAGGTCTCTGCCCCCTGATCTCTGCAGTGTGGGGGGACAGGGAGACGCCGCCACACGGGGCAGGGCGCCCCGTGGCCGGGAGCAGGGACGGAGGCTCCTGCCGTGTCCAGTGGGGTGGAGACATCCGCGTCCCCAGCAGGGCGGCAGCCCCTTGAGGCTGGGTCCCCAGTATCCAGGGGAACCAGGGATGGAGCCGGGGGGCAGGGGCAGGATGCCGGGGCCGGCTGCGAGAGTCCAGGGTGCCCCTGCTGCCCCAGGCGTCCTAGCCGGCTGAGGCTGGTCCTGCTGCGGGGCTCGGACCGCCCGCCAGCGGGTCTCCTGCTGCAGGCACGCCGGGGGCCGGTGCTGAGGCCACCCGGTCGCTCAGGGATCCGGTGGGGCCTCCCTGGACATCATGTTCCAAGGCGGGCGCCCGCGTTTCTGGCCTGGCCAGTCTCAGAGGCGCTGCCCGCAGGGAAGGCCCTGGGCCGGCGGCCCCAAGTGCAGTTGTCGGGCGTGCACGTTGTCCCTGTGACCAGCAGAGGGCGCCACTGGCCGCCCGTTCTGGAGGCCTAAGGGAGGGAGTTTAAGCAAAAGAACGGGGAGCGCGGGGGGCCTGAGGGCCAGGCCAGGCCAGGCCGCCTGAGGACCCCGAGCTGAGGACGCCTGCACAGGCGTCACTCCCTGTCCCTCTGCGGTGGCTTCTGGGAGCACTTGGGACCCCAGGGCTTTGCACGCCCCCTGGGACTCGCCACAGGCCCGCACGGAGGGGCGTCCAACGCCCCAGCCCGCCACCTCCAGAGACGCACCAGAAGCCACGCACACGCCAGCACATGCCAGCACAGCCAGCACAGCCAGCTCACATGTGCACACGCCAGCACACGCCAGCACAGCCAGCTCACATGTGCACACGCCAGCACACGCCAGCACAGCCAGCTCACATGTGCACACGCCAGCACACGCCAGCACAGCCAGCTCATGCGTGTGCATGGACACGGGTGCACACACCCCTCCTCCCACCCCCACTCCGGGCTCCCCGCTAGCCGCGAGCACCTGACGCCCCATCGGGCCCAGTGCGACCTCCTGGGCTCCCTGGAAGCCAAGAGTGGGGTGTGCCAAGAGGCTGTGGCAGCTGCGGGCTCTGGGGGCACAGGCGGGGCCCCGGGCCAGGACGGCGAGGGGGGACCGGGACAGCCCGGCGGCCGGCAGGGGTGGGGCCGGTGCGTGGGACCTGGACCGGGGCGGAAAAGCCCACATCAAAGGGCTCCACAGAGCACTCGCGGGAGCAGCCCCCCCAGGGCGGAATTCCCCCGGAGCCCAGACCCCCAGCCGCCCGGGCCAGGACCCCCATCCGGGCGGCGGCGTTTCCGGCGGGACCTGACAGCTCCCTGGGCGGCACCGTCATCGGGGCTCATGGGGCTCAGGCTTTGATGGGACAAAACGCGGGGTGCCTCTGTGGTCTAGGAGCGGGCAGGGGCGTCCTGCAGGAGGAGCGCGCAGCCCCAGGGCCTGCACCGCCGCTCCCGCTGGCCCGTGAAGGCGGCGAGAGCCCGGCCAGGCGGTGGGGCAGCCAGAGCTTCCAGGCGACCCTCCCGCCCCCAGCAGAACCCCCAGACCTGCTGCTGCCCCGCTGCCTGCTCAGAGCGCCCGCTGCACCCCTCCGCCCCGCCAGGCGCCTCCCAGCCCCGCCCCCACAGGCCTCCAGCCCCTCGCCCGAACCTCTGCTGCCCTTGGTGGTCACCTCCTCCAGACTTGCCGCCAGCCCCGCCCACCTCCCGCAGCCTGACCCCAGGAGATGGCCCAGCCGGGCACGGGTCCCCGACCTGGGCTCCTACCCCAGGGCCCCGCGGCCACGCCCCTGGCCTGGACTCTGCCCAGGAGAGCCCTGGAGCTCTCAGAGAGGAGGGGACCCCCCAGAGGCACGGCAGCCCCCACGCCTGGACCGCACCCTCCCGGCCCCCAGGGCGTCCTCTGCCTGGGGTGCAAGCTGCCAGCACAGCACACACACACAGTGCACACACAGTGCACACACAGTGCACACAGCACACACACAGCGCACGCACACAGCGCACACACAGCACACACACACAGTGCACACACAGCACATGCACACAGCACACGCACACAGTGCACACACCGCGCGCACACACAGTGCACACACACAGTGCACACACAGCACATGCACACAGTGCATGCACACAGCGCACACACAGTGCACACACACAGCACACACACACAGCACATGCACACAGCACATGCACACAGCGCACACAGAACACACACACACAGCGCACACACACGCGACTGCCAGGGTCCCGGGCTCTCTGGCCTCAGCACAGCCCTGAAGACGTGCCAGCCCCAGCGGCAGCCACACCCAGGTCCAGCGGGGCCTGGGGCAGCCCCATGCGGGGGCGGAGTGCGTGGGCAGGGCCCATGGCCCCCGGGTGCTGTTTGATCAGCTGTCAGGGCCGTCCAGGCTTGTCTTAATGTCGCTTCCTGGGGAGCTGCCCTGACAGGCAGACACGCCGCGGCTGCCCCCGACTGGCCTTGATGACTCTGAGGCCGGTGGGCAGCGGCCGGCTGTGCCCTGTGGTCCTCTGGGTCACAGCCCACGCCACGCACCAGTCTTGGGGTCGGAGCTGCCTCTCCCCTGAGGACTGGGGAGCCCCGTCCAGGCCTCACCATCCTCCTTGACTTCGAAACTCTGCCTGCACGACCCCGGCTTGCCCCAGGGGGGTGGTGCGTGTGGAATGTTCTGAGAGTTCTCGGTCACCCGGCCACCAGCCCCTGTACCGCCTGTGTTTGCTGGACACCCCAGGCTGCAGTGGCCGGTGCCCGCAACGCTTGCCTCCAGGCCGCAGGCGCCCCCACCCGCTCATGGGTCAAGAAGCCGCTCACGTGGCAGGGGCGCCCAGTGGGGGGGCTTGGCCCGAGGGTCTCCTCACCAGGAAGGACTGGAAGAGCCGGAAGGAGCCCACCAGCCAGATGTACAGGTGGGAGTGCAGCTGCGTGGACGTGCCGTTGAAGGCGTTGGCCACGGCCAGGAAGGAGTAGGGCCCCACGGTGAAGAATTCCCAGTCGTAGGCGCCCGAGGTGGCGATGGTCTGGTTGGCCTCGAAGAGCCGCGTCCGCGGGTTCCACCTGTAGATGACGCTGTCGACGTTGTGGTTGTCGCCTGGAACACCAAGGGCCCGAGGTCTGCACTGGGGGGTGCCGCGCCAGCGACTGTCCAGCCTGCCCACCCCACATCCTCCAAACGCGGGGGCCGTGGCCGTAGCCGGCCTCCCCCTTGCTCAGGCAGACGCCTCCCGGCCAGGGGAGGCCAGTGAGCTGCTGGTCAGTTGAGAGCGCAGGTGAGGCCGCCCGTGCCGGGGGCCAGCGCCGCGCCCAGCCCCGCCCACTCCCCCGCACAGGGGCCCGAGCCCAGGACGGGCGGGAGGGGACCCTGGTTTCTAGTAGGATGAGAAGGCCCCGCCCGGGCCCCCTACGGGCTCGCCTGGCCTACCTTCCCGGTGGTTGGCCACGGCCAGGAAGTGCTCCCCGGCCACCTGGAAGGCTTCCCAGTCGCGGGCGCTGTGGGTGGCCACTCGCTGGTAGGGCGCGAAGCGCAGCCTCCGCGGGCTCCACTTGTAGATGACGGAGAATTCCTGGCCCTGCTCGTTGGGCTCGAAGTTGGCCACGGCCAGGAAGACCTGCAAGGCCCTGCCGCTCGGTCTGGGCCCGGCTGTGTCCGCGCCCGCCTGGGGGACGCAGGCTGAGCTGGGCCGCGACCCCCATTGCGCTGACCTCCCGCGCTGGCGCCGGCCCCCGTGCCCATCTCCAGAGCCCAGGCAGGAAGGGCCAGAGCCCGGATCTTCTCCACGAGGGGTGGGCGGGACCCTGGACGCCCTGACCCCGCGGGCACCCCCCGCCCCGGCACTGTCCTCAGGGGTGGCCTCCAGGGCCAGGCACACCCCAGGCTCTACCCAGGGGGACGTGACTGGACGGGAACGGCCAGCAGCCGCGCGGCGTGGTGGCAGCCCCTGGACGAGCCCTGCCCGCGCAGGCGCAGGTGTTCCCCTTGTTTTTCTGAGCTTCCCAGTTTTTCTTAGATGTGGTTGGATTTTTAACGACAATAAAACTCTTTAAAACATCACCAACCAAAGCGTGACGTGGGCAGCCTTGGGAGCACGTCCCTCTGCCCACCGTGCTGTCCCTGCGTGGGGGCAGGTGAGGTGGGCAGGTGGGGGCAGGTGGGGGCGAGGAGAGGGGGGTAGGTGAAGGGGGCAGGTGAGGGGAAGGTGAGGGGGGCAGGTGAGGCGGGCAGGTGGGAAGCAGATGAGGGGGCAGGTGGGGTGGAGGTGGGGGCAGGTGAGGAGGGCAGGTGGGGGGCAGATGGGGGGGCAAGTGAGGTGGGCAGGTGAGGGGGGCTGTGTTCCCTGTGTTGGCGAGAGCCTGGGTATGGGCAGACGCCCCAGGACACTGCCTTCTAGAGTTGGGGTGCAGAAGCACGGGCCACAGGTGCCATGTGATGGGGCCCCCCTGAGGGAAAGGGTGCCTGGGGCCCAGCCCTACCCCCTGCCATGGCCCGTGTCCCGGGGCGGGTCCCGAGGGGAGCTGGTGGCTCTGGCCACGTGCCGGGTGGCTCTGACCCAGCAGGTCGTGCCGGCCTCGCGTGGGCGTCTGGGTCTCCGCTCCAGCCGGGGGCCCGGGCAGTGCTGAGGCGAGGGCCTCGTCCACTCCGCCTGGCGGGCGGCCCCGTGGCGTGGCCCAGATGGAGCGCGGCCGCGGCACTCGCCTTCCTCCCGATGGTGAAGTGGCGCCAGGACTGCGCCTGGTGCGTGGGGATCTCCTGGAAGGCGGTGAACTGGCCGTCCGTCCACCTGTAGATGGCCGACCTGGCCCTGCGGTTGGCGGTGGCCACGAAGAGCCCGGCCTGGGGGATGGCGAAGACCTCGATGCCCAGCGTCTCCGAGGTGGTGTGCAGACTCTGGTGCTCCTCCACGTAGTCTAGCTTCTCTTTGCCTTGGGAGAGACGGGGCTGGGTCTCCCTGGCCTGAGACGGTCCCCGCCCCGCCCGCTCCGGCGCCCCACCGGGGCTGAGCTCCTGGCCCTCGGGGGACAGGTCGGTGCCCGGGGCCTGCTGGCTCCTGCTGCGGTGGGTCCTGGGGCCAAGGGGCCGACGTCCCGCTCACCTGTCAGCACGGAGACCCAGCGGCTGCCCACACACAGGTACAGCCCCCTACGGCCGGCGTCCAGCCAGAACTGGGTGTCCTCCATCTTGGTGCACGGGGGCTGGGCGCCCAGCGTCACTTTCAGGTCAGCTTCTGGGGGGCAAGGGACAGGCCAGTGCACAGTGTGCCCCAAGAAAGATGTCGGAGATCCCCAGCCCTGCCGCTCCACACCGGGCGCTGGTGCACTCTGCGGTCGGCCACACCTGTCTGCTGTCCACCACCGGGCCACAGTGACCACGGCACGGCTAGCCCCAGCTCTACAGGCTGGCCGAGTCATGGAGCCCAGTGGCCTGAGGCCCACGCCAGCTCCAGGCTCCCCAGCCATGGCAGCCAGGGCCCCGCCTCCCAAGAGCACCCCCAGACATGGCCGGTGCCTCGGGGAGGGGACGCCCGTCCAGGACTAGATGGCCGCTGCCTGTCCAGGCAGGCAGACCCCCCCAGCCAGCAGGGCCGCATGCCCCAGGCCCAGTGTGGGTCGGGATTCTGTGCGCTGCACAGCAGGGGGCTAACCCCCTCCGTGGACTTCGCCTCGGGAGGACGCAGACCCAGCGGAGGCAAGCAAAGCTGGGGTCTCTGGGGGGGTCATGGACGACAGGAGCCCCAGGTCAGGCCTGCGGGGCTTGGTGTGCGCGCGGCAGGCAGCCACTCAGGAAGCAGGACAGCGTGGCCTGCATGGGGTGCAGCGACTGACCATAGGTGTGCTTCAGCACCTCGTTCTCCTCCGGCCTCCCCGGGAGGCCCTGCAGGATCGGGGGGATGGACAGCGTGGCCAGCTCGGCGCTCGTGCAGGGGCACAGCCTGGGCGTGGCGTCCGAGCCGGGCAGCAGGACCAGCTGCCGCAGTAGGCCCTGCGGAGAGAGGGTGGCCGTCCAGTCCCGCCGTCCAGACCGGGGCAGGGGGCGGGGGTGGGCTCCGGAGCCGCGCGGGCAGGGCTGTGGCACAGCGGGGACGAGTGTCAGGGCAGAGCACATGCGGAGGCCAGACGGGCATCAGCAACTCCCCTGCCCCGTTCTGCTGCCCCTCCTGACCCGCACATGGCAGAGCTGGGCGACGGGCGGGCAGCACCCCCCCCCCCCCACTAACCGTGAACAGGCCTTTGGTTCTCCTCCGGCTGCCAACAAAGAACCGGGCTCCGCGCACGGAGAGGGAGGCAGGGAACGACACGTCGGCTGTTCTGGAAGCACCGGGGACAGTGTCAGGACGGCCGGCCCAGGCCGCCCCCGCTCGTGTGGACATGGAGGGCGAGCGCGCCAGGCTGAGGGGCCTGGAGCCACTGCAGGAAGCAGCAGGCCAGTGCTCACCCACAGAGGCCGCCCCCCACTCGGGGCATGAGCCAGGGCGGGCATTGTCTTCCCACCCCCTCGCCACATGGGGGCGCCGGTCAGGGCCGCCCCGCTAGCCCAGAGGCCTGCACTGAGCATGGCCCCGTCTCCAAACAGCTCCCACAGAGATTTCCAGTGACTGTGAATCTGGGGGTGCCACTCCCCAGGAGGACGGTCTCCACAAAAGGAAGGGTTCAGTGCCTCTGCTCAACCTCACGGAAGCTTTGGGCGGCTTCTACCTGCATAGGGGCCCAGTCACCCCCCTCTCAGGCCACAGTGGTGCCAGGGCAGGACAGCATGTGCCTGACTGGTGGTCCCGAGGCTGTGGGTCGGAACTGGGGGCTGCATCCGGGATGGGGGAGCTGTCCGGGCCCCACAGGCCAGCCGCACCGGTGTGCTGCCGCTGACCGGCCAGGCCAGCTCCAACCCCGTCCCCCAGAGTGCTCTGTCCCTGCCTGACCACGGCCTCCGAGCTGAGGGCCCCGCAGCTCCTGCCTGGCCCCGGCAGCTGGCCTGGCGCCTCACCGCCACCCACCCGGCCTCCCGCGCCCCTCACAGAGATGCCTCCGCTGGCGGGGGGACACTTTCTCGAGGACCGGGGATGCAGGACCCCCGTCCCGCAGCCGCCACTGGCCGGGCCTTGCGGTGGGTCCCCAGCCTGGCCTGTGCCCGGGTCTCGCCCAGCATGTCAGTCCACTCCCGAGGCCTGGGCGCCGTGTACAGGACGTCCACTCCAAGATCCTCCCTGCCCGGGGCCCCACGAGGCATCCCAGAGCCTGGCAGAGCCCGTGCGCAGCAAGCCGGGCTTTCCAGAGCCCTCGGCGCGGCACCCTCAGTGTCCCCGCTGCCCAGGGGCCTGCACTGCTCAGCAGAGGCCAGGTGGGGTCTCTGGGCACGGCCATGCCCTGCTCTGGGGCGCCACGAGGGTGTTGGGGGAGGTGCATGCCGAGTCTCCTCCCTGGGGGCGTCTCGAGAGCAAGGCATAGGGTCCTGGGGCACATGGGAGGGACACCGCGGGCTGTGCCCAGGCCTCGGGGTCACCCTGCTTGTGGCTGGCGTAGGGGAGAATGTTTGTCCCTCACCCCAGCTTGGCCAGAGGCCACCGGCAGAGCCCTGGAGCAGGTCTGGGCTGGGGTTGGGGTGCAACTGCCCGGCTCGGCCTCTTCCCCGGGCGTTTATGGGGCAGCGCCCCTGCAGTGCCGCTGCAGCCAAGCGGGACCTGCTGGCACGTGCCCCCGCCTCAGCCTCGGGGGGACTGGCATCCATGACCCCAGCCCACACCCCATGCTCTCCCGCCGCAAGTGCCCGGCCAGCGGCTCCCAGGCTGGACTCTAGCCCCCGTGGTCAACACCCCCCGACCCGGGCACCTACATGTCCACCGGCCGGCCACAGTCTGCCGTGAGTGAGAAGGAGCCTTCGGCCACGGCCAGCACCAGCGTGTGCCACCGGCCGTCGGCCAGCGCAGGGCTCCCGAAGGACACGCGGGTCTGCCAGGCGCCGGCCGCCGCCTCGCTCAGGAAGAGGAAGTGCAGCCGGCGCGGCGAGAAGCGCAGGCCCAGCAGCAGCGCGTCCTGCTCCTCCGCCAGCACCGTGAGCAGGTACTCGTTCTTCTGCAAGAGACGCTCAGTGAGGGCCGGCGGCCAGGAGGGCTGGGGGACCGGGGTCGTGAGGGGCAGGTGAGGGCGGAGCAGGGGGCAGCTGGGCCAAGAGTGTGGGGCAGGGGAGGGAGCAGAGGAGGGGAGGGCAGGTGTAGGGCAGGGGACAGGTGGGGGTTGGCTGGTGACGGCAGGGGTAGGGAGGGCAGCCTCGGGTCGGGTGCGTAGTCTGGTAAGGCCCGGTGCACCCCTCTCCAGGACGCCCCCAAAACCCCAGCAGCAGCATCTGGAGGGACCACACCAGCTGGCAGGCCGCATAGGAGCCACTGAGAAGGCCTGCCCCCCACGGACCCCGGGGACTCAGGCTCCTGCCCTTTGGGGCCTCTCAGGCACCTTCTCCAGGCTCCTGGGGCTGCAAGAGGCCAAATCCAGTCAAACCCACACGACCCCCCCAAGGAGACCAGAGGAAGCAGCGCATCAGCGTGAGTGAGTTTATTGGGCACCCAAGGGTGCCGGCAGGTGGGAGTGGAGGCCAAGTGGCCCGAGAGGAAAAACAGGGAGGGAAGGACAGGTGGCCCCGAGCAGGTGGGCAGCCTCCTGGGAGGCAGGAGCCGGGGAGCAGCGAGGCAGGCTGCTGGGCCCAGGAGGCCTGGTCAGGGCCACGCAGATGTGGGGGACCCCGTCCTGAGGGGCAGGAACCCGACCGGAGTCAGGGCTGGCTGTGGGGCAGCTGGGAAGCTCACATTCACAGGGGGAGCCCTCGGGGGACAGGCCGGTCAGCAGCAGGCGGGGCGGGGGCACGCGGGCCGGCAGAGCAGGGACATGGAGGAGGCCCCGCGGCAGCAGCCGGGCTGGCAGGAGGGGCCGGGGGCGCAGCAGGCGGGTTTGCACACGGGGCGGCAGATGAGGGATACGCAGGAGGAGGGTTTGCAGCAGGGCGGGGGGCAGGGGCTGGGCTGGCAGCAGGAGGAGGCCGAGCAGGGGGAGGACCCCGAGCAGACGGGCACACAGCAGGCGGGCTTGCAGCAGACGGGTGTGCAACACATGGGCGTGCAGCAGACGGACGTGCAGCACATGGGCTTGCAGCAGACAGGCGTGCAGCAGGCAGGTGTGCACGAGACAGGCGTGCAGCACATGGGCGTGCAGCACATGGGCGTGCAGCACACGGGCTTGCAGCACACGGGCATGCAGCAGGCCTGCTGGCAGGGGGAGCAGCTGCAGCACGAGGGCTCGCAGGAGCTGGACCCGCAGCTCACCGGGGCGCACATCAGGGTCTGGCAGGAGGCGGGGGCGCAGCAGCTGGGGGTGCAGCTGGGGGGCTCGCAGCAGCTCTCGGGGTAGTCGTCCCCTTGCCAGGAGGACTCGGGCAGGCAGACCCGGCTGCCGTAGCTCAGGTCGCTGGAGCAGACGGACAGGGTGGAGGCGGCCATGTTGTGTGGCTGGAGGGGGGAGGGTGCGTGTGTGAGTGTGAGTGTGAGTGTGAGTGTTTGTGTGGAGGTGCCTGGGGCTGCCGGGTTTTATACCCCTGGTCCAGGATGTGTTTTCCGGGCATCCACCTGGCCCCGTCCTTCCTTCCTTGTTGGTGTTGTGACTGAGGCTGGCGCCCTCGTTACTTCAGGTTTGTTTACAGAGAAGAGGCCACTGCTTGTAAAACGCCATCGGGGTTGAGGCTGGGGTGACCCCTGATCAGCGTTTGGTTCTGCGGGTAAACACCTGTGCAGCATCTACTCCCAGGTGCCCTGCCCACTGGCTCTGCTGACGTGCCCTGCACGTGAGGGGAGGCCTGGCCCCGGGCTGGGGTGGAGGAAGGAGGCAGCCCTCACAGCGCAGGGCAGGGCACACCACAGACGACTCCGGAGAAACAGAAGCTTTCAGAAGAGCCGGCGTCCGCCAGCAGGATTCCCAAGAGGGAGCCGGGAGGAGCACAACCCACAGAGCCCGGGGGACGCTTGGCTTCAAGTTTGGACCAAAACTGTGAGGGGAGGGGTGGAGCGGGGCATCCGGCACTCCCGACGTGGCCAGCCTCCCCTGCTCTCAGGCCTCAGGTGCCAGAGACGGTGGAGACAAATCTTCATCTGAGAGAAAAGCCCTATTGACCTCCCCGGATCCACGGGTGCGGGACGAACGCCTTCTCCGGAACACACTCGACACCCGGAAAACTGCCCTTTCAAGTATCCGTGGGGGCTTCTCAAGTGCTGGGGGCCTCGACCAGAGCAAACCCGATGGGAGACAGAACTCCAGAGAGAAGATCAAGAAAGTCGGTCCAAAGCAGAGGAGGGTCTTCAAGACGAAGAAACACAGGGCTGACCCCTGAGCCGGAGCAACTGTGATTCCTCACCTCCCCCTTTGTTTTGCACATAAACATCCAGTTGTTCCTGACACTCTTCTGCCTCACTAATTCATCTCTGCTCTTTCCTCAAGAGCCAGCACCTGCTCGGTGCAGGTCCGTTGCTCCGTTCTCTCAGCCGCCTGTGCACCTGGCCTCTCCACCATTACACTGCCCGGTCACTATAGCGTTATAGTAAAACTTAAAATCGGGGAGTATAAATCCCCCAACTTAGTTCTTTGCTTTCAACTTGTCCTGGTCGTTTGAGCACCACTGCTTTTCCAAATAATTTTAGTCAGCTTGTTGATATCAACAAGGAAAAACTTCCTGCTGAGATTTTTTTTTTTAAAGATTTATTTATTTATTTATTTATACAAGCACTGGGTACAGTCAGAAGCACAGGAGGGTGAGAGAATTCACCAGAGCCAGAGCAGGGAGCAGAGCAGGCAGAAGGACTGAAGTACACTGCTGAGGGGAGCAGCGGGCGGCAGGAGAGGTCTGCGCGCCATGCGGGACCCTCGCCAGTGGCCAGGGATTGAACTGGCGCTGCAGAGGCTGCGGGCAGCTTCTCAACCCAGTGCTCAACCGCTGCGCCACGGGGAGGCCCCCTGCTGAGATTTTGACTGAGATGGCCAGGAATTGATAGATCTATGGGAGGGGGCCACCGTCCTAACTGCACTGAGTGTTCCAGCCTGTGAAACTGGTTCGGTTCCTTATGTCTCATTTGATTTCTTTCAGTGGTATTTTTTGGTTTCCCATTGACTGTGGTGTTGACTTTAGGTTTTTATAGATGCTTCATATCAGAGTAGGAGTTTTTCAACTATTCTTAGTTCACTGTAAGCACTTGTAAAAATCAAAGAGGAAGGAATTCTTCTTACCTTATTCTTTGAAGTCAGCATGACCCTGATAACAAAGCCAGATCAAGACACTACAAGAAAACTGCAGATATCCCTTGTGAACACTGATAATAAAATCCTCAACAAAATACTAATGAGTAGAATTCAGTAGCATGTTAAAAGGATGGCAACTGTGACCAAGCAGGATCTGCTCCTGGAATGCAAGGATGGTTCTACATATGCAATTGATCAATGTAATTAATATATCACATTAAACAGAGTGGAGGGAAAAATACACAATCATCTCAACGAATACAGAAAAAGCATCTGACAAAATTCCACATGCTTTCATGTTAAAAACACTCAACCATCTAGGAATACAAATCTGTTTGCAGATATGATCTTGTATATAGAAAATTCTAAAGATTCCACCAAAGATCGAATTCAGCAGAGTGTAGGATAAAAGTGAGTACACAAATATCAATTGTATTTCTACACACAGTGAACAATCCAACAAAGAGGGTATTCCACTTACAATAATAATTCTGTTTACAATAGCATCAAAGGGAATAAAATACTTAGGAATTACCCTAAACAAAGAGGTAAAAGGCTTGTACAACAGAAACTATAAATCATTGCTAAAAGACAGTAAAAAGACATAAGTAAATGGTAAGACATCCTATGCTCATGGATTGGAAAACTTAATATCTTAAGACATCAACACTATCCAAAGCATTAACAGATTTAATGCAATTGCTATCAAAACCTCAATATTTTTTGTAGAGAAAGAAAAACTCATTCTAAAATTCATATGTAATGTCAAGCATCCCCCGAAAAGCCAAAACAAAACTGAAAAAGAGCAAAGCTCAATGAGTCATACTTCCTGATTTCAAAACCTATTACAAAGCTAGAGTAATAAAAACAGTGTGGCACTGGACTACAGTGAGACATATACACCAATGGAGTAAAATAGAAACCCAGAAATAAAGCCTCACACATTGGGTCAAATCATTGCTGACAATGGCACCAAATGTATTCCATGAAGAAAAGATGATCTTTTAAATACGTGGAGCTGGGAAACCTTGATATCATGCAAAAGAAAGGAGTTGGACCCTTATCTGTCACAATTAACAAAAGTTAACTCAAACTAGATCTATGGCCATTAATGCAAAACCTTAAACTAAAAAACCCTTAGAAGAAAACATGAAAGTTTCATGACTTTGGATTTTGTTATGATTTCATGGATATGATACCAAAGGCACAGACAACAAGAAAATTACACAGCTTGCACTTCATGAAAATGTTAAGTATTTTGACGTCGAGTATTTTGGTATCAAAAGACAATAACATCAGAAATAAAGGCAAACTAAAGAATGGAATAAAACATTTGAAAATCATTCCATCTCACAAGGAATTAATATCCAGAATGTATAGAGAACTCCTAAAGCCAAAATACAAACTCCCAGATTAAAGAATGTGCAAGGGCTGGAATAGACTTTTTCCAAATATGTGAAATGATTAATAAGCACATGAAATCAGATGCTCAATGCCACTAATCATTAGATAAACGCAACTCGAAAGTGCATTAGTGAGACCATCCGGTATTTTTCTTTTCCTTTCTGGCTTATTTCACTGAGCATGATCCCTTCTAGGTCTCACTCATAGCAGGAGTTTAGAAAACCTAAACAAGAGACCAGGAAAAAGACCAATTATAATATAGAAAAAATCAAAATCAACAAGCAACTATAAACCAGAGACACACTACAGGGTGGGGGGGAGAGGAGGGATTGGGGTCAAAATAAGGGGGGTGCAATTGTATGGGGACTGTAACCAAGATAAAAATGCATACATTGGGCCTCCCCGGTGGCGCAGCGGTTGAGCGCTGGGTTGCGAAGCTGCCCGCAGCCACTGTGGCGCCGGTTCGATCCCCGGCTGCTCCCCAGCCACCGGAGGAGGGTCCCATATGCGCAGACCTCTCCTGCCGCCCGCTGCTCCCCTCAGCAGTGTACCTCGGTCCTTCTGCCTGCTCTGCTCCCGCTCTGGCTCTGGTGAATTCTCTCACCCTCCCGCGCTTCTGACTGTACCCAGTGCATGTATAAACAAAACAAACAAACAAATAAATAATAAATAAATAAAAAATGCATACATTATGCAAAAATGAAAAATGATGTAAGAAATATATATATAAAAAGTGCAACTAGGTAGCATCTCACATCTACCATGAGGTCTACTACATGTACACACATGTATGTACGTGTGTGCATGTGTGTATCTGTGTATAAAGTAAGAGTTGGTGAGAATGTATAGAAATTAGAACTTTTGGGCACGGCTGTTGGGGGTGTCATATGGTACAGAAACTGCGGACATGAATCTGATACGATCCAGTAATTCTACCAGGTTTGTACACAAAAGAGTGGAGAGCAGGATCTTGAAGAGATATTTGTAAACTCATGTTCTCAGCAACATCACTCACAATAGCTAGCGGTTGGAAGCCACACAGGTGTCCACTGGGGGGTGAACAGATGAGCAAAATGCAACGTATGAGGATTAACCATAAGGTTAATCCTTAGCCTTAAAAGGTAGCAAGTGCTGATGTCAACACGGGTGACTCTTGAGGACATCAAGATAGACAAGTGGCCCCCATCGGACACACACCCTCTGGTCGTGCTCACGCGTGTGCTGTAGACATGGGAAGTAGAGCGGAAGTTCCCACGGCGGGCCAAGGGAGGTGAAGGGGTTACTGTGCAAGGTGTGAAGTTTTGGTTTTCAGCATGAAAAGTGGCAACAGTAAGCAGCCGCTGCATACCACCACATGCATGTTTAGCACTGAAAGTGGCCCATTTCCTATTATGTGTATTTTGCCTTGATTATCAAATAAGAAAAAGAGGAAATGAGTCACCGGGACATGAAAGGACATGGGGGAAACGTGAATGCATGTTACTAAGTGAATGAAGCCCCACTATAGAGGCCCCACGCTGTGCCAGACTGTGCTATGCTGTATTTTTCGTTCTGGAAAAGAAGAAATGATGGAGACAGTGTAAAGATCAGTGGCTGCCAGGAAGTAGGAGGAGCAGGGAAGACTTTAGGGCAGGGAAATGGTGCTTGTGTGAACTATAAGTGTCCATATATGTCATCATCCATGTGTCAAAAATCCATAGAAAGTACAGTACTGAGGATGACGCTTCATGTATGATGGTCTTTGGCTGACCCGGATGTGTCAGTGTGAGTGGATTGATTATGACAAGGTATCATCTTTGTAGCAAATGCACCACCATCATCAGATGTAGGCAGAGGCGGGTTAGGCATGCATGAGACCAGGGTGACCCGGGGACTTGCGCGCTCATGGCTCAGTTTTGCTGTGAACCTAAAATTGCTCTAAAATACATTATTAGATAGACACTGATATTGGACTATCATGGTTGTCTGATTTTTCCCTGGATGAGTTTTGGTAGCTTGTGTCCCGAATGAGGAAACCTCTTTCATCTAATCGCCCAATACGAGGGCAATGTTTTGTGTGTTCCTCTAATATCTGTGGGGTCCACAGACTTCCGTCCTCTTCCATCCTTGATATCAGTGTCTTTTTAAAATCTTTTTCTTATCCTGTCTGCCTTGAGTTTATCAAATGTTTTATCTTTTAAAAAAATAAGGGTTGTTTTCATTATCTCTATTATTTTCGCTTTCATTCATTTCTAGTCTTGAGCATTTCACTCTCTATCTGCTTTGAGTTTAATATACTCTTGTTTCATCATTTATATAATTTTTAAAAGATTTATTTATTTATGCATACAAGAGCTGGGGTACAGGCCGGAGATGAAGGGGGGTGAGAGGATTCACCAGAGACAGAGAGGGGAGCAGAACAGGCAGACGGACTGAAATACACTGCTGAGGGGAGCAGCGGGCGAGTCAGGAGAGGTCTGCGGCGCCCTGTGGGTAGCTCCCTGGCCAGATGGGAATCAAACTCATGCTGCAGAGGCTGCGGATTACTTCATAGTGCGGTGCTTAACCCCTTGTGCCACCAGGGAGGTCCTGTTTTATCATTTAAATTTGACTTTCTTTTTATTTGAAGTGCATTCCTTGAGGCAACATCTTCGGGGTGTCCTTTTGTCCAACTGGAGGGTCTCCTTTCTGCTCCTGCAAGTTAATACTCTGGCCATTATTTTTACACTGAGCTTCATTTTCAACTCTCTGTGTTTCTGCCTTCAAGTTCACTTGCCTTTTCTTCTGCAGTGTCTATTCGGCTGTTAATCTCCTTTTCACTCAGACTTCGTGGTTTCTCTCTGGGTGTTCTCTTTGTATCTCCTTCAGCCTTCCTCATCTTTCCTTGAAGGAGCACCAGCCTTCTCTCCAACTCCCCCAACAGGGGAGTATCGTCATGACTTCTAATTCTGTGAACTGCAGCATTTCTGACTTGGGTTTGAAGGGTTGGTTTTATAGCTATGACGGGTTGTGCTTTCCTGCCTCTCTGCACGCCTGGTGATTTTGGAGCAGATGTCTGGAATTTTAATTTCAACTTGCTGAGTGCTGGAATGTTGACTTCCTCTGAATATTCTCCACTTTGTTCTAAGATGTAATTATTTACATAGAAGTGGCTCTTTCTTGGAAATTTGCACAGCAGGAGCAGCAGGAGAGCCGCTGACTCACCACTGAGGCTGTGTCTGAGGAGCCCACCATGCTGGGGGATGACAGCGCTGCCCCAGGCGGGGGGCACACATGCAGGACCCGGCTCTGGGCAAGAGGCCACAGTTCCCTGCTCCCCATCTCAGTGTGACACGTGTGTGCTGCATCACCCCCAGAGCCTTGAGCACCTGGCAGGGGAGGACGAGTGTGAGAGCTTGGGGGGACACCAGGCCCAGGCCCCTGCAGGCACGCTGGGGAGACCCCGGACCAGCGTCCTGGCAGACGGCTCTGGTGTGCCCCATGGGACCATGCAAGGGGACAGGCCCCTGGACACTGTGTAGCTGACCGGCTCCAGGGAAGCCCAGGTCAGGCCATGCAGCATCGGCCTCCCTGGGCCTGCCCTCCACGGACTCCCGGGACTCAGGCCCCTGCCCTTTGGGGCCTCTCAGGCACCCCAAAGGGTGCCTCTCGGGCACTCTCAGGTCTCTTCCAGGCTCCTGGGGCTGCAGGAGGCCAAGTCCAGTCAAATCCATGGGCCCCCTCAAGGAAACCAGAGGAAGCAGTGCATCAGCATGAGTGAGTTTATTGGGCACCCAAGGGTGCCGGCAGGTGGGAGTAGAGGCCAAGTGGCCCGAGAGGAGAAACAGGGAGGGAAGGACAGGTGGCCCCGAGCAGGTGGGCAGCCTCCTGGGAGGCAGGAGCCGGGGAGCAGCGAGGCAGGCTGCTGGGCCCAGGAGGCCTGGTCAGGGCCACGGAGATGTGGGGGACCCCATCCTGAGGGGCAGGAACCCGACCGGAGTCAGGGCTGGCTGTGGGGCAGCTGGGAAGCTCACATTCACAGGGGGAGCCCTCGGGGGACAGGCCGGTCAGCAGCAGGCGGGGCGGGGGCACGCGGGCCGGCAGAGCAGGGACACGGAGGAGGCCCCGCGGCAGCAGCCGGGCTGGCAGCAGGGGGCGGGGGCGCAGCAGGCAGGTTTGCACACGGGGCGGCAGATGAGGGACACGCAGGAGGAGGGTTTGCAGCAGGGCGGGGGGCAGGGGCTGGGCTGGCAGCAGGAGGAGGCCGAGCAGGGGGAGGACCCCGAGCAGTCGGGCACACAGCAGGCGGGCGTGCAGCAGACGGGTGTGCAACACATGGGCGTGCAGCAGGCAGGTGTGCACGAGACAGGCGTGCAGCACATGGGTGTGCAGCACACAGGCTTGCAGCAGACAGGCGTGCAGCACATGGGCTTGCAGCAGACAGGCGTGCAGCAGGCAGGTGTGCACGAGACAGGCGTGCAGCACATGGGCGTGCAGCACACGGGCTTGCAGCACACGGGCATGCAGCAGGCCTGCTGGCAGGGGGAGCAGCTACAGCACGAGGGCTCGCAGGAGCTGGACCCGCAGCTCACCGGGGCGCACATCAGGGTCTGGCAGGAGGCGGGGGCGCAGCAGCTGGGGCCACAGCAGCTGGGGGCGCAGCAGGGGGGCTCACAGCAGCTCTCGGGGCAGTCGTCCCCCTGCCAGGAGGACTCGGGCAGGCAGACCCGGTTGCCGTAGCTCAGGTCGCTGGAGCAGACAGACAGGGTGGAGGCGGCCATGGCGTGTGGCTGGAGGAGGGAGGGTGCGTGCCTGTGTGTGCGTGTGTGTGTGTGTGTGTGTGTGTGAGTGGGTGTGGAGGTGCTGGGCCTCTGGGCTTTTATACCCCTCTGGGCTTGTGTTTCCTCTCCCAGCACACAGGCCTTCCTTGTTGGTGTTTGCTGCTGTAGGAGAGCCTCATCCACGCTGGTTTAGTTCCTGCCTTAGCCTTGACTCATCAGCCTGTGAGTGTGCTGGGGTGTGTTTTCCTGTCTCTTCCTGTTTGGCTGCAGAAAATTTGTGGGAAATACACTGAGGCAGGTTCTGGGAGCTGTTGCCTGTGAAGGGCCCCCACGGTGGTCGGGCCCTGCACGCGGGCTCACAGCTCTCAACTCCCCAGGAAGTCCTCTCTAACTCAGTGGTTTCTGCAGCGTCAACCTCCAAATTTGAGCAAACACCCCTCTGGCCAGCTCTGGAGAGTAACTTGCCCCCACAAAAACAAGTATACAAAGCTTTATTTACTTTTAACTTCCTCAATAGCAATTGCTCTGGCCTAAAGTTGTTGAGCAACATGTCGTTCCTAATTCGGCCTCACAGCAGTAGAACACGTTTCATCTCAGCAGAGCCAAGCTCTAGGCCCTTAGTCTTGGATCGCCACCCACTGACAGGACCAGCATGGCTGGGACCGGCTTGGTGAGCATCCGCAGCCCTCTAGACCCCACAGACTCTGTGTGGTTTGTTGTGAGGCATCTGTGTAACTCCTGTTCCTCTGAATACAACACTCTCCTGGGAAGATGTTCACAGACAACTTCATGGTGTGTTCCAGAATGACCTTGGGCGCCATGGCATGGACCTCAGAGACAAACTACAGCAACAACTTGCACAATTACAACAAGAAGCACAAAAATGCCACACTGGCACATTTAAATGATGCTGCCTATTGGCTAAATCCAACTAAGTGGTTCTCAGGTCTCAATGTTAAAATCTGGATTTTGCTTGGCATAGGGCTATTATTTTTGTTACTTTTTCTTCTAGTTCTAAACAGCCCTGTGCTGCCTGTTCCAGAAAACTCTGTTGAAGCTCTGCTGTTCCTCCTGTAACTCTCCCGATACCAGCCCTTACCTGTCTCTTAAAAATAGCAACTTAGTAGTTTCATGTTCCTTAATTTTATTCCCCACTATACAAGCCTATGTTAAGTGCCTCTGATGGAGGACAAGAATAGAAAAACTGAAAAGGAGGCGCACAAGACCAGAAACCTGGCTCACACCATGCCAAGAGCCGGAGGTGGGGGCAGGAGATTAGCGCAGCCACTGACCCAGCTATAGAGACCACGATCCTCAGGGCTGACGCCCAGATCACAAAGCATAAGACCCACGCAGGGGGTCTCCCCGGTGGCGCAGCGGTTGAGCGCTGGGTTGCGAAGCTGCCTGCGGCCTCTGCGGCGCCGGTTTGATCCCCGGCTGCTCCCCGGCCACCAGAGGAGGGTCCTGCATGGCCAACAGACCTCTCCTGCCGCCCGCTGCTCCCCTCAGCAGTGTACTTCGGTCCTTCTGCCTGTTCTGTTCCCCGCTCTGGCTCTGGTGAATTCTCTCACCCTCCCGCGCTTCTGACTGTACCCAGTGCTTGTATAAATAAGTAAATAAATACATGCCTCTTTAAAAAAAAAAAAAAAGGAAAAAAAAAAAAAGACCCACGCAGGGGTCAGACGCTGTAGGGAGTGTCCGGAGCACAGGCCTGAGGGTAAAGATGCAGAGATTTGGCCCGTTGTGGAATCTCCGGTCCCTTTCGGATTCTGCGGAGTTGTCCAAAGTCAGCAGCAAACAGGCCCCTCCACGGAGGAGTGACCCCCCAAAGAGAGGACTGTGTCCCTGCAGCCTCTGCCCTGGCTCGGGGCAGCCGTCCCTCTGCCCACCTGGGACTGAGCAGATGCTCCCTGTCACCCCTCTCTCCCTCCGCCGGGCAGCGGCCTCCTGCCCACCCGTGCCCTGTGGCCAGGCCGGGCTCCTCCTCATGGACCCGCCTCGGTGGAGGCCGCTCCCCTCAGGCCGCCCGCCTGCGAGCACACAGCCTCTCTCTGCAAACCTGTCCCTCTGGGGCAGCCCTTCCTGCCCGCTGGCGGCTGCGCAAGTGCCCTTTGCTCCCCCGTCCCTTCCCGAATAAACCTGCCCTGTGCACAGAACCACGTCTCTGTCTCTGGAGAAACTCGCCCGGGGCACTCGCCGGGGCCGCGGAGAGGGGAGCTCTGGGGACGCCTTCCCAGGGGGAGCCCAAGGACCCCACTCTCAAGCCCACTGACTCCGAAAACGACATCAGTGACAGGACCGCGTTCTCCATCCTGCGCCTGCCTGCTCCGGGACCCCACTCGCCAGCGAGCCACTTTGGTTCTGTCTGCCCTGACTGTGCCCTGCACGCCGCCCTCTGCGCGGAGCTCGCCCGCCTCCTCCCAGCCGCGCTAGGGACAGTCCCTCCCTCCTGTCTTCCTCTCTTCGAGGAAGTAAAAAGGGGACACGTGGGTCTGCTGATCCCAAGCGGCCTGCTCGGCTGCGCTCCTGCGCACGGTCGGAACCGCCCGGGGGTCAGAGCCCCCCTCACAGGCGCCTCTCCGGGCCCCGGAGCTCGCAGCTGGGGGCTCCGCAAGGGCGGGCATCACGAGGGGCGACCGGGAACGCCCAGGGGCTGAGGACCAACGCAGGACAAAGGGCCCCAGCAGCGGGCCAGGGGCCGCCCCGCCGAGGAGATGGAAGCCCTGGGGGAGCCGGGGCTGGGGCTCGGCGGCAGCGCCGACAGCACCGAGTCTTCGGGCGGCCGGGAAGGGCCCGCCGCTGTGGATGGCGGAGCATGTTTCCGAGCCCCCCGTCTCTGTCCGCCCTCCCTCACCCGGCCGCTGGGGGCTTCTCCTGTCACTAAGGGGCCGGGCGCGCTCCTCGGCAGGCCCCGCACGTGCAGCCAGGGCGGGCAGCGGCCGGCCTGGCCCCTCCTGGGCGACGCCTAGAAAGTCTGAGCCTCTGCAGACACCGGCTCCTCCCCGGGGCTCGCAGGCCCAGGGAGACACCCCAGACCCGCCCGGGCGCGGGCCCAGCAGACGCGGTCCTTGGGGGACCCAGCGCAGAGCTCTGGGGGCGCAGCCGGGGCGCCATCCAGGCCGGGGGAGGGCGCGGGGGCCAGGCCTGCGGGGTGTGAGAGCGTCTCCCGCCAACACGCGCGGTCGCGCCGGCTCGCGGAGGGGGTGGCCGGGGGCAGGCGCAGACCCCTCAGCCCAGAGCGGTCAGGCGACCCGCGCGTGGCCGCAGCCCAGGAGGCAGGGCGGGGCCGGCAGCCACCAGCCTCGGGGCCTCCGTGCCCTGCAGAGACCGTGGGGGCCGGAGCCAGCCAGTGACCAGGACGCTGCCGCTCGCTCGCCGGCCTCAAGGGTGGCGGGGGCGCCCCAGAGCGAGCCAGGGGCTCGCAGGCAGGTGCCCATGTCTCCCAGACACTCATCTGTGCCCGCTGCCCCTGCATGGCCGGCGTGAACCCCCGTGAGTGCTTCCCCTGGGGCCTCTGCTTTCCTACTTGGATCACGGAGGGCAGGACCCGGTGAGCACCCCCATCCAGGCCCCGCCCCCCTCGGCCCTTGGTTCCCGGGAGGGTGAATGTGACGCTAGTTTGGCCGGTGGACACCAGCCATTCGGCGGCCGTGCCTGGATGTCGCGGTGAAGCGTTTCTCAGGCGGGAGTGACACTAAACCAGCCGACTTCGCCGAAGGCTGACCGCCCGCCGGGGCGCCGCGGGCCTCGTCTGAGCAGGTGAATGTCTTCAGGGGCGCGCCCCGGCCTCCGCAGGCAGAGGGAGCGCCGCCTCCGACCAGCTGCAGACTCTGGACGAGGCACAGGACACGGCCTCGCTAGGGGAGAGGACGGCCCGAGCAAACGCCACGCGGGCTTTGCGGCCGCCACCCCCACGCCAGCCCAAGGCCAGCGGGACGCTGGGAACGACAAGCCCGTCACCACCAAAGGGCGGGCTGCGGGACTGAGGGTGGGCGAAGCTGCCAGGGCTGGTGTAAAACCAGACGTGTGGGCTGGGGGCGCGTGCTCGGCCTCTCGGTCTTGGCTCTCCGCCAGCTCCCAGCGCGCCTTGGGGGCTCCAGGTCAGTGGAACTGGCAGGAGCATTCACGAATTTACCCCCCGTTTTCACCCTGAGTTACTCATTTCCCCTTCCCTTGTAAATACACCTTTTATTAACCTTCTGCGGGTGCCTGCAGCTGAGTATTAAGAAGTCCCCTTAAAGCGCGGGGGAGGACCCCCAGTCAGGCAACCCGTTTTACATTGGGGTTGCCCTGTAACAGCCTAAAGGGTCTGGACCTGCTGCCTCCAGTCAGCAGAGCCAGGGAGCAAACTCGGCCCACCACGGGCACATTCAGACGTGACTTTCTGCAGAAAATACCACTGGCTCCATCATGGCCTGTGATGCCTGGGTCTTGCTTCCCAGCCGCTCACCCGGAAGGGTGCCCACCTGCATGCCGGCCCGAGCTGGGCAGGCCCCGCAGGGTGGCCGCAGCATGGATGTGCTTCCCTGCTGGGGCTGCCCTGTCCCTGCCAAGTTTCCCAAGCCCCCACAGGCAAGGCCCAGGCTCTGCCCCCACGGGGGCGGTGTCAGAGGCTGCCTGGGCAGGGCTGATAGAGAGACGGGGCAGGGAACGTGGGCCTGGCCACCCAGCCCTGTGGCGCTGCCCGCCGGGGTGTGGTGACAGGGGTGAACCCCAGGCCACAGCCACGCAGAGTCCCCCCTGTGGTGTACAGAGACCCACACAGGCCTTTGGAGGGGAACAGACAGAGGCTTTATTTGTCCACAGGCAGGTCACTCACATGGGCGGGACAAAGCAACTAACATCCCGCCTGGACGGACGGGAGGACACAGGGTGGGCAGCAGGGGCTACGTGATACCTGGAGCCAACCCAGGGGCCCGTGAGCTCAGGGCCCAGCACAGCTGCTGAGGGGGCGAGTCTGGGCAGGAGGCGGCCCCAGAAAGCACTTAAAGCTCTGAGATTTCAGGTGGAGTCAGACCTGTGCTAGGAGGGGAGGGGTCAAGCCTGGTCAGCAGCAGTCAGGGCAGGAGCACCCAGGGCTGCAGAGGAGGGACACGCAGGAGGAGGGTTTGCAGCAGGGCGGGGGCAGGGGCTGGGCTGGCAGCAGGAGGAGGCTGAGCAGGGGGAGGACCCCGAGCAGACGGGCACACAGCACGCGGGCTTGCAGCAGACGGGCATGCAACACATGGGCGTGCAGCAGGCAGGTGTGCACGAGACAGGCGTGCAGCACATGGGTGTGCAGCACACAGGCTTGCAGCAGACGGGCGTGCAGCACATGGGCTTGCAGCACACAGGCGTGCAGCAGGCAGGTATGCAGCAGGCAGGTATGCACGAGACAGGCGTGCAGCACATGGGTGTGCAGCACACGGGCTTGCAGCACATGGGCATGCAGCAGGCCTGCTGGCAGGCGGAGCAGCTGCAGCATGAGGGCTCGCAGGGGCTGCCGCAGGCCGACTGGCAGGGGCTGGACCCACAGCTCACAGGGGTGCACACCAGGGTCAGGCAGGAGGCGGGGGCGCAGCAGCAGGGGGTGCAGCAGCTGGGGGTGCAGCAGCTGGGGGCACAGCAGTGGGGCTCGCAGCAGCTCTCAGGGCAGTCATCCCTCTGCCAGGAGGACTCAGGGCAGGACGCGGGCAGGCAGACCCGGCTGGAGGCGGCCATGGCCTGCGGCTGGAGGAGGGAGGGTGCGTGGGTGAGAGGGAGGGTGTGAGTGCATCGGAAGTGCTGGGGGCCGTGGGCTCTTATACCCCCGGGGCTGTGTTGTGTTTGGCTCACGGCACTGCTCCTTGCTGGACGGGCCGCTGCGGGCAGGTGCGGAGCTGGGACATCGTGACCTTTGTTTTTGCGGAAGACAACAGAGGCTGGTGCCCTGCGGCTTGGATGTACCTGCCAGGCGCCAGGACCGGAACCAGGTCTTCTTACAGTGACGACATCTGGCCCTGGGGGGGCTGGTCTTGTGAACAGAAACCTCCACCCCCAGGAGGGGCAGGAGGAGGCCCTGAATCTGGGCTCTGAGAGCAGGGGCTGTGCCTTGCTGGGGCGTGCCTGATGCCCCCCCCCCGCGGCACTGCGGGGGGCCGTGTGCCAGTGGATGTCCGGGCCAGCGGCTCTGGAGGGGCAGGGAGCAGACCCGCCCAGCGGGGGGCCCGGCTGCTCCAGGCACCAGGGATATTGTTTCGGGGCAATTTCATTGTTGCAGACTCTTCCCCGGAACCCGCCACTCGCAGCCCCCTCCAGCAGCTGCCGCCCCTGGGCCCCGCCTACAGATGAGACCAGGCCGCCCTCGGCCGCTCCCCGCAGCGGATGGTTGGTGTCGGGCACCATCCTGGGGCACCGACAGGGGCGGGCCGCCCGCGGGGCTTGGGCCTGACCCCGGACACTGCACAGAGCCGCGTCCCTCAGCCGGCCAGGGAGCCGGTCAGCTTGCGGCCAGCAGGTCCGCCTCACGGGCCGGCCTTGAGGCCGCCGCAGCCTCCACGGGGGCCCAGCCAGACTCTGGGCTGCGGGGCTCTCTCCATAAAAGGGGCCTGTTGGTTTGAGGGTCGGGGGGCTCAGGGTCGGAGGTCTCACCGGCCTCCGAGGGGGCCTCTGGGTTCTGTGAGCGCCTTCAGCCCCCGGGCCGGGAGCCAGACGCTAGAAGAAGAAGGGCAGGGACGGGCCGGCGCCGCCACACGCGGACGGGCGGGGACACTCACCCGGCCAGGAGCCCGCTGCCCACAGCCCGCCCGGGCGCTCTCCTCACGCGCCCTCAAGGCCTCCGCGCGGGGCCGCCCTTAGCCTGGGGCCTCCGGTCGGGCCGCCTCCCGTGGGAAGCGCAGAAAGCGGGCGACGGGCTCGAAGCGCGGCGCGGGGACGTGGTCAGCGGAGAGCCGAAGCCCCCGGCGTCTGCGCGGGCCGGGCCGCTCGCCCCAAACAGCGCAACGGGAGCGACACGTGCCCGAGTGTGGGGCCCCGGGAGGCCCCTTCGCGCCGCGCTGCCGAGGGCCCTGGGTCCGCTAGACTCGCGCCGCCTGTCCGGAGCCATCGCGGCCGCCTGCGCTGCGGCCCGCGCGAGGTCAGACCCGCCCCGCAGACCCCGCCCAGCGGCCGCGGGAGCCGGGCCTCGCCAGGCGCCTTCCGTGCCAAGAGCAGAAGCGGGGCCGCGGGAAGGGCGGGCATCACGGGATAGGACCGGGGACGCCCGGGGGGCGAGGACCGATGTAGGACGAGGGACCCCAGAAGCTGACCCGTGGACGCCTTGTTGCTGAGATTAGGGCCGTGGCCGGGGGCTGGTTTCGATGGCGACACTTGGTCGTCAAGCAGCCTCATGTCCCCCCAAGCCCTAGACGACACTCCCGCGTGTCCCCCCTCCTTTCTCCTCATCCCCCCGACCCACGCAGCTGGTGCTGGATGATTACTCCATCGATAACAACGGCCAGGCTCTCGCTCTCAGCAGCCTCCTGCATGACGCAGCCTGGCCCGCGACTCCCGCGTCTTTGCCAGTGTGGTGCTGCCCGACGTAATACCCGAGGAGTGAGGGCCCCACGCAGGTCACCCTGGCAGCCCAAGGCAGCGCTGCACCAGCTCTGCTGAGGAGGCCAGGACACCGCCCGGCTGGCGAGGCCTGTCCACCTGGACGCTAGCCTTGAACGGGCCCAGTGCTGCGGCCTGCGGGGCAGCTGGACACAGACGTGTGGCCGGTGGGGCCTCATGAGGACAGAGCACGGGCGGAGCCCGGTGAGGGGCGCAGGCGGCGGGGGACACCTGTGCCCTGGGCGCTGGGTAGGCGAGCTGCGTGCTCGGGACTCAGGCAGTGAGTGGTCAAAGACCCCTGCGCGGGCAGGACATAGAGCGAGGACCACACGCCGGAGCCTGCGGGCGGGACCGCATCCAGGTGCATTCAGGGAAGCGCTGGCGACCCACAGCTTTAGCCTAAGCGCTGGAGCCATGAGAAACAACAAGCTGAAGAGACAAGGCCTGGGGTCCCACGTCAGAGGCTAGTCCGGCCCAGGGGAGGGTGAGGGGGTGGGGCCGGGGGGCTGAGGGATGGGGTCCTCTGAATGGGGGTCTGGGGGGAGACCCCGCCCAGCAGAGGAGACAGGCAGGAGATGGGGGGGGGGCGGCCGCTCTGGGCACCAACTCGGGCCTGGACACAGGGGGGTGGGTGGCTGCAGGCCCAAGCGACTGTGTGGTCCCTGCTCCGGGATTGGCTCCCCTTTGGGGGCCCCGTCTGAGGAGGGAGGGGGAATGCTACCTGCGTCTGGGGGAGGATGGGGCAGCAAACCACAGAGGAGCAGACCCCAAAGGACGAGCGCCGGTGACTTTGTTTACTCTCCCGCCAAGCAGCTCCAACCTCAGAGCTCATCCCTGGCGTTGGACAGACTCCGCCGGCCTCGCTGCCCACCCGCTCTGCCCGCACCCGGGACCCGCCACGCCGGGCACTCCGGGGCCCCAGGGTTGGTCCCGCCCTCTGTGCCCGGCGCGGGGAAGGCGGTGATGGGCGGCCACTCACCGGCGTGGAGAGCCACTGACCTTAGGGGGGAGGTCGGGGACTTTCAGGGTGACCACGATGGAGAACTCCTCGGGGAAGAAGTCACATCGGAAGAAAATCCTCGAGGCGGGGAAGCTCACGGCGTGGGGCGCGGCGGCCGAGAGCTGGAGCCCATGGGTGCCCTGAGCCTGCAGGGTCCGGACCCCGCCCGCGGTGCCCTCTGCGGGGACGGCCTCGGCCAGGATGTCCAGGGGGCGCAGGTCTGCCAGGGAGAGCACAGTGTCAGGCCGGCTCGGCCGGAAGGTGTGTTCGGGGAGCCCCTCGAGGGTCCCCGCGGCCCTTCAGACTCTTGCCCCGGCCCGCGGGCCCCAGGCTCCCCAGGCCCCACTCACGCAGACTCTGGGCTGCGGGCAGGCGGGACAGGACAGGTCCCCGCCCGGGGGAGCCACCGTGGCGGCAGGAGGGGAGGCCGCGCTGCTCCTGCTCTGCCGGCCCGCGGGCCCCCGCCCTTGGCCTCCAGGCAAGAGAAGGCCAGGCGGGGCGGGAGGACCATGGCGATGCGGCCCCAGGACGTCCGGCAGGGCCAGCGCAGGCGGCGACCACCAGCCCGTCCCGTGGGATGCCCTGGGGAGGGCAGGGGCATCTGCTCCCGGCTGCGTGGGGAGGACACCCGCTGGCGAGCTCCCGGGGCAGAGCCGAGGGGCCCCTCACCCGCCCCACCCCCGCCCCCAACCCCGCGCCTGAGCAGCGCCTGCTGGGCCCCGCCCACCCGACTGGGTGCCCCGCGGCCCCCCGCGCAGGCCTGACCTGGGGAGGGCCCGACTCCCCCCGCCTGCTGGAGGCGCGGCCGGGGTGCTGGGCGTTGGGCCGGGCAGGGCGAGGCGGCCGCCACACTGGACTCCCGCAAACCCCTGTGAGAGCCGGGCATGGGGCGATGCCTGGGGCGGGGGGGCCCCCACCCAACCTGCCCTGGGGCAGGGAACCCGCCCCAGGCAGGGTCAGAGCGAGCAGGCCCTGCGCCCCATCTGAGCCAGGCGTCCCCGCCCTTCCTCCCCGCCCGCCGGGCCTGCCCGGTGCCCTGACGCTGCGCACATCTGCGCGTGTGGCCAGGATGGGCTGCGAGGCCTCTCCCGGCTGCGGCCCGTCTGAGGAAGCCCCAGACCGCACCCCAGCTGCGCTGTGAGCTGCCGGCGGGAGGATCTCTGCAGACCGCCCGCCGGAGACGGCGTCCGGGGCCTGGAGCAGCTGGCTGCGTCCTCAGACGAGGAGGCGCTGGACTCGGGCAGCCCCCCCGGAGTGTTATAGGGCAGCCCCGATATTGAACGGGTTCCTGGCTGTGGGTCCTCACCCGCGCGCTTACAAGGGACTTATGAATACTCCATGGCAGGCACACACAGAAGGTTCATAAAAGGTTTATTGACAAGGGAAAAGGAAAGAAAGAAAATGGACAACTCAGGGAGAAAATAGGGAAATAAAGTCTTTCATGCGTCCTACCCGATCCGCCGACCTGGAAACCCAAAGGCACTCCCCGAGCTGGCCAGACGCGGCGAGCTGGCGGGGAGCCAACATGGGGGACCCCCCAAAGCCCACGTGTCTGGCTTTATACCCACCTGGCTGCTTCACCCCACCCTCAGGTCCCAGCCACCTTCCCTTGGGTGGGGATGGGATGTGGAGTTCCCAGTGTCTGGCTTTGGCCTGGGGTGGGGGTGGCGTCCACAAAGCCTGTGTGGGATTAGCTTTAGGACAGCCTTTCCCCCTAACAGGAGGACGCCGTGTGAAAATCGTGTGCACAGGCCGGGTCCCGCGAGCCCGCCGGGCCGGTAGTAGGGCGGGGGGCCCGCCACAGGCGAAGGACGCCCCAACCTGCTCCCAGCAGAGCTAGAATCCCCTGGGTGAGAGGGCGGTGCGCCCGCTGGCCCCAACCCAACAGCCCCAGGGGCCCGCCGGCAGCCCTCGCCGTACCACCACCCCCTGTGACCCCAAAAGTGAGAGAACACGCACTCCATCTGAGTTTTCCTTCTGAAACTAAAGACAAGTGAAGACGCACCAAGCCCATCTCAGGTTTCGTAACCTGAGCAGTGACGCCTGGAGGAAGCCGGCTCTGTCCGCCCACCAGGAAGCCAGTGAGCACAACGAGGAAGGGAGGCTCGTGAGACGCCGTCCGGACACCACCAGTGCTGGGTATAAAACCCGGCAGCCCCGGACACCCCTGACACACTCACACACGCACACTCACACACGCACCCTCCCTCCTCCAGCTGCACACCATGGCCGCCTCCACCCTGTCCGTCTGCTCCAGCGACCTGAGCTACGGCAGCCGGGTCTGCCTGCCCGAGTCCTCCTGGCAAGGGGACGACTACCCCGAGAGCTGCTGCGAGCCCCCCAGCTGCACCCCCAGCTGCTGCGCCCCCGCCTCCTGCCAGACCCTGATGTGCGCCCCGGTGAGCTGCGGGTCCAGCTCCTGCGAGCCCTCGTGCTGCAGCTGCTCCCCCTGCCAGCAGGCCTGCTGCATGCCCGTGTGCTGCAAGCCCGTGTGCTGCACGCCCATGTGCTGCACGCCTGTCTCGTGCACACCTGCCTGCTGCACGCCTGTCTGCTGCAAGCCTGTGTGTTGCACGCCTGTCTGCTGCAAGCCTGTGTGCTGCACACCCATGTGCTGCACGCCTGTCTCGTGCACACCTGCCTGCTGCACGCCCATGTGTTGCACGCCCGCCTGCTGCACGCCCGCGTGCTGTATGCCCGTCTGCTCGGGGTCCTCCCCCTGCTCGGCCTCCTCCTGCTGCCAGCCCAGCCCCTGCCCCCCGCCCTGCTGCAAACCCTCCTCCTGCGTGTCCCTCATCTGCCGCCCCGTGTGCAAACCCGCCTGCTGCGCCCCCGCCCCCTGCTGCCAGCCCGGCTGCTGCCGCGGGGCCTCCTCCGTGTCCCTGCTCTGTCGGCCCGCGTGCCCCCGCCCCGCCTGCTGCTGACCCCTCCCGGCTGCCGTCAGGTCCCTTCTCCAGCAGGAGGCCAACTCCCCACCGGCCACCCCGCGCCTGCCCTTCAGACCAAGGGGAGGGGACAAACCCACCCCGCCTGCTCCCGCCCCGTCTCAGGAGCCAGGGATACTACCGAGTCCTCCCTGATGCCGGCCGCACCGGGGAGTCACACTCCCCCGCTGCCCCTGAGCCCCAGCTGGCGTCCCCAGGGCCCAGCAGGCCTGGCCCCCTGCAGGCAGGGACCTGAGCTCTGAACCCTAATAAAGCCTCTTGTCTCATGCTGACCTCCCGTCCTGTCTGTGCACATACCGGGCAGAGGGAGGGGCGCACCTGGTGCTGGCTCTGGGAACCCCTCAGGCCGTCTCCCTCTCAGTTCTTGGGGCCTGGCCCCCAGACCCATCTCAGGAAAGCTGTGCCTGGACCCGGGGCCGGGCGTCGCGGGACATAGCCACGGTCCCTGGGCTCAGTGGCGGCCCCCAGGACAGCGTAGCGCATCTGTGCCAGACCCCCGCAGGCAGCCGCGCCGCTGGTCACCAGGGCTAACCCCTCTGCACCTCCAACAAGACAGCCCAGAGCCAGACAGCCCGCCCCGGACAGCCCCGCCCTCAGAGCACCGCACAGCTGGTGTCTGCTGGCCACTGGCAAGGCACTCCACCACTGCCCCTGAGCCCCAGCGGGGCCCCCTGCACTCTTGCCCCCTCGGGGCAGGGGCAGGTCCCCCTGGAAGCCAATGGCCAGCCAATGGCACCTGGCCACTTCTGGCACTGCCAGCCCAGTTTGCCACTGAGCCGGACGCTGTGGGAGCACGAACGTCCATGGTCAGTGCCGGGTCTGTTGGGGTCCCCGCCAGGGTTGGCTCAGCCTCCTTCCCGGCACCGTGTCCTCAGCCCAGGGACCCGCAGCTCCATCTGGACGCACGTGAACCAACCCACCAGTAAACGCCCACACCTGACAGCCCGTGTCCTGCGTCCTCGCTGCTGTCCCCGGCCAGCCCTGCCCAGAGCTGCCCGCCCACGCAGGAGACGCCGGGCCTGCAGGCGGCCAAGAAAGTTCACGGCACAGGTGTGCCCGGGGGGCAGGCGTGGCTCAGGCACGTGCTGCCCAGGGTCAGGGCTGCTCCCGGCAGCCTGGGGGGAGCCCTCCTGGCCCGAGGTCACTGCGCTGGCCAAAAGCCGGCTGGGGGTCAGAGGTCATCCTGTGGGGACGCACATCAGGGCTCTGGTGGCCCCGGGGCTGCGGCCTCCTCCCGGGAAGGCTGAGCACAAAGGAAAGCACCCCGGCCTCCCGCCGCCGGGCGCTCTGCTCTGACGGCGTCTGCTTTCCCCCGTCACGCGGGCGGCACCGAGGGCCGAGCGCGCCCACCCCATCCGGGCCCGGGAGTGCCTGGGCCCCGACCCCGGCCGCAGGCGTCGGGGGCGCCGCTCTGAACTGGAAAGGAGACGCCCACGCGGGCGCTGGGGCCTCCGGGACAGGAGCGCAGGGCAGCGGGGCTCCGGACAGGCCCTGTCCTGCAGCCGCCGGCCCCGGGGAAGGGGGGGCGCCCTCCTCGGGAGGCTCCAGGCCAGAGCCCAGGGGCGCCACCTCTTCAGAGGAGCGAAACGGGCAGAGACGGCCGCAGGCACCAGGCAGGAGGCGGGCGGAGGGGCGGAGCGGCCGCCCCTGCCGGGCTGACCCCGGGGCCGCCGAAAAGCCCCGCGGCCCAAAAGCCCTGGCCGGGACTGCGGCGGGACAGACCCACGCGGCAGGGCCCTGGGCGCGAGCCCGGCGGGGCAGGGCCGTCTGGGGCTCCCCCGCGCCCCACAGACGGGAGGCGAGGCCCGCGGCGCCGCCCCCCAAGGTCCCCAGGAGTTCGGGCGGCACCGGCCGGCGCAAGGGTCCCCGCCGGCCCCGGGGGCGGCTGCTGGGCGCTGCTCTCTCCGCGGAGCCAGCGGCGAAGTCTCCCCGCCTGCTTCTTCCTCCAGAAGCTGCAGCCGTGTCCGCCTCTTCAGGGCCCGGCGGCGGCTGGCGGCCCCCGGCTTATATCCTCGCTCAGGGAGCCCCGCCCACACGTCTGATTGGCCCATTTTCCAATCCTGTGGCTGATTGGACCATTTGCCCATCAGCCCATAGCGCCTGATTGGTCCATTGCATGATCCAGGAAGTGCGCTGCACACGAAAGGGCGCAGAGGCGCAACTGCCACACCGCCTGGCGGTGGGAGGCGGGTCCTGGTACCAAAGCTCTGATTGGACCATTGGGCACCAATCAGCTCATAGCTCGCACCTGATTGGTCCACCCCACGATCCCGGAAGTACACGGTGACATAAAAGCGCTGAGAGCAGCAGCTGCCACCCTGACTGTGGCGGGGCCGGGGTGCGAGAGCCACGGCCCCTGCCGCTCCCGCTGCTCAGGCGGCGGGTCCTGGGAACAAAAGTCTGATTGGACCATTTTTCGATCCTGTGGCTGATTGGACCATCTAGCACCAATCAGCTCATAGCTCGCACCTGATTGGCCTGTTCTGCGATCCAGGCCGTGCACAGCTGCATAAAGGTCTCTGAGGCCCACCTGCCACACTGACTGGGGGGGTGGGGGGTGGGGGGTGAGACCCCCGGCGGGGTCCCGCGGCGGGAGCCCCAGGCTCGCCAGAGCCTCCGGGAGCAGCGGATCGTAACCGCTCAGCAGCGGGGAGCGGTCCAGCGGCTCAGCGGGGCGGCGGGCGGAGCCCGCGGGCTCCTCTGGGGAAGGGCGGCGGCCCAGGGCCCTCCACCCGCGGGGCCGGCACGGGCAGCTCGCGCCTCGGGGCCGGAGCGCCGGTGGAAGCGGCTCGCGCCCGGGGGTCAGCGGCTCCGGCCGGCCGCCGCCTCGCGGGGCCGGGGCCTGGGGCCCGGGGCCCGGGCGGGGGCCGCGTGCCGCTGACGCCGGACGAGCCTTTCCCGGCCAGACCGTCCCGGCCGGGGCGCGGGCCAGGCGCGGCCGGAGCCTCCGGGCCGGGGCCGCCCGGGCCGTGCCCAGCGGCGGGCAGGGCGGCTGCGGCCTCGGCCAGACCCAGCCCGCGGGCGGCCTGGCGGCTCCGCGCTGGAGCAGAAAGTCCCGAGGTGACTGGAGGCGCGCGCAGCTCGGAGCGGCGGCCGGACCTGTGGCTGGACCTGTGGCTGGACCTGCGGTTCCGAACCTGTGGTTCCGGCCGAGCAGAGCCTCGGCGGCGCGGCGGAGAGAAACGCGCGTCTGCGTCCGCGCGGCGGGGCTGCTCGGCGCGGGCTCCCCGACCGCCGCGGGAGACGCGCAGGAGATCTGGACGGACGCCCCGAAGGCCCCGAAGGCCCCCCGGCCGGAGCAGGAGGCGGACCCACCACGGAGTGGCTGAAACGCGGCAACCGGGCGCGGGCCCAGGGCCCAGGCGGAGCTGCCCCCGGGCGGGGGACAGCAGGGCGGAGCGACTGGCGCCTGTGAGAGGCGAGGGGCACACCAGCCTCGGGGGCGCCCCTGGGAAAGGACGCTGTGCAGGTGTCATGGAACCCCCGCAGGAGAGGCTGGAGAGCTCTGGGCAGCCACAGGAGGGACAGGACTGACCCTCACCCCAAAGGCCACCCTGCACCTGCACAGGCGGATCTGCACCCTGAGGCTGACCTGCACCCCAAAGGTTGATTCATACCCCAAAAGTTGATTCACACCCCAAAGGTTGACCTGCACCCCAAAGGCAGATCTGTACCCCAAAGGCTGAACACCCCAAAGGTTGACCTACATTAAAGAGCCGGTGAAGGAAGCCAGACCCCAGGGCCCCAGAAGGGGCTCTCCTGTGACTGGAGATGCTTTGTGGCCCATCCTGCAATGGCTGTGGCCCGCGGGGGTGGGTAGAGCTGCACATGCAGGAAGGGGGAGGCAGGAGGGGCCAGGGACAGACTTTTCCCCACTCATCCAACTGCAAGTAAAATTGGGTGCATCTGATCACAGGCTGGGCGTCCGCTACGCGGTCTGAAAGGGGAGTGGTGGGCGCAGGGGAGTGGGGCGGGACAGCGGGGCTGGGCAGGGGAAGGAGGCAGCACATGGGAGGACTGGGCAGGGGGAGGCCTAAGCCAGCGGCGCTGGATGGCTGCACTGTCTGATTACTATGGGGACGGGCCTGCGGCCTGCAATGAGCCAACCACATCCTCGCAGGGCAGCTATTCTGGAATATTCCGCCCACATAGCAGCAGGAGTCTGCCTCCGCACACAGAGGCTGGACTGGGGTCGGGAGGTCCCAGGCCAGGCTCCGTGACTCTCCAGCTGGAGTCTGGGCCTCCCAGAGGGGTCCTGGTGGGCCATGGGGATCCTCTGGGC